GCTGATCTCATTGAAAACACCTCCTACTGGCTCAATCACTTAGAATCAGACAAGTGGACCGTTTCCAATCGATTTCCAGCCTATCAAAACGGGGGTATACGACTTTCTAGGTCCAGGGAACATGTATTAGTGGAGCAGTGCATCAGTTAACCCCGGAGTGACACCTTGATGAAGTTCTGACCAGTTCGGAACTACCATCTGTGCACAGATGTGTGCCTGGCTCCTACAGCATAGGTGGGAAGGGGATCACCACCTGGGAGGGTCAGAATATGTCAGAATACTATGTATGTAGCTGCATTTAGCTTATCTCTGCCTGTAGGCCTCTGTACATCTGCATATGTGGTGTTTTTAAGCCCTGTTTGCATACCCATGTTGTTGAGTGTAGGTTAGCCCCTTTCCAGTGTGATAAGGCTCCACAGAGCTGCATATATCATTCAATAGTGCTAGGGCATCCGCGCAACCATTTGTACCTAGCTACATTCATTACTAAAGGCTGAGAACAGTGTCCAAGCTATCATGAGGGCAATAAGAGTTCTGACCTCCTGCCTGCATCTCTGCATGTTATCTTGGCCTCTAAATTGCTTCCCCATACTTGCATAACATGTATAGATATGTCTAGAGCCATCCGACTTTCTTCCAAGCTCTATACAAGGTACAGGACCATTTGTTTCTGGTGCCCTTTTTCACTTTAAAGCTTATTTATTACCTATTATAATGTATACACCACAGGAAGACATGAGGGTTAAGATATACACCACACAAGTATACTAGAACCTATTCTAACACTTGCGCTGACAATTCTATGAGGGGGGAAGGAAGGGGAACAGGTGTAATAGCTTGCAGAAGGTGGTTTCCCACGCTCTGGCGCTTTTTTCAAATCCGAGAGCGCTACCATATATATCCAAAAACTCGCTAGCTCCTGGCGAGTTTTTTGTGAATAACAGCCCAAATACTGCTTTGCTGAGCTGCTTACTAATGGAGAACTTGTTTGTACATGTGTTCTCCATGACATGATGCAAAAACATTCAATATGTGGTATGTTCAAAATATATCATATATTTTGAGATGCTTTACCATATTGGGATGATGTTTTAGCTTAGTCATCTTTTCAATTAAGTGGTATATTACATATGCAGCCTATTTTCAAGCTCAGTTGATGGAAGCACTATATATAGCATGCCGAGAGGTGCCAGACAGGCTTTACAGGCCCTACACAGTTGCTAGCTTGGTTACTAGTAGGTAATACATCACACACCGTAGTAGTTACTACCACATGATTAATCAAACCTGGTCCATCGCCTCGATTCCCTTTGTGGTTAGTAGCAGGGAGATTGAAGGGTATGATAGGGTCCGCTCTAGCCTTCCCTTTGTTCTTTGGGCTGGATTGAGGCTCAGGGGAAGGCGACGTGGATGACTTGTCATTTTTGTCACCTTCATCCACAGGACTTTTGGTCTGGGAGACTCGCAGCCTGTCGAGCTCCTTCGCCTCTATGGCTTGGGCAGCTTCGTCGAGAGACTCTCCATTGGCCATTCTGGCCAGAGTCCTTCAAAGTCTTGCCGAAGACGTCAAGGCTATGCTTGGACCCCTTGACAGCCTTGGCGAACTTGGCGTGGTATCTATTGAGTTTGTTGCGGGTTTCACTGAAAAAATCCTCAAACTCAGTAGTCACTTCCTCGACCATACCGCCTGCATCGGAAATCTGCTCTTGGAACACATCCCACACCTGGGACAGTTCCCAATCACGTTGTCGTCGGGCCTCGTGGAGAGACCTTCTGTTCTCGCTGTCTTCCTCCTTGATTTGAGGAAGAGCTGCCTCATATACTGAGGGTGCTCTTCTGCAGCTGATGGACAGGTGGAGATCAACCAGCTCTGCATCGCTGGCCGATCCCGTTGTGGCAGTAAATTCAAAGATGAATGAGGAAGAGTTCCTGTTACCTGTTTGATTGCCAGAGGCGCTACCTTGGCTGTCGACATGTTCAGCGTCAACATGCAAGGGAGGTGTCGGGGCAATTCTCCTTTTGGCATAAGACATAGGCATCAGCATGGTTGATGCTCCGGTGCTCGCCATTGTCAGAACGTACGCATCACTGACGCTTTCCTCAGAGGGAATCATCAGTGATGCGGTTCTCGATTGAAATCTGAGGACTCGAGTGCTCATTCTCAGTCCTAAGTGGTTCGGTTTCAGTAGTTTTTTTTTACTGTAGTAGCGACAACAACTAAAATTTGCTTTCGCTGAATACAAGCCTGAAGGTTCAAAAAAGTGTAAGACCTGTAAGGTCGTAGACTTAGAGATCACCCCGCAAGAGCCAGACCGCGTTGTATTCGCAAAGAGTAGCTACAACAGTGGGGTAAAAGTAAAGTCTGCTGAAACCGAGGGGCATCCCAATCTTATATCAGGCCGGAATGCTACCCAATAACAAATACATGAGCGAGCATAAAGAAGACGTGTTTTCGATCGACGAGAGCACCAAGTTACAAAAAAGGAAAGTGTCTACAGTAAATGGGCGCTAAGTCGCGCGCCTTACATTCTGGCACACTCTGGCACAGTCAGGCTCTGAATACTTGTTTATTTTAGAATTTTTCTAATCTTTGAATTTAGTGTGAAAAGCCATCTTGAACTGCTTGCACAAGCTGCAAACATTCTTCAGGCATCATTAACCTGCCTTGACCATGTTCCTATAATCTTTGGCATGCTGTATCATCACTTTAACTCCCTTCGCTCAGTAGAAGGAGCTGACATAAATGATGACACAGTGGCACAGCCTGCAGAACTATTATTTTCAGTGATGAAAAGTGCTGAAAGGCTGCAGATCAGAATATCTTCATTGCTGCTATTATTCTCCATCCTGAGTTAAAGTTCTGTTCATTTAACCCTGGAGAGTTCAGCTTTGCAGATATTTTTATGCTGATGCAGCACATCTATTTACACCTTTTTCCTACTGCTACAGCTCCTCCTCTTGCTTTGGAGCAAAATCTTCAGTCATATTTAGAGAACACTGGGCAATTCAAGGGTATGACCAGTCTTTGGACTACTAGACAAGCAGCTAGCAGCACAGAAGCAGCAACCTACTCAGTAAGCCACATTTTATTGTTTCCTGCAATTAAATTCAGCTCAGTAGATTTATATTGCTACCTAAACAAGCTCTTGAAAGATGATCCTTTGCAAGTTTGGAGGGATATCAGGCGCAATACTCAGCTACGTCCACTGGAGCAGGTTGCCGAGCAGATTCTGCCAATATGTCTCAATAATGGTGGAGCAGAGAGATATTTCAGCTTACTCAAGCTTATCCTCACTCCCGGACACTCACAGCTCATGGCACACAATCCCACCAATGAAGCAGAGCTTAATACTCACATTTGTTATAAGCAGGAAGCCTCGGGCACACAAGTTGATCATGCCAAATGTAGGCATCGGCTCTACATTGATATTTTGGCTGTCACTCCCTTGTTACAATCACCTATGCCCACTCCCCCTGCCACCAGCTCTACAGTCCCACTACCACCTTCTTTGGCTTCTCTAGCACTGACACCATCAGCTATGCCAGCCAACATGCTGCCGCACATTACACTGCACAAAGCAAACGATGCAAAATGCTGCATCACACTTCATCATGTCAGGTTTCTGAACACCATCGCGCAGGGCCTAATGCAAGATGCCCAAGCGGAGAGGGACCTTACAGAGGAAGACCATGTACCAATCACTCTGGCATTCTATGGCAAGCCATACAAGCTGCCTCTCACATGACTTTCCAATTATCAAGATCATTTCTAAGTGATAATAATGGAAAAATGGAGTATTCAGAGCTTAAATGAGGAACTTGAAGCTTACAGCATTGTTGACATGGATGCAAATGGAGATTATGACCCAGACTCATATCCTTTATAGCTAGCTGTCTGGTAACTTATGGGCATATTGTACATTTGCTACTCGACAACTCATGATCGCAGACCACGAAAGAGCAGAAGAGCCCAATAGCATTCTGCTACATGATAGGCTGCTGAGATGGGACCCAGAACACTGGTTAGTCATGATCATGTCTGACTTGGTCATTGACCAGTCACTGACTGGCACAACACTGCTTTGGACCATAAATTTTGTGGAGTTCAGCTCCAGCATTGTGCTAGTCAGTGACTAGTTATTTCGGTCACTGGCTAGTCACAAGTCAGTCTGACTGTGATTGAGACTGAGCAGTCACCAGGTCCTTATCACAGGAAGGGATTCTGGCCAATCAGCATTCAGAACTCTATCACACTGGTGATGCCTTCTTGTGGAATCATTTGTAGCAAGTAGAGTGAGTCTGTAGGCTGTAGTATTAGAATTTTACATATACTCTATTTCTTCTTAGCTACTGGCACTGCAGATGTGCCCCAGAGTGGGCCAGAGATCCCATTTCTTAGTTAGTCTGTGGCAGAATTGCACTGGAGGCACTGTCCGAATTAATAGGTGCAATACCAAATGCACATACAGTGAGTAACTGAGCTGAAGACATCAATGCAGAGTGACCTGAAGTGGTTCGAGGGTATTCTGGCAGCCAGTGTTCTAGTCCACAATACCATCATAAGCATTGCATTAACCTGGAAGCATGATAAACTGCGTGGTACACGCTTGCTTCTGCTACCTAGCTCTCTGACCATGCATTGTCTGGATGCAACACCTATGCCACTGCCTACTGTACGAGTTTAAATAGAAGCAACATCACGTGTTACAAGCCTCTCCAGGATTGTAATTTTTGGGTCTTGTCACAGAACTTTGCACCAAATCTGGGCCAAAATCAAGATAAATCCAATAAAAAATCCACTAAAGATCTCTGAAATTACTGTTTTTGGCAATTTGGCACTTGGCATTGCTTGCACGGGGTTGGTTGCTCTCATTCAAACTTGTACAGTATTGCCAATCTCTGTATGGTCCTTGCTGCATTTGGTGATTTGGGCACAAAACTCTCAGTTGTAACATACACAGCACCATGTCCCCAATTTGCTAGTTTGTGCACTTGGCTTTGCTTTGGTAAAATTCATTTTTATTCACCCTGAATAAATGCTCCGAAGTAGGCCTGCCACTGATCAGAGCACATGGTATGCCGCATGTCATGAGCCATAATATGACAAAAGAAATAATTAGATTTGAACTCTCTACTGATAAAGCCTGCAACAGAGAGGACAAGCAGGTAAATATCAGGAATAGAATTTAATACAGGACTACGAACCCTCTTAGCTCAGGCTGCATCATGTTCGCACTGTCTTTCAATGGTAGTACGCCTGTTGCGCTTCTCACAGGTGCTACCCTTGATCGCGGGACCCAGAAAACTGCTCGGTCACTGACTATGGTCTGGTCACTGACTGTGACTTCATGACTAGGCATATTCAGTCAGTGACTGCACAACACTGTTCACACTGGGTGGTAAGTGCACTTTTCTCCAGCATAAAATTAGCCAAAAACTGATTCAACAAAGCACCAACTTTCTCTGGTTTTCACTTGAAAAAACTAAAGGCAAAGCTCAGTTTTCCACCAGTTTTACTGTGTTTCAGACCTTTTTGGCTGGTTTTGCACCAGTTTCTCCTCAGTTTGCACTGGCGTGAAATTGAGGAATAACTGGGCCTTGTTTAGCCACTTTTGCCTAAGTTTTCTCGAGAAAAAAACTGCGCTTATCACCCTGTGATCAGCTCTGCTTCACGCGCGCCAGCTGGCTGATGAGCGTGAGAGCCAATTTCTATTCTTGAATCGATAGCTCAAAGTGAAGCGCCGTCGTTTAGGGCCCGCTCTTGCTCGTACTCCTCACTGGCCGCGCACAGGATGAATGTCTGGGTATGGGATACACGCCCGTCAGAAGGTACAACGCTCACACTCTGCCTGTAGACGGAGCATCGTAACCCTGAAGGTCGGACGTACTGGTTCAACACGGGCACCCGGGAAAGTGTTTGGGAGAAACCAGATGGTGAGTTTACGTTCGCTCTGCAGGTCGCAGTAGTATTTGACATCTCTGCAGATCTGAAGACTCCATTCGAGGTGCGTAACGCGAATGAATATAGTAAGACAGGTACTAATCGTTGCTCACCCAGCGTGCATTGAATCAGACTAAATGGAAAGAGTACTTCTCTGGAGGACGGAAGTATTACTACAACGTGCGTGCTACTGCTATCATACATGCAATCTTTCCTGACTTTACAGTAGACTGAGACAAAGGAGTCGAAATGGGACATGCCAGACGAGTTGCTACTTTTGCTTGAAAAGGTCGAGAAGCAAGGGACCGCTGCTCAGCCAAACAACGCGCTAATGTATGTCGTTCGTATAATATCTATGCGCGCCAGGGAGTTAATCTCCCTAACAGCACAACCGGAACTTCGGGGACAAACCCCTTGCAAGGTGCCAGTAACCCTTTGGGTGGCAGTGACACCTCCTCACAAGCCGGTTCTCAGCAGCAAGTCAATGGCCAGGGCGGTGCGGACCTCAGTGTTGGCCAGCACACTGGCGGACTTCCGTTTTCCGCAAACAGCGTTCTGCCTGCGAAGCCGAACCTCCCTGAGGATCCTGTGATCCCGCACAACGGCTTTGCTACCGTCGAGGAGGGGGAGAAGGCGTTCACGCATCTTTTGAGGAAAGCAGGTGTCGATGCCAATTGGACTTGGGATCAGACTATGAGGGCTATCATTACAGATCCGTTGTACAAAGCCCTCAACACTTTGGCTGAGAAGAAGACCGCATGGCAAAAAGTGAGCGATCAGTCGTCGTTACTTGCGGATAGCGGCTCACGAAATGCACTGTCAGTACACCGACAGTCTTCGTCAGAAGGAGGAAGAAGAACGTAATGCCAGATTGTCAAAGTTACGTCCCGCCATTCGAAACATGCTCAAGGGAAACCCGAATGTCTTCCATTACACGACTTTTGCCACAGCGGACAAACTCTTCGCTCAGCACCCCATCTGGCAACAGGCAAGGGTTGAAGCTGAGAGGCGGCTGATATTCGAAGAGTATGTGGCAGAGCTGAAGCAACGGGAAATGGTGCGTAATCCATTTTTCTAAGTAGTGAGTTTCGTCTTCATCGTCTCTACAGCAAGAATCGCGCGCGTCCCGCTCTCGTGCGATTTCCAAGGTCGTAACGCTCTTCAAAAAGCTAGAGGTCGACGTTCTCACCCGCTGGCGTGAGGCGCAGAAGCGAGTAATGGAAACCGACGAGTGGCAAGAAGACGAGGAGTTGCGCAAACTGCCTATGCTAGACATCCTTCTTGCTTTCGAAGACTATAGCCGTGTGCGCGAGCGAGAATTTGAGGAGCAGATGCGCAGGGCCCAAGTCGAGAAGGCACGCAAGGAACGCAAGGCCAGGGAAGGGTTCAAGGTCGGTTCGCTAAAATCCACTTCCATATATGCATGTCTGACGTGCTCAATTGTGCAGGAGCTCCTCAAGGGACTGACTGACTCTGGCAATATTAAGGCTCGCACCAAGTGGAAAGAGGTATATACTCTCTTCTCGAAGGACAAACGCTACCTCGACATACTCGGCAACCCTGGTTCGAACCCTCTTGAGCTCTTTTGGGACACTGTCGATGGCCTTGATCAGAAACTTGACACCAAGATCGCTGCTATCGAGGCTGCCATCAAGCGTCACAACGAGGACCTGCCCAATCCACCACCTGAGAAAGAGACTGGGGCTGAGGATGAGCAGCAGAACGGGGAAGCGTCTCAATCATTCAGGTTTACACCGGAAACGACGAAGGAGCAATTCCTCAACGTTGTCAAGGGCGATGAGGGTGTACGTGCACTGTCAACGGATGACCTGGAGGGAATTTTCATCACTGTATGTATATTTTTCTTGCCAACGACACCAAGTACTCACGCAAAATCCTCCCCAGATGCACGAACAAGCGGTCAAGCGCCAGTCTGACGAGAAGCGTCGCGCGGAGAGGCGGCAGCGCCATTTGCAGGACGACCTTCGTTATGCTCTCAAGAAAATGGCCGAGCCTGTTGACATCAATAAGTCTTACGAAGAGGTCTGTCTTACCACACAATGTCTATCTTCGGCGTTGCTGACCAGTCACCAGGTAGCACCTCTTATACAAGACCTTCCGGAATTCAAGGCCTTGGAAGACGAGGGCCGGCGTGCTGCTTTCGGCAAATTCATCAAGCGGCAAAAAGTAAGTAAGTTTATTCATGTCTCTATGTTTTGCATACTCAGCGTAACAACTCTCAGGACCGCTTGCGCGAACGTGAGCGGGAGGCTTCGGAGGACGGCGGTTCCACAACCAGCCGCAAGCGCAAGGACCCGCGTGATACTCATGATGACGACCGTGAAAGGGAGCGAGATCGTGCGCGGTCCAAGGACAGGGAGCACCGAGACCGAGAGAGAGACCGAGATGAGCGCGACTCTCACCACGAGCGCGAGTCCCGCAGCTCCCGGCGGCACCACAAGCACGACGACTACGAAAAAGAACCGCGTCGCGGGTCACGGGATCATTCACGAGACCGCGGCTATTCCGAGGACCGAGGCCACTACAAGGAGAAGGACAGGGACCACGATCGTGACTACTACAAGTCTTCGAGGTCCCACCGAGACTATGAGCGGGACGATAAGCGGCGCCGAGGTTCGCGAGCAGACTACGATGGGTATTCTCGTGACTGGGACGAGTCCTACCCAGCGGAGACTTTACCTTACCACGAGCGCGAACGTAGTGAGTCGGTCTACAGAGAAGAGCGCGACCCAAGGGAGAAGCGTGAACGCCCAGCGTACGACGACAGACTTTATGAAGAGCGAGCTGAAAAGGTGTGTATATCGTCGCCGAAATTGGTACCATCAATAACTATCGACTACAGCGTCCCCGCTACGATGCCCCTGAGGCACCCCCATCGGAGCCAGAGCGGCCGCAGGAGCCACCTACCAGGGCAGAAACTCCAGAGGAAGGCGAGATTTAGCATTGCTGTGAGACATCTTGTAAGTAGCGTGTACGCTATGTATGTTTCCACTGAATATGGCCAAAAATCCCATATGTCCATATACTGCAAATAAAATGGTTTATGCTTGGGGCTCTACGACGTCTATAGGACCGATGCGAAGACGAGTGTATGTCTGCTTGTGTTTGATGGTCTTCTGGTAACCCTTTCGTCGTTTCTTCTTGAAGATAACCTCCATCTTGCCCTTGGTGTGCTCGACGACGGTCGCATCGACCTTGACCTGCCCCGGCGGAATGACGGGGCTGCCGCGAAGCGTGAACTCACGTGAACCAACTTCGTGGATCTCGGAAAGCGCAAGTACGTCGCCAACGCGGACGTCCTTCAAGCGAGGGACGGTGAGGAGGTCGCGTGGCGCCAGAAGATATTTGCGGCCTGCAACAGAGGCGACGACATAGCGCGAGGGTTGGCTACTGACGGCAGAGAGGGCGTTAGAAACCGAGGAGGTGGGAGCAGCAGTGGTTTGAATGGTTTGTGCGTGAAGTGCTCGGCTTGCAATTTGACGGAACGCTGTACACGGGCATATGCATCATGCGAGGAGGCCGCATCGAAACAGAGGGCACACTTACGTCTAAAGAACGTCGCCATCACTTTTAGAGTCGCGTTGAACGCCTTGCACGACGTCGAAGGACGCGAGTTCGCCGACTGGTCAGGAGGCGCCGGTGAGTGTGGACCGCATCCAACCGAAAATTGGGGCGGAGACTGAAATAAAAGGTTGAAGGCTCCCCCGGCTGAAATTCCGCATACGCCCGTAACCTCCCTCAGCAGTCCTTGCGACCATCTCACACTTTCCTTCCTAATATCCTAGTCGTGATGCACCGCATCGCCCTCAGAAACACTGTACGCGCTGCAGTGGTCGCGGCTGCCCCCAAAGTGCGCTTTTTTACGCCAAAAATGACGAACTGGAAGGCTCACCCAACGTTTGAACGTCGCAGGCTGCACTCCGCGCTACTCCTGCTGCTTCTCGCTCCTACGCCACTGCGAAGGCTGGTATGTGCTCCCAGCTGCTTGCAGATCGGTTCCGCCATGTTCTGACTAAATTCTACGCTGTTTTTGTGGCTCTTTTCATGCGTTTAACTCCGACGCTTTGACGGACTCTCTCGGTACACGTCACGCGTATAGCTGCGTCTGAGGTGTCCTCCATTCTCGAGTCGCGGATAGCTGGTACTGCCGTGGGTGCGAATGTTGAGGAAACCGGCCGTGTCTTGAGTGTGTCTTTCTCAATCTGTCTGTGACGCGTGTCTAAACCAAACTTTGCCAGGCGTCGGTGACGGTATTGCACGTGTCTGGGGCCTCAGGAATGTCCAGGGTACGCGTTTACGCACATCAGAACAGTAGCGCGAAAGGTTGATGAAGTGTGTTATACAGCCGAAGAGATGGTTGAGTTCGCTTCTGGCGTCCGTGGCATGTGCTTGAACTTAGAGGCGGACAACGTTGGTGTCTCCATCTTCGGTAACGATCGTGACATCAAGGAAGGCGATACTGTCAAGCGTACCGGTCAAATTGTTGATGTCCCCGTTGGTCCTGAGCTCCTTGGCCGTGTTGTCGACGCCCTCGGTAACCCCATCGATGGCAAAGGCCCCATCAAGACCTCTGAGCGTCGCCGTGCTGCTCTCAAGGCTCCCGGTATTCTTCCCCGTCGTTCCGTCAACCAGCCCATGATGACGGGTATCAAGCCCATCGACGCTATGGTTCCCATTGGTCGCGGCCAGCGTGAGCTTATCATTGGTGACCGTCAGACTGGCAAAACCGCTGTCGCCATTGACACCATCCTCAACCAGAAGCGTTGGAATGATGGCAAGGACGAGACCAAGAAGCTCTACTGTGTCTACGTCGCCGTCGGCCAAAAGCGCTCTACTGTCGCTCAGCTTGTCCAGACCCTCGAAGAGAACGATGCTATGAAGTACTCTATCATCGTTGCTGCCACCGCCTCCGAGGCTGCTCCTCTTCAGTACCTTGCACCTTTCTCGGGCTGCGCCATGGGCGAGTGGTTCCGTGATAATGGCAAGCATGGTACGTTTCTACGCCAATGTTCTCTCCATGCGAAATGTTAACGTGACACTTTGTAGCTCTAATTATCTACGACGATTTGTCCAAGCAAGCCGTCGCTTACCGTCAGATGTCTCTCCTGCTTCGTCGTCCCCCGGGCCGTGAGGCTTACCCCGGTGATGTCTTCTACCTCCATTCTCGTCTCCTTGAGCGTGCTGCGAAGATGAACGATAAGTTCGGCGGAGGATCCCTCACTGCCCTGCCCATCATTGAGACCCAGGGCGGTGATGTCTCTGCTTACATTCCCACTAACGTATGTGCTTTTTATTACCCAGTTTCAGCTCTTGTACTGACTGGTTGATCACTAGGTCATTTCTATCACCGACGGCCAGATATTCTTGGAGGCTGAGCTCTTCTTCCGTGGTGTCCGTCCCGCCATTAACGTTGGTCTTTCCGTCTCGCGTGTCGGTTCCGCTGCCCAAACGTGAGTGACCTTTGACGCTCAGACGTGAAGTCACAATCTAACTTCCTATTGCAGCAAGATTATGAAGAAGTTTGCTGGTTCGCTCAAGCTCTACCTCGCTCAATACCGTGAGGTCGCCGCCTTCGCCCAGTTCGGTTCCGACTTGGATGCGTCGACTCGCTTCCTCCTTTCTCGTGGTGCCCGTCTCACTGAGCTCCTTAGTACGTCCCAACGTCCTTTCTGATTTGAAACACTTTTGACGCATGATACAGAGCAGGGTCAGTACCAGCCACTCGCCATGGAGATCCAGGTCCCCATCATCTACGCTGGTGTCAACGGTCTCCTCGACCCTATCCCCGTCGATCAAATCACCAAGTGGGAGGCTGAGTTCCGTGAGCACCTCTCCGCCACCCAGGGTGCCCTCCTCTCCGAGATCGCCCAAGGCAACATCACTCCTGAGCTCGAGGCCAAGATCAAGAAGATTGTTGAGGAGCACGTCGGCGCCTTCACTTCATCGTAGATGACAGAATTGTTCGACTTAGATTCTGCTACACGGCATCCAAAAATCTCATGCTTAGCTAGTCTACGTGCTATCCCTTCAAGATGAGATGACTTGGACAGTTTTATTTGTTTCATGCACGCTGCCAAGCAGAGTGGGGCGCTATTGTTGAATTGCCCCGTGGAGAGGAAAAGTGGAAGTGCGGATCGTACACTCAACGTCATGACAGGGTAAATCCAAGGAATTTAATTGCACGTGCCGTCAGTGTTTCCCTGGCTCGTCGTCTTCCGAGTCGGAGCCGCTCTCAAATACGTAGCTGTCCTCGTCGAAGTCTTCATCGTCATCATCCTGTCCCTCGTCCATACGCTGCTTGAGCTAGAGAGCGGTTTCAGTACATGCGGAGTGCGCGATATGCACGAGCGGCGAATGACGCACCATCTCGAGCAGCTCATGGCACTCGTTGAGGTGCGCCATGACGATACCCTGGCCCTCCGGTATCGAGCCATCAACACCGACGAACTTACCATCCTTGCGCATGGAGTCGATTTGATGCAGTGCGAGTTGGTACTACAGTCATAGCCGGAGCAAGACTCAGCCGCGGTGCTCAGAGAAAGCAGGCTAACATACGTACAGGGTAAAGGTCGCGCGGGCTGAATGGTCCACCATACTTAAGCACTTCGTTCAAGCACTTCTTCACTGTGGAAAGCTTGTTTGCCTATGAACGAGTAAACGCTAAGCAAGCTAAACGGTATGGCAGCACATACTATTGGCATCAGCTCCTCTGAGACTGGCTCACTGGACGAAAGCAGTCGGTAGATGAGACCGTAGCATCTTCTCAGAAGGTAGAGCAGAACCTGAGGCTCGATGAGCAAACAATGACAAGAACCACTGCCCAGTGTCTCACATATTGTCCTACTGGAGTATGCCCCTCCGCGTCCGTAAACTTGCCGTCCACCCGCATTTTGTCGATCTCTTGCAGACTTAGGCTGTAATTCCACAGGTCGGTCTCCCGCAGACTCCACCGGTGGGTCATGACTAGGCTTTCGAGTTCTTTCCGTATCTCGGTGAGGCGGTCGTAGATTGGTTTGAGCGATGACGAGACGTTCTTCGACTCGTCCAGCGCTCGAATCTCTTGCACTATTTCAAAACATTCTTCCAACAGGGAGGAACAAATAGCCTGCGAAGGAGGAAACGTCCCTCCCGGACCCATGAATTTGCCGTCCACACGTTTTCTATACAGCTAGTTAGAGCTGACTGAGGTGATAGAAAATTACTCACGAATCGATCTTTCGTAACTCCTCAGTTATAGGCTTCAGTTCCGCCTTCACTTTCAGCGTAGGCACAGGCTCAGGGTTGGGCATGTCCTTCGTCGGGGTCTTAGACTCCACCTCGGACTCGAGCGACTCATCCTCTGGGGGCTGCGCCTGCGCAAGTGCTCGCGGCTTGATGGCTGGGCCCCTGGCGGCCGCCTCCGCGGCAGTCCGCGCAGCGGCCGAAGCCTGACTGGCAGTCTCCTTGGCGGCGAGTGCGACCAGCTGCCGTCGGATGTTGACGAGGCGTTCATGTATGGGGAATCAGCTCGGGCGAAAGCACCGACAGGGAGTCCTGCAGGCTCCGCAAAACATTGTCTGCAAATTATCAACGACCACGTCTTGTGCATGAAAGATGTGATACACACCACATTCGTTGAGCTGCCGCTCAAGTAGTGTCGTCATCGACATAGGATGTTTTCCGCTATCCGCATCCTGCTGGACGATCTGCCTGCACAGTCGTATTAGCTGCCCCGTCCCGCCGACAAATGCCCATAACGCTATCACTTGAGGAAAATGTCAGACAAACCGTTGCTCTATCCGATCAGGCCGACGCCTAGTGTCGCCCAGCCTCCACGTCGCGAAGTAGGAAATACCATGCTTATACCCTAGGACGCGACTGCGGTGCCATACACAAGAAAAGTGACAAAGCAGATACGCACCGAAGTTCCGCTATTCGGCGGTGAAATGGTGCAAGGTCCGCCTCGTTGTAGATGCCGGACTCGTTCATATGGTCGAGAATTTGCTGTGGCGAGTAGAGCATGAATCAGCTTTAGGATCTGCGCAGGGGGACAGGAGCAGCGAGGGAAGATCATGTAGCGACGGCGTATTGCTTATGTATGCGGAAACGGGGGGACAAATCTGCATCAGGATGTGGCCTCCAGAGCGCTCTGGGGTGTAGCTTCGACGAGGTAAATGTACCGTTGGTATGTTGTGCCTGGTAGATAGTCTCGCAGACTCGACCAAGCAGTACAGGAAGGCGGGCCGACTCAGTGTGAACTGAGCGGCATCTAACGAGGGAGCCACTGCCGCCAGAGACGATCCTCCATGTATAGCGCGAAAGCTAATTCCCCTGCAGAAACGATTGGCTGGGGATTTTTCGCAGGAATAGAGAGCCTTTCCGGCTTCCTGGAGAAAGCAGAAGCTATCTTTAAGGCAAAATCGCCATCACAGATTTCGGCATTGCCAATATCTGTGGCAGCGCCACGGCAGGTCCCGACGCGGGCCAGGGCCCGTATAGTTCGTGACTGAACTGCGAAGTCTGACTCACCCGCATGCTGGCAATCTGGCTATAGGTAGCCGGGCATTCCCTCGTCTTGCCTATCGTAAGGTAGAAGAGGGACAGAAGATTGAACACGTCTGCAAGGGTGGTGTCCAGTCGGTTGTTGTAGATCGTACGGTCGTCGCGCACTTCGTTCAGACGCGTCACTGCACGAGGCGAAGGCGCGTGGTGCACATGAGGATGGACGCATCGCAGAACATTAATGAACGGCGAAATTTGCAAACATGGGTCACGACTAACCTTGCTTGACGATCTGCTGGTATAGGTTGTTGACGTCTGACGCCTTGATGTATTCACCTCGATTCTTCTTGAGAGCAGTAAGACGGTTGCGGATACTAGATGGTTGCGCCAAGCGTCAGGCCCTGACGGTCCACTAGAGCAGTCAGCAGGGTCGACTGACTTTATGATAGCCTCCAATATAGGCAGCTCTGTGGGAGGGACAGAGAAGGTGATGAATTAAGCTGGCCAACCGCGCAAATCTCGCACTCACCCTCCTGAGCCACCGGTGCGGCCATCCTGAGTTATCAGGGCGACGTAATGCGGGATCAACGGCGGATCTAATGACCAGTGATGATAGCTGGCTATTTGCGATGCTCTGCGTGATTCTGGAGGCAGAGGCTGGTTGCTGGGAGTGAAAGAGCGAGTGTAAGGGAGAGCGGAGGTCGAGATCACTGATTCTGCTCCGCACGTGCGAGATCAAAGTTCCCACGGTCTCAACGCACTATAACAGACGCGATAATCAGGACAGCCACGAAGCCAAAACACACTCTACCAACCCAGTCACTACATCCGACAGCTACATCATCCAGCAGCACTTCACCCACCAGCGTCATGGAGAGAATCAAGGAGGTACACCTCCCGCAATGTCTGAGATATCTTCTCCCAACTCACACCGCTTGCGCGTAGCGTCTTGCATCCCTGCGCCAAGAGGCAGACAACGCCATCGCGCGTGCAGAAGGAGCAGAGGCCAAAGTAAAGCAGCTTGACCAGCAGCTCCTCGAGAAGGAACAGGAGGTCAAATCTCTCCGAGTGAAGCTCGACCTCGCGGACGCCAACCTCGAGAAGTCCGAATCCAAGCTGACCGAGACCAAGGCTGCCGCGCTGGATGCAGAGTCGAGCAAGACGACGATAGATGCTCTACAGCGCAAGGTGCAGCTTCTTGAGGAGGAGCTCGATGCGGCAGAGAAGCACTCCAAGGAAGTCGTCGAGAAGTGCGTGCACGAGATACTCCTGATGGTGCTCGATTGTTGACCAGCAGCTTGTAATTCCGACAGACTCAGGCAAGTGGACGTCAAGGCTGAGGAGTTCGAGCGGCGCTGCCATTCACTCGATCAGGAGCGCGAGCAGTGGGAGAAGAAGTACGAGGTATGTGCTTGCGGTTACAGCGCGCTGAGCTGGCGCAGACGCACGCTGCCCTGGAACGATTCTGCTCACATCGCCTGCGCAGGAAACGCAAGAGAAGCTCCGCAAGTCCCAAGCGGAGCTCGACGACCTCGTTTCACACATGCAAGACCTCTAGGCCTGCTCTCCATGTTTACCATCTTTGCTATGATCATCATAATCACGCGACGGGTCGCACTTTACGATACAACCCTGGAATCGTCCTCTCTCTCGTGGGTTCTGATGTCGTTGTCTATATACCACAAACAAGAAATCAAAGCGCATAACACAAATTAGAATCTCGTTCTAAATCTCACTGCGTAGCCAGATGATGAAGTTGCAAGAATATAACTACAATTCCATTAAATGCTACACGATACAGTACACGCTTAGGCCGTGGGGCAAGCTATCTGAGGAGGCCGTTTATTGCTTCTTGTCTTCGGTAAAATTCAGCGAGATGGAGTTGACGCAATGACGTTCATCGACTGTGAACGGACGAGGTAAGCTGATCGAACAACATCGCAAAGGCAGATCACACACTTGGAGTCGGGAAGCCTTCACCCTTAAAGACGTGACCTAGGTGTCCGCCGCATGCAGTGCAAGTAATCTCCGTACGCGTCATGCCATACGAGTGATCGTCGTGACGGTTGACGGCCCCGGGAATCGCTGTAGTGCACATGTACCTGTATCAAGATCGTGGTCCGGCTGTCACGCTCAGATGACGCACCGTCGAAGAATGCAGGCCATCCACAACCACTGTCAAACTTGGTCGTGCTCTTGTACAGCGGAGTGCTGCATCCGGCGCACGTGTAAACACCCTCCTCCTTATGCTTGTTATACTTGCCGGTGCCAGCGGGCTCAGTGTCCTTCTGGCGGAGGATACGGAACTGCGGAGATCCTCGTCAGCACCAGGTTACAACCTCTCGTCCGGCCGGAAACGTACCTGCTCAGGAGAGAGGACAGCCCTCCACTCACTCTCGCTTTTGTTCACTTGAGACATGGATCTATGCTGAAGCCTGGCGGAGTATGTTATGAAGAGAGTACGTGCAATGTGCGTTGGCTTTAGAGCTGGGACGAGGGGAGACGTTATAGGTCCGATGAGCCTGATGAGAATGACCATGAGAGCATCGGCCCCGCTCCCGCGGCGGTTGTCAAAACCATGGTGTGTCTTACGCGATCGCCGCACGTGCTGGGCCGGTCTTGCCATGATCAAGAACTCGCACCGCGGCACCACCAGCTGCAGTACTCATTACGGAGGTACCTCCGTCGTTGTGCCCGGTCTTGAAGATTATAAAATTAATTAACAAGTAGACGAACGCAGGGAGTACTGGTGTCGGATCCTGAAGCGGTAAGTCCGCCGCTCCTATAGCTACTCTATACACCATCGTGTACGCGCCTCCAGCCCTTCGTTGCAACTGAAGGCCATGCTAACACGTAAGCTGGCCTGAGCATTTTGCGTCTGATCTGGATCACTGCCTGTGCGCACCTCTCCTTTGTGCTGGCCTTTCGTCTACGGCGGGGCAGCAAGCAAAGCTCCGCGCGGTGAAGTATACTGGAAGACTACTCGCTGCGGCGGTTGAAGTCAATCAAATCGTACAACCATCTATACCATCCACTCCGCATACATGCACCGCATAGGACTAGCAGTTGAGATTTGAACGTTTGGACATGGATGCTCTGAGTGCTGTCTTCGCTTGTATGGCGATGGCACGGAGTTCGGAACGGTCGCCAGATCACGCATCACACGACAGCCAATTCGGGGGTATCCGGGTGTGTCATACGCGCTTACTACGCAGCATTTGCTCATTGAATTTCTCCTTCACCGCTTAATTTGCCCTTGCACGTCCTTCCTCCGTCTACCAGCATAACCACTCCCTGCAAGCCATGGGTCAGACAACATCGACTGTTACTCAGTCACCCACAAGCTGCCCAGTCAAACACGACGCCGCACCAGCACAGTATCCTGTGCCGCATACTTCCACAAGCACCTCCGGACCCGCCAAATGCCCCATCGAATACAGCCCGTCGCCGGCGAGCGAGCGTCCCACAGAGTGTCCAATAGGTCACGATGGCGCGTCCGGGCTGAATCCGCGCAACCAGATGCCCCAGCTTTCGCAGGCACCCGCGGCGCACCAGACCTTACAGCTCCCGACCGCCCGTGAGGAGTCAACCATCCCGCGTGACGCGAGTTCGCGCTGGGAATACCCCTCGCCGCAGCAGTTTTACAATGCGCTCGTGCGCAAGGGCTGGGAGACACCTGAGGAGCACGTCGAGACGATGGTGCAGATCCACAACTGGCTGAACGAGCAGGCGTGGCTCGAGATCCTCAAGTGGGAAAAGAAGGAGAACCCGTACGTGATTATTGCGTTATATTTGAACTTTTAACACTGAGATCTACCACAGAATAGAAGAGCTCCAGCTGGCACGTTTCAAGGGTCGTCCAGGTGAGCTCTCGCCAAAGGCTCGCTTCTGGCTCTTCGCAGGTTGGCTTCTGCCTTCTAGGTTTAAGTACGTCTTTACTAGTCCTTTCATACTTCCGCGAGTCTGACAGAACTTGCAGCACTGAGCCTCCATTTGACCGCCACGACTGGATTGTCAAGCGACGGACTACCGGTGAAGAGGTCCGCTATGTCATTGACTACTACTCTGCACCGCCAGAGCCCGACGGTTCGCCTGTCTTCGCGCTGGACGTCCGCCCGGCTCTTGATAGCGTCGGCTCGATCCAGCAACGGCTGGCGGCTGCGACCGAAGATGTGTGGGCTGCGCTACGGGAGAAGGATAACGGGTCCGCGAACACTCGGAACTCATAGACCCTTCCCCTGGCTCACCTTTCTCCACTCTACCCACTTCTCCGCGCTTTTTGAACCTTTCATCACTTCCGTCTTTGGACTTTTCCGCCTGTCAGCTCTCTGAGTTTCGTATTGCCACCTCTTCTAATATGTAGACTCAAAAGTAGACAACACGGGCAGTGTTCCTGTGCAGCACTCTAATGACATTACGACAGCATGATGATGACTATTAGACGATGAGAATAGATATAGGACTGACGACAGCTGAGTGGGGTGATGATAAAGCGATATAGGACGAGTCCAGGTGTATCTCAATGCACTGTATTACTTTTCGTCAGCGCGTACTTAGAGGTACGCCCGGGCCGACCTCCGTGCCATCTGCAAAAAGTTGACGTTCAAAATAAGCCAAATGAGCTTGTGGGAGACATGCATACCTCGACAACTTTCCATCCACCGGTGAGCTCGTTATCGAGCTCCTCTTCTACACGGGTGATAACGGCAGCGTAATGACACTGCTCGACGCGATCCTCTGCGCCGACGATAATCTCTCTCGTCTTGGCATTCCGGAAAATCAACACCTCCTGCGTGGCGAACGTTATCACAAAGACAGGGATATCGTTCTCAAGGATTTTGCCTTGCGAGACCTACACATGTGGGATAAGCAACTTTAAGGACGAGAAGGGAGTGAAGCGGCACAGACCTCTACTTGGCGAATATCAAGCACTTTGCTGTCGCTGATCAAACCCTGCTTCAAGTACTGCTCCATAGTTGCCCAGAGCACGTTGTAAGTCTGAAATACCTAGTTAGATAATACACAAAGCAGGAGGTAAATTACTCACTGCCTCACCGCACCACGCCTTGAGAGCTTCTTGGTCAGCGCTCAAGTACGCATCGACGACCTCGGGCACGATATACTCGCGCAACTCGCGCTCAAAGCCCTCAAGGTTGAACGTCGGGTCCATAGCCTTCATCAACCTCTGCACCTGCGCGCTCTCGTTCTCGTCGAACCACGAGCCTATCGTCTGGGTGACGGAGCGTATGCTCTGCACGACCGGGTTCTCGGACTCATCGAACTGCTGGCGAAGCTCGCCGAACTGGCGCAGGAGCGGGCTCGTCTCTTTCAGACGGTTCCAGCGCTCCTGCCGCGGCGAATCTTTATGTAGCACGACAGCCTGGCCCGCGTCTGGGTCTGCCTTTACTCGCGCGCGCCCGCTTGTCATGCTGTCCTTGCCCGCCTTCGCAAGCCGTACCTGCCGCCTTCTCCGCCGTGCTTCCTTCTCCTCAAAGCCTGCGTGCTTCGCACTGCCGCTATCGTCGAGTGCATCGACCACAGTCTCAGCGAGAGTTTTGTACGCCTGTGTCTGGCGAATGGGTTCGGTGGTCTTTTCAATCGTTGATGAGACGGCAGCGGATGCTCTCGAGATCTGGAGACAGAGGTGTCAGTCAATAATGAAGAAAGGCGTATCTGAAAGCAATATACCGCACGCATGAGTTCGCTCTCCTCCATCGTCCGCAGTGCTTCCGAGACTGCATCTCCGACCTTCACACCAGCATTGTGCAGTTCCTCCGCGGCAGCACGTAGCCGGGGGTTCTCTTTTATGCTAGACGTCAGCTACGGTACTGTCAGCAAGCGTTGATAGCCTCAGGACAAAATTCCACTCGCCCTTGCACGCTCGTACGCCGCTCTCGCCTTCTTCATGGCCTCCGAGTCCTGGAACTTATCCACGTCACCCTGCAGCTGCTTCACATTGTCCTGCAGCTCGCGGTTCTTGCGGAGCTCCTCTCGCAGAACTTCCACAAACGTCTGGAACGGGCTCTTCGGTGGCTCGTTCGAGCGACGCGCAGACGAGTGGAAGGACGAGCTTGATGCGGGAAGCACCGCAGAAAACGGCGGCAGCGGCCGCGAAAGCGTTAGCGGTGCCGCGTGCGCGCGCAGTGCGAGGCGAATGTGCGTGGGCGTTGCTTGCGAGAGGACTGCGCGTCGGAGATGGCGGGGCAGCATCGTGAGGTCGTGAAAGAGAGGGTCAGTTCGTGGACGAGACAGAAGATTACTGGCGCTTGGCTCGATGCGACTTTTGGGCGTTCACCTGCGCGTTCACCCGCAGTCCCGATGCTTCCGGGACATGGACGTTGCGAATAAAATCGTAATCTCAACATGTAACGATGAGCCATTTGCGAATAAATACGCTGCTTACACGAGAGTATAATTCAAGGTAGCTAATTTAGAAATAACTTACTATCTCAACCGAACCGACAAATCGCCTTCCCCGCAATTGCAACCTCCTCGTTCAGCTTATTCACATGGAGCATACTCAGCCCCAAAATAAAAATTGGCTTCTCGAAATCCCACCCTTTACGCAGCAGCGCCGTCCTCTTCTCCAACAGCGGTCGTGCCACGACGTCCATCCACGCGTGGGTGGCGTCAGAGTCGTCGACGAACACGACGCCAAACCGCGCCCAATCGCACACGTTGATTGAGCCCCAGGTGCAGGCTATCAGCATGGCTTCGAGGGTATGCAGCTGGTGACCGTGCGGAACGACGGTGTGCGAGGGCGCGCGCCAGCTTGGGCGTGGCAGGCGGGTGTCTCGCGCGAGGTAGACTGCTGCGTGCTGCAGGAACTGGCGGATGGTACAGGGCGTGGCGGGGAAGGGCTGTTGCGTTGACGTGGTGACTACTGCTCCATTGGAGCTGGGAGGTGTCACCGCTACCTCCGTCCGCAAAACTGCAGGTGTAGGGTTCTCTACGACACGTTCTTGCTGGGCATGTTCCCGAGCGACGGAAGACATTACGTTTGGTGTCTTCACAGAGTCTTCGTCGGGTCCGAACTGAAGTTGTCTTGGACACTCAGGGATTGGCTTGGTAGATGGTGGGTCAACGTTTGCAGAAAGCTCTTTGTTCGCTTGAGCGAGTGGCGTGGGCAAGATGTTCGTCACCGACCCAAACGCCCTCATCTTATTCGCGGGTGCCGCCGCTGCCGGTTCTTCGTGTCGCACATTCTCCATCATCATGGTTTCAGCTGGCCCAGGAAGGTTTAGCCTTCGCGCCTTGAGCTTCAGCTTCCCATCTGCTTTCTCAAGCTTGTCAAGCCATTCTTCCTCGCGCGCCTTCCGCTTCGCGGGACAGCGCGCCCCTGGAGATTGCAACTTGCCCCAGAGACCTTTGCACCAGTCGTCGATATCCTTGTTTGGGCGGTCCAGACCAACAGCCTCACGTGCAATACACTGGAATTCGTCGAGACTAATGCCATCTCGCCAGGATCGCTCGCTTGTGCGGTGAAATTTGGTCATGCGAGGGAAGCGAAGCTCATAGTACTTGATGGTATAACATTAGTGTCAGTCGCCACATTGAACTCGAAGACGCTTGAATTCTTTCACCTTGCTACGAGGTGCCTTCGTGAACCCGGCTCCATAGAACTCCGCGAGAATGGGTTCTCGAAGCATGACAGCCGGTGGTGCCAAGCCGAGATTCAATGTGAACGAATACGGCAGTATTGAGGCATACTAAATCGTATAAACTTTGATATGAACCTAAGAAAGGAGAGTTACTATACTAGCTCACCTTGCTGCCAGCTGCAGAGTAGGCTACCGGATCAGTGCTCTTGATAAAGAAGTTCAGCTCTTCAAGTTGTTCTCTGCTCAGACCATATGAGCAGGTGAAGATGACTTGGAAGCCCGGCTTCTCTGAGGACTAGAACTTTGGCTAAATGCTATGATGTCGATGGGTGAATCCGACAGACTTACCGCAGTTTCTGACGCCACCACATCAACGACAGCGCCAATGTAGAAAGTCGTGTAAACAGATGGGCCAACTGTGTGTGATGTCAGCCGGACGGTGCAAGGGTGGGTATCACTGGGTTACCGAGCAGTTCACGCGCACGCTCCTTATCCCAACCAGCGCCAAGTAGAACGAGGTCTACACAGTCGCCATGCCCGGGAATGTAGTCTGCCTTCAGCTGGTAGGAAGACTCGCGTCAGCATCCATTCACAACCAACCCGTCGTACGGCAAGCACTCACCTTCACCCACCTCAGCTTCCAATCGTTATACCTGCTCTCGTCCGCTTTGAGGACGGCGCCCTCCTCACGGTCCGCTTGTAACTTCGCGAATGCCCTCCTTAGTGCCTCGTCCGCCTCTTTTGGAGAATGCATCGGGATTGGCACGCGCTCCGCGAGCATCGCGTACCCTGGACGCCGCACGATAAGCGACTCGAGCAGCGCACGACGGTAGGAATACGGCCGCCAGAGGAGGGACTCGGAGTCGACGACAAGAACGTCGAAGAAGACGAGCGCAAGGTGTCGTGCGCCTTCGTCTGAGGCGTCAGAAATGAGCGAGGATTGGGACCTAAAAAGGGTTCGATTGGAAGCGGGCGTGCAGGAGATACGACTACTTGCCAGTCTTCCGTCGGATTCGTCTTCTTGTAGGATGCACCTCGCACGCCGAGAGCGGTTGATGCAATGAGACTTCGTATTCTCCAGAATTCTGTGGTGGAAAGATGACTGGATTAACGTCAATTAGCTTCCTTGGACAGATGCATGGCATACCGTCGACCTTTCCGAGCGCATTAGAGTATGCGACCATTTCGGCCTCAATAACCACGTTGTGTTTGATGTGTGGAACAGTCGATGGGATACCACCCCCATCAGACGAACCCGGAAGGCTTAAAGCTTCCCGGATAATCCTGCATAGAGCGTGCCTTAGCTACCCCGTATGAGAAAAGTTAGAACTAAGACGCACGAATGCACACCAAAACGATCCACAGTCGAATCTCGCTTGCTCTTGCTAAAGATTGTAATCTTTGAGTCACCGCCGTGATCCATTTCTACGTGGATCTGCGCTCGTTCTCCGTCATACTTGGTCTCAGCCCATACATTCGAGGATTGCCTGAGGCTGTTGAGAGAGTCCTTACACCCCCTGCCTTTGATGCATTTCGGAATCTGTGGAAGGGTAAATCCAATTTAAGACGCTTCAGGGTAGGTACAATGGAGCCTACTGGAATGGGCACGCCAACCCTGGGCCGCATGAATTCCTCGGGATTCTCGAACGCTGCCACGGCCTCTTCAATTGATGCACACACGCGGTACGCTTGAGAAAGTTTGCCGTCTGGGTCCCATACTTTCATAGCTTGCTCCTTTGTCAGCATACGTACGGCTTTGGAGTTGTATTGCAGGAGCTGTGCGGTGTAATGCGTCTCCTTGAGCGGGTATAATATCGGACGCAAATCTTTGAGAATAATCTGTGTGATTACGGATGCAGACATGGCTGATGCTGATGCATATAAGTTGCGTAAAATTTCGCGTGGCTTGCGACGCGACGTTGCTGGTACGCGGACTGACGAAGAGGAGTAAGCAGAGGTTGAAGCCAGCTCGGTGAGAAGTCTGCTAATATCGCTTATGGAGCGCGTTTCCTGCTGGTCCTGCGAAATTCAACATACGTGTCAGCTGCACAACCTCGCCACACATGCACTTACATTGGTGCCTTCCATGAGCGACTGGACCTCGCGTCCAAGACAACCAGTGGCGTCTGACCCGCCCCACTTTCGTAGAGACGCGCCTCGAGAATCGCGGTTGGTAGATACACCAAAGATGTCTGCTATGTATCCCGCGAGGCGCGTCTCTTGCATGCCATACTTTCTCGATACGTCCTCTTCCGGAAAGAACAGCCGGAAGAATGTGGCCGCGGTTCCATCTGGTAGCGGCGAATAGCGCTCGTGCAGAGCTTTCGTCCAATTTCTCAGGGTCTTTACACAGAACGATTCTTGGTTCTTCTTCTGGTTCTTGGTGTTCGTGGCATTCTTGGGCTCGACGGATGCGAACGCCTCGCACAAGAACACGAAACTATCAAAGCGTGTAAACGTGACGGTGGACTCGGAGCCGACGGCTAGGATTCCGCCACCCACAACTGAAAGGGGACCTGGGACGGAGAGGATGCGTCTGTCATCGGCGGCTCATTGTAAGGAGGCCTCGAGTTCGTGTGTTGCGGGTGCGATCGCGTCACGTGGGAGCAGAACGCCTGTGGCGCCGAGAGGGCCGCGGTCGGCAGCTACACGCTTACGCTTGGACCCCCAAGCTGAACGCTCCTGTATAATTATTCTCCGCCCTGCATGGACGACCTTTACAATAATGCCTGGGGCGACTCTTCAGAATCTGCTGCGTCTTCTGCAGCCTGGACATCATCAGGAGCCACGTCCTCCACGCAACACGACAAGGCCAACCTGGCGAACCCTTCATGGTCGACAGATTCTGGAATCAAATGGGACCAGCCGCCGGACCACGTCTCAGGCTTCTCCTGGGCAACTGCCGAGCCTGATCTCGCTTGGGGCTCTAACACATACGAAGACATTCCCCTTGAGAAGTCGGAGACTACATCCACAGACGAGGATGATCCCACAACGCCTACTGTGGAAGCTGCCGACATCGAGAAGCCAGAGCTGGCTCAGACGACGGAACCTCCTTCGGCTAACGGTACAGCCCCAGTAGGACTCGGTTTGGGTCTACCAGTCAGCGCCAAGCAGGAATCCCCAACTGCCAGCCCGCTAGACCAGGATGGATTTGGCACGTTTGAAGACGCAACTACAGTGGAGGAATCCAAACCTAGGCTGACGTCGGACCTGCAGGACGACACGTGGAGTTCGCCTTGGGTATCTGGCCCAGTAGAGGACGAAGAGGACGAAACGAAGCCTGTGGATGAATGGGAAGTTGCGCGAAAGCATAAAGAGCAGCTGGACAGGAAAGTGGTGGGTAATATACACCTATGTCATCTGTCATACTCTGCGTCTCATGCCCATACTTCTCAGCCGCCAGAACTGCTGGCCAGCATCATCAGCCAGTGTGAAGAGTACTTCCAAGGCGTGGCTAAACCTAAAGGGCCCGAGAAGTCTGGGAGCAAGGAAGAACCATGGATGGCAGATTGGCGCAGCGGGATTGAAGGCATAGGGGGCCTGTGAGTAGGTCATGACTATCGTCCACCAACGTTGCTGAGTTCACGCTCTACATGTGATGGCTTGTAACGTTAGTGAGGCTTCTATACAAACACTCGTCCCCGAATTAACGCTTCAGCCCGCTGCCCAGTTTACCAAGACGGCTGTCGCCAAGAACGTGGCTGGGTGTGTTCGCCTGACGAAGAACTTGCCGTTGTCGAATACCAGTCCTATGTCGCACTACCTTGCGGCCAAAGGGTCAACTGCGTGGGAAGCAGCAATGAAGCAGCGAAAGGAGGTTTCGGAGGATGATGCCATCCCGGTTGGATGGCGTATTGTGGAGAAACAGCATACCGGAGCTACAGAGCATGAGTCGCCTACTGACTCAAAGGCTTCCGGAGGTTTGTTCTCTTTCTGGTCCAGGAGGCAGTCCAAGCCGCCTGCACCCGTCGCCGCGGCTACTACTCCGAAAGGGTCCTCGCCCACGCGTCCATCGACATCCAGCCAGCCGGATGCTCATCCCAGAGAGAGCGGTGGCCAGTCCGCTCGATCGAGTGCTGACGTCGTACGTACCCCGTCGCTGTCGGACCGACTGCCGAGTCCCATATCGGAGGCTGCCCCGCGGAAAAATTCACTGGATATGATAGCCTCCGCATCCACTGCTCCATCTAAGAATTATGCCGACGCGCCTGAGCCCCAGGTGGATCTACAACCCGCACAAGCGTCCCCGTCGGCTGTCACGAGGTTCCTCAACCGCTTCTCTCGCAGGCGATCCGCTAGCCCGAGAAACTCGCTTGCACTATCCACCGACGACTTGGAATTTCTCTCGGACATCGTCCCGAACGTTCCTGATAACCATGGCGACGATGACGACCAGTCTAAGGGTCTCAACGACATCCTGAAGCCAGAACCTCTACCGCCAGCTCTTCCGCCGCCGCCGCTAGCACCTCCGCCTCGACCAGCCACTACAATAAATACTCGCAGTCAGCACGCGAATACCGCGCACACAAGGCCGGCTTCATTGCTGGGATCGACGGACAAGTTAGCGTCACCGTCTCAGAGCCAAACGCCGCAAAGCGATTTGGACGACATTTTTGGAGCGTTCGAAGCAAGCCCTCCTTCGACAAGCGCCCCAAGCGCAGTACCCGCACCTGCGGCGTCGGTGCCCGTTGTGGGATCCAGTGGTCGTGTGCCCTCAAGGTCACAGAGTCCGCTTGTTCTCGCTCCTCAGTCCAGGACATCAAGTCCGTCGCCATTGTCATTCTCAAATACATTCGTCTCTACGCATACCGAGCCACAGCTTGCCATCAATCCGCCTCCACTCTCCTCTGTCATCCCAGTTCCGTCTTTACAACGTTCATCGACGAGCTCTCCCGAGACCTCTATGTCACACAGGCCTTCCTTGAAGCCGAAGGTGCAGCTGTCCTTCAAGCTACCTCCCCCGCCAGTCAACATTGCGCCTGCGCTACTATCTGCTAGCGAGGTTCCTCTCGCTCAGCTGTACCCTCAGGCTGCAGCCCGTCAACAGGCTCAGCAGGTGGCTACGGAGTCAAGCTCCCGGCCTACGCCGCAACCTACTCAGCCCTCACGCTCGCACACGCCTGTCATGGTTCAAGCACCGCTGAACTCAGCCACCGTCAGTGCGCCTCTTCTGGCGCCCCCACCAGGGTCTTCTCGCCCGTCTGCTACCGCGGTGACGACCTTACTGGGAGACGACGACGATTTCGACGATTTCCAGTCATCTGCGCCTGCTGTGGACGGAATGGGGTCCGCCTTCTTTCTTCCGCCTCCGCCATCGGCGACGACAAAGCCTGGCGCCCTGGCGCCCCTGTTGCCCCTGCCATCCAGCTTTGCGTCGACTATGCATCCGTCTCCTTCAACGCCCCAACCCTTATCTTCAGATCCACTCAACGACGACTTTGCAGGAATGCTATCATCCTCCACTAGCCTAGGCTCGCACCACAGCCGCATGTCAGGGTTCAACAGTGCCTCCCAATCCGGCCAGTCACTACTCGCCACGCCGCAGAAGATAAAGCCCCTCGATTTTGACGACGTCAGCCCCGTGTCGACGGCTCTCCGCACTCCTTCGCCTCCCCACCCGATATCGAAATCGCCGAGGCAGTCTAATACTCTCGAGCCGCTGCCGATACCCGTACCCCCGTCCACCCTCTCATCCCAAGAAAAGCAGGCGCGTGTGAACCAGCACATGCGGACGCTGAGTCTCGTGGAACGCGCGGCGGCGCATCCTGGGCAGTGGCCTGCGCCGCCGTCACCGCTCCCGCAGGCGCTATCGTTCAGTGTGCTTGGCGAGAAGCCGAAAAACACGGTCGACCTCCTGGGCGACAATGAATCACTCGGAGCGTTCGAGTCGGAGGGCTTGAAGCCGCTGCGCTCGGCACCAGCTCTGGCCACGCTTGGGAGCACCGCGGAGACGCGGACGGCACAGCCGGCGTGGGGTGGGCTCGCGCCACCAAGAGTACAGCAGGCCGTGAAACCGAGTGCACCGAGCACAGGTCAGAAGTCTTCTGGTGGATTGTCTGCGCAGGATTTGTCGTTCTTTGAAGGATTGTAACGAGACATAATAGGCCAACAAGCTCTATTTTAATCCATGGTGTGCAGCAACCTATTATCCCTTCTATGAATTTTCCGGACCTGTTCAGCACGCATTCACATGTACTGTACCCATACTTGGCAAGCGTGCGCGCGGTTGTCTTTCCTGAGTCTAAGTGAAACACAAATGACATCAATTCAGTGACAGAAGATCCTCGTATGTCACATTCGACGGTCCCCTGACATTCCTACATTTGTCCGTGACAAAGCCTGTTGCCTATTACAGGGAATTGTTGCAACTCTCCGCCAAAAGGCGGACAAGCCTCTCCGGCTCATCCCATTGAACCTACACAGTGATCAGCAAACCTTGTGATGAGAACTCGACCGAGCAGAGAGGGCTTACAAAGTGATTTGCTCCCTTCAGCCTCAGGAAAGTAGCCTTTCGCTTCTTCTTATCTGGATCGGCCGCCTCTCCAATTAACTCCTCAGCCACTTTAGCTCCCCACATCGACGCCCACGGAGCCTGCGCGGCAGCAAGATAGAGGATGTCGACGTCGGGCAGAACTGCACCTGCATCAGAGAATGCACAGTGTGCATGCTTACGGCGGATCTCTTCGTCTGTGGCTACTATCAAGCCGGTCAGGTGTACACAATCCCCAAGTTCAACGATACGTTGGTAATCTTCCGGAGACAGGGTGCGGAGTGTCGGTGTGCGTGGAAGGACGGTGTAGTATTTGTGCAGTGATTCAGCAGTGATGGGGACACCGTCTGGTGGCGAGGTGTGATATGCAGACAGCCAGTCGATGAACTCATCCGGCTTCCGTTCATCTGGGATTGTGGGATCACTTAAGGGCATGCTAAGGCCTATGTCAGGAAATACACCAAATACAGCCGTCGTTGAGTCTGTGGGAAAAGAGCTGAGCGTTCGGCCACATGTGCATAAGATCTTTAGTGCGCACCAAGAAAGACGACCGTACGCAGGTAAGGAGCAAGCGTAGCCGTCAGATCACCTCCCATCGTCCGAGGATCTCCTAGAATGGACACGACGGCGATGCCGGAAATAGACCACGCCACCAGCACCAGCCCACCCTCTTTCTTGGCTCCTTCGCCTGCGGCGACAGGGATGCGCAATGTCTGACAGACGTATGCGAGAAACTGGGCGGTCTCTTGTCCCAGTCTGCGCACACCATGCGCTTGAACTTCAACGTCAGGGCTCGTTAGGCGTGCCAGTTCTTCTTCCGTGTATGGGGTAGATCCATGGTAGCCCCGGTTGTTCATAGTGATTATGCGCAGGCCGTACTTGGAGGCATACGGCAGCATGCGCTCGAATATAGCTACATATGTCTTTTTTCAGAAACCTCTCGTTGAACTGGACTAATGGACATGCCTGAGTTGACAAATGCACCATGCGTGATAACGATAGTGGGGTATGTCACGGAGCCGTGTGGCACACCAGTGTCCTGGTAGTAAATGGAGGTTCCGTTGTCGTCGATCTGTGCGCGAGGCATACACGGTGAGATGTTGGGAGGGGGGACTCCGTCTCCTCAAGTAGGGCCTACAAGACACCTGCTACCTTCCAAGATAGGAAGCAAAGTCAGCGATTGTCTCAGTCTGCACTACGAGTCGCTAATAAACAAACCCTGGGGTAGTACATTGGCACCACTCCTTGAAACACCCAAATTCTCCCGACCTGTCGAGCACGTTCTTGTGTCAGACGCGTAGTGCAGACAGTACTTATGTCCGCGTTTCGCATTATGGAATGCGACTGAACCCTGCTGCTCCTCTGCCATAATCACCATGCGCATGTTGAACCTTCTAAGACCTTCTTCTTCCTCGGCCGCATTGCCTACTATGCGCCCGACAGACGGCTGTTCCGGCACCCTGAGGGGCGTGCTCAATTCTAAAGTGAGACGATTTCGGACCACCATAGCGGGGTCGTGATCTGAATAAGCACAAGTATACGGAGGTGATCAGATAGACTCGCTTACCAGCCACTCGCACTGCGCAGAGCTACTGTGAGCCCGCGGGGCGGTCACGTGCGCCTCCATCCGTTTCGGAGGAAGCGGTGGGGAAAGGTGGGGACGAGCCTAGTGATCAGGTACGCGGCTGTGGACCGACAGACCTCGTTCGATGGCCGCGAGGAGCATCTACGACTGTCCGTGTCCACCGGTCCAGTGGCATAACCGGGAAAGGGCAAATATTTGCCATTTTAGTCGGCTCATTGCGACGTCGAACATACTGTAGCGATACGACCAAAATTTCAGGTCGTGACGGTCATGATAGGGCGATGAACTGGTAACATCAGCGTGACTTCAAGTTGGACGCTCTTAAAACATATTCAGTAAATCTCGCTCAACATTTGTTCGTCAATGCACAAGCTTGGTACTATCTATCCTCGGGGACGCATAGCACTGGAATCGGCCAACGAACTACAAACTAATTATATCTCATGCAAGCTTGCTGCCGAGGGCGGCCTTGCCTGATGTAGCCTACGTCTGCCCTGGTCATCGAATGTGAACTCTGAACTGACCAGGTTTCAAGTGTCGACACTGCGCGCACGGCCTGAACTGTTGGTCATCTCCTGTCATATCGTTACAGTGTGTTATTTGGCAAAAGACGTCCGAGCGAGTGACCGTGGGAAACTACATCGCTCTTCCGATTGCTTCGCGCATGATGTCCTGCTCGTTGACGTCGGCAACAGTTCGGTGTTCATCCTGCTGTATCCACACCCGGTTTACATCAAGTGTTCTCATCTACCATACATACATCTCAGGCAACAGTAAACAGTCCTAGTAGGGGCTACACTTCCTCCAGAGCCTTACCGGATTACTTTGCATGCGCAGCTCGATGGAAATTGATATTACATCTGAAAGTGGGAGGCGATGTACTAGTGTATTGCACAACGTGAGGGCTATCTACATATCTACGCCTTTCCCAGAGTCGCAGCAATGTGCTCCAGGTCAAGACCGACGGGACTCCCGTCCTCCCACTGCTTTAGCAAAGTCGGTTCTAGGTTCCCCTTGTAGTTCTTTTCCCTCATCCACTTCTCGAGAGTCTGTACGTTAGGGTTGACCTTGCGGACCCAAGCCATGTCTCGCTTGATAAGGTCATCTCGGAACATGTACCACCATGCGGTGAAAGCTTCCTCCCAAGTCGTTGATCCGTCGCCGCGCTTGCACTCCTTCGCGACAGGATAGTCGGTGTTCTTCCAGTTGCGGAACCACTCCTCGACGGTGATGTGCACTCCGACGGCCGGCAGCCCGGTGACCCTCTTAAAGGTCTCAACGGTGTTCTCGAGTGTGGCCATCTCGCTCGCGATTGCGAGGTCCCTACCTGAGACTTCGGCGCGATTGTCGAAAGAGTAGCGGGCGAAGAAGCCGACGTCTTTGAGGGAAGTCAGAGAGATGTGGCCCTGAGCAGTGGGGAATGCAAAGACGGATGTGCCATCGGCACGGCGGGCGAAAGGGCCGAACATAGGCTGGACGTCATCCCGTCAGCGCTGCATAAAAATTTTGGTGTCGAATGTACGCACGAGCGTGAGCATCTCCGTATAAGGACCTGACGTGAGGGAGCTCCAAGACAGGTCGCTGTCGCTGACGACAGAAGGCTGTGCTTTCAACCAATCGGTGACGCGGCCCTTGGCATCGTAATGGCCCGTCTTGTACTTAGGGTCGTATCCCGATATCTACGACGACGACGTCAGGGTCGCCGTGGTCGGTGAAACAGCGTAAGATACCTTGGTGATATAGTCAAGGCTGCTCCAGATGTAGTGGCGAACGGTTTTCGCCTGCTTGGCAAGTTCGAAGATGCGCATCCCGATGAAGATCTCCTTTTGCTCGCCGATGGTGAATGTGTCCGTGTTCACGAACGCACCCCAGGCACCCCGTAGGGCAACGAAGACGGTGGCCAAGTCGTCGACCGAACCTGATGACATCGTCAGCCGGTCAGCTAAGATGGATTATATCATTTGCCCCACCTTTGATGATCTCTACGCCCTTGGCCGCAAGCTCTTTGGCGCGACGGCTGTCCGGATTACGAGTCAAGGCGCGGATGGCATAAGGTGAGGGCGAGCCGTCTGCAGATGCAGCGAGGAGCGCGTCGATGACAGGGATGCCCTGAGCACCGGTGGCACCTATAACCAAGATGACTTTCTTGTTGGCAGTAGGGGACATTATTGCGATGCGAGTGTGGATGATGTCAGTTCGACCGCACGGAGGCTCTTTTTATACCTCTTGGGTCTATCGCGTTATCAGCACTGGCTCGGGTAGGTGGGTGTCGCTTGCGCTGCCCGAGAATACACGCTGGCTTCTGAATCCCAGAGCTCCCAACTAGCTCTTGGCCGAGTCCAAGCAGGACTGGTATGCCCGAGGCCGATCTTGAGGACTTGCCTTTCCGGGCGACTCGGGCATTCCCGCGCCAAATGGAAGGTCGAATGCTGTCTGGCGTCTGTTGTACAGGAAGATGACCAGTCTTGCTATGCCCGTGGCCGAAAGAATTGACGCGCACTCAGGTAAGTCGCCCCATAGACTGCCAGATAGCGAGAGAAGATATGACTTATTAGCTGATCCAGAAGATCAAGAATATGTCCAGAGGGCGGCTACACGGTCTGTCTCGGCTTCCTCCTCTTCCGCGTTCCCCGGTGCACGCCGCGTGGGGATCCACTGGCAATGAGATATAGCTATAACCATCGCTGGCTCCTTCTTAATTCTGCGCTTTGCCTCCGTCTCATACAGCTACAAAACAAGTCAGCGTACTCCTCGCTCATGCATATATAATTTGACCAACTTACTGTACTGTAAGTGTGGTCCAAGAAGTCCTCAAGCGAGTAATTCGGCTTTGTGAAGGCCTCCTCAAAAATACGCGCCATCGTTGACACGGCAGAGTGATAATGCTGTCTGTGCGTGTAGAGCTCCCAGAGCGATGAGTCGATTGCGTTCGTCAACATTGGATCAGGCTCGGCGTAATCAAACGAATCTACAGGAGATACTGTGAGTCGACTCATTACGGGGTATCGGAGTTGAGACATAGATCTACCCTCAGTGGTCTCGAACGAATCATCAACCCGGTGAACCATCACCATGAGCGCGGGATGCTTCTTCAAGATGTTGTAGGTCAGAGGGATAATCATGACAATGGCCGCTGGCGGTGCAGAAAGCGAGAGGCGGGCAAGCCGTTTCATAAAAGACGCAAGTAAGTTGACCGGAAGGTGACTAGCGGAGCGGAATGTCAGCTGGTCGGAGTAGTTGAAGACACGCTCAACTTACGTAGAATTCAAGAATAGTTCGGTCATCCGAAAGAAGCGGGCACGATGCTTGAGGTGTAGCACATCACGATCAAGGAAGGAGTATAGCTGGGTGTAAAACGTTGGGTAGTCGCTGTGTGCACATGAACGCATGAATGATTCGCCACAGGACGGCTACAGGTGGACTTACAGATTATATTCCTTCATAAGTATGAACAACGCATTGAGAGCTAAAAGGCCAACAGTACCGCCATAGTCCACACACGAGGCGACCCAGTCCATGATCATGACGGCCCTCGTCAAGTGTGGCATAACACTGCGGTGCATGACATTCAAAGCGCGGGTAATAAGAGCCTTGCTGTCTTCTGATCCAGTCGATAGCTGCGAGAGCAGGGTCAACCACGTACGCGTGAAGACAGCTCGGTGTGATGAGAGCGAGTGTAACGATTGATGTATACTGAGTTTGTGTAATCTTGCCCCGGACGCTCTCGCTTCTGTCGAAGCGTCCTGTTTATTGCTGCCCTCGTCGAAGAACTTCCGCCAGTCGTCGTCTACATCTTTATCCTCCTCGAAATCCGGTGCTTTGGATTCCTCGTCATCGTCCTGGTCACCATCACCGTTCTTTTGGACCTTCGGTTGTGGCGGCTTCGCACCCAGTTCCTCGACCCACCATTTGTTGAGCTCAGAAGATTCGGTCGGGAATGTCATCAGCTGTTCGAGTAACGATAGCAGGTTCTCCGGGACATTCGGGTGATCTTTGTGAGAGTATGCAGCGAGCAATCCTCTGATGTGCGTAGTCAGATGCCGGTTCACATAGCACAATCAAACCACTCTTACGCAGATTCCCGAAGGAAGAACCACCGTATATCGTCATATTCACTGAGCCATTGCTCCATGAACATGTCTCTGACCTCTATGTCCAATTTACCCTCGTCCGCACCAGAGTCGTTCTTGCGCTTCTTTGTCTGGTACGCCGCACGAGGAGAAGCGGGGCACAATAGAAGCCCACGAACGATTTGGCGGAAGTGTGACACGTAGAATTGCGGTCGTGACGCAGAGCTGGATCCAGAAGCTTTGCTAACCATGGCTGACAGGTGTTTTTGGAGCGACAACAAGATCTTAAGTGAAGACGTCTGCAGTAATTCTGGCAGTGAACATCTTTGACACAAGGCGAGCCAAAGAGTGCAGCAGACACACCTTGAGAGTGGACTCTTCATCATTCAGCAGACCAATTAGCAGCTCCACATAGCTGTGAAGCTTCTCCTGAAGCCAAGCGCGGACTGCCCTAGTCTCGTCACCCCCGGCAACATTCAGCAGCAGACCGTTGGCTATGATAACCACAAAAACTCTGTAAAGTGAATATATGGCCCTAGAGAGAGTACTCAGGTCAGAGGGGTTGCGTGTGATATCCAGCAGGTCAGCGAGAGGGTTGAGGGAGGACTTCAAGGAGACCGCCGCAATAAGCTGGTCTTCCAAAGATGTTACGGAGGAAACCGTGGCCGGACTTGTCTCTCCATAAACCGTGTGTTTGCGCTTTTTCGAGGATGCCGGGAGTGATGGGCGAGGAGCCATTATGAAGGCTTTTTAGACGAGGGGAGGCGGAACGAAGACAGAGCTAGACAGACCGAACGCCGAGCATCCCGCCCTGATGGCGGGGTTGATCGACGCCGGCGCCTTTATGATGCGACCCCGAGAACCTCGCACCGTTCGCCACAGCTGAGCTCTCGGCGACTCGGTACGGCATATTGGGAGAAGTACATGCCTTTAATACGTCAAATACTATTTCTTTTGCATAAGAACAAAATTCATCAGAGTTTGGCTTGCGAGGGCAGGCTGAACACGTTCTCGAGCTATACCGCGAGGATTCTTCTTCTCAAGTTACTGATATAGCTCAAACCAGTTTCGTGTATCCACACATGAGAGCATTGGGAATAAGGATGTAAAAATGTGTGGTAGCTGTCAGCGAAGCGTGCCATTTACCTCGCGGACCTGTTGATATTAACCCTCGCCTCAGACAGTCCGTGATACTGCTTTCGAAAGCATGAAATGTTAAAAATTAAAAACTGGAGACGTTCTATCTGAGATATACTACGCATAAGATACAAATGGCGACGGATGCCAAGGTCCGAGACTGCCATTTTCACCGTCGGTCGGGAGATTCAGATGACAGCACTAGTGGAGATACTCTACTGTGAAATGCGTAGTCGAGGGTGCTGAGGGAATCTGATGGTTACTAAGCTGTGGATTAATACAAGGCAGAGAGTACTAGTCTGTCTAGAAAGGAGTGGGGAGCCAATGCCCCTGTATGGCATTTCCTCGGGGTCTCCGTCATTGCTCTTTGAGACCCCGGACAGCTTCGACTGGAACCGACGCTGGGCCTTCCTCCTTCGGCTGCACACCACTCACACTTCGTCTTTTCATTCATTTCGCTCTTGGTCGACCACCATCGTCCCCGGGATTTGCTTGACATGGACGTCTCGTCCGTCGAACTGCGCTCGAACATAGTGGAGTGGGAGGAGGGTGATGTTCACGCGTGGCTCATGACGTTAGGACTGCCGCAGTATGAGAACCAAATTCGCCGTGCGTCCCCTAACCTCTGTCTCTCGATGCTAACATTCACGCTGCATCTTAGTGCACCGCGTCTCTGGAGAAGTACTATGCCTTATGGATGCCGAGAGTCTTAAAGAGATTGGCATAGAGACCATAGGGCAGCGCCTGGCAATCTTGAAGGCCGTGTACCAGCTCAAACTCGCACAACAGATACCAATAGATGCGGACCATTACGTGCCTCCTTGTGCGTCTTCCTCTATCCCGTTGAAAGCACGCCGGCTGACTGTGTCACAGCCGAAGTGGAGGAGCGCCAAGAACACTTCAACCTTGACAGGATGTACGACCTGCTTAGGGACCAGGGTATGCTGCTCGCTCCAACTTTATCTGACTTGACTCAACTGTTTATAGGCGACAGACTTCGCGGCTTGGAAGAGGAGAATAGGAGATTGGGTGATACTTTACATGCGTGCCTTGAAGACATCAACGGCCTTCGCTCATCACAGCCTTCTCGGACAGTGCATGTCAGTCGTCACACATACCGTTTTGGACTATTCTGACGCTGGTTGTAGTCTGAAGTAGAGAGTCCAGTGAATAGGGCACCGTCATTCAAGTGGGCGTCCTTCGTTAAATCCGGGCGATCACCCACAAAAGCTTCGGCGCAAGAGACCATCATCGAGACACCACAGTCGTCTCCTCAGCGGGCTGAGCACGACACCAGCACGAATAGTTCACGCATAACACCCCTGCCTACCAATCTAGACAAGCAGCGGTCGCACGCACTGCATGCTCCGAACCCACCGTCAAACTCAAATGGGAACGCAAGTGCAAGCTCAAGCACACAGACTCTCGCCCAGCCTCAGCACCCGCGGCCTTCCAGGCAGGAGAGCTCGGACAACCTGAAGAGCTTCAAAGTTAGCCTCGACGACCCTGCCTGGAAGGTTTTACCCGCAGCCCTGAAGAAGTACAAGATCAATAACGATGACTGGCAAAACTATGCGATGTTCATCTGTTACGGTTCTACAGGTAAGTACCATGGTTTCGCAAGTTTTAAATACATCGTTGACATACTGCTAGGTAACCGCATTGAAAGATGTTTGAGCTATGATGAGAAACCGCTTTTGCTGTTTCAAAAGCTGAAAGATGCGAAGAAGAACCCTGTCTTCATGCTAAAGCACATCAAGGACATCAGATCGCCAATTGCTGTCGCTCAGCAGAAGCAAGCTGCACGCAAAGCGACATCAGAGACATCCTCGGTGAAGTCGCCGCCGCTCACGGGCACTTCAACATCGTCTCAAGGGCTCGGCCCACAGTCGCACGACCGAGCGCACCCACCAAAGTTGCAGGTCAACAGCCATATAGGAAGCGCAGCACCGCAGATCATGACCAGTGGTCCGCACGCACAATCAGGATGGCCGGAGATCATGTCGCCGGCGGTAGAGAACAAAGACCGGGCAGAAGACTTTGCGTCTGGGAGCACGGAGGGCTCACGTTCACAGTCTACCTTCTCTGCAACAACCGGCACGGCATCGACAGACGGTACGGAGTCAACTGCGGCCACCAGCACGCGAGAAATTCCGCCATCGACCGGCGTCTCGTACGCAGTGGCGATCTACCCATATATGGCGGAACAGGAAGACGAGTTTGACGTTGTCGTGTAAGTCCTCACTGCCCTCGCACCTTTAAACACTACTCACAGATATGAAAAGTGGCGACACTTTCATCATCCTATCTCGTGCTCGTGGTTGGTGGGTCGTACAGCGGGATCCGGAGGGCTCGGGGAAAGTGGAACCCGATACGTCCAAACAAGGATGGGTGCCTGCAGGATGCCTTCTGGAGACCAGTGTCCCGGTCGCCGCCGCTATTGAGCAGGCTACAGCTAAGGGCGCCGTGGCCACACCGACGCCTGAGGCGGGATCCACACCTATCCTGCCGTTGAGTATCTTGTCCACGAGCTTCCCTGGTATCGCCTTGATGGAGTATACCAAGAAAGGCGAGGAGGAACTCACTCTACAGAAGGATGACGCTCTGCGAGTGTTTAAGCGATATAATCATTGGTCATATGTACGTTCCTTTCTCTGACCATCGGCACGTCGACTAAGGTCTCGTGTAATAGGCCGTCAAGGAGGAAACTGGCGATCGTGGCTGGGTGCCTTCTTGGTATATTGGCAAGGTCCCGACGGCCGTTGGCGCACCTGCAACCCCGAGCTCCAGTGGTGCACACCACTTCAACTCCGCCACTCTGTCCCTCGACGGTGACATGTCAGTCAGCAGCCAGCAGACGCAGGTATCGCCAATGTCTTCTGCCTTTCCGCCGCTTCAGTCGTCACAACATCGTGCGGGATACGTAATCTAGGTCCTCACCTCGATTCAATCCTACTCCTCAATGTCTGGGACATTAACTTATTCTTCCATGTTTCCCTACGCCGATTCTCTGCTTGTAGTCTACCTTATACCTCATCCATTATATGCATCGCATTCTATCCTCCATTTGTTCGGCTTGGCTTACCCCCCTTCGATGTTTACTCTCATCGCTGATGCCGATGACGATCCTGCCACTCATTTCTGCCTCTTTTTCTGAATTTCCTTTGCTGCTGTCTGGAATTTCTGCATCTTACATACTTGTGAAATATCACATCATCACTGAGGACGCCTCTTCGTTCGTCTCGCTTCCTTCGTTTTGGTGTGCGCCACCAGCTCTCCTGTACTACTATACTTAGTTGATCGTAACTCGCTATATGCGCAACTACACGCCTTCATATGATCAGTGTCATGTGTGAGACTAGGCAGAAATTGTGTGCGGGCCGCATAGGGTATAGTACGTATCGTCTATTCACAACAGATAACAAAAGGAGTACAAGCAGATAACAACGGAGCAGTTGACACTCCGATACACTAGCGGCACATGCATGTACGACAGCGTTGTCAGAGTATCAGTACAAACATGTACTATGGAGGTGCAATTAAGCTGTCGTCCGTCGTGAAGAACGGGTCCTCCGTCGCCCAGGCTTTTCATCTTCGCTCGACTCGCTGAGCACGCTCAGCTTCCTTTTTTTCGCATTTTTCTGCGGTGCCCTGCGACTCTCCACAGCGTCAAGGATGCGCTGCTTCTTCTTGTTCCACTCCTCGAGGAGCTCTTGTGCACCTGAGAGGTTGTCGCGGGGCTCCCACGTATCGTCGTCGATGCCCCAGCCCGCCCAGCGTACACAGTACGTCGCTCCCCTCTCCGCCACGATCGCCTCGACCTCGAATTCGTCCTCGCCTCGTGTGGGAGCCTGACCGACGACAGGCTCGATGCGCACCCACTCCGGCGCGAGCCAGTGTGCGGGTATGTCCGTCGTAGGCATCTCGTCGCGGGGCTGATATCGGCGCTTGCCAACCTTGGTACGCTCGCCCTTGAGCTCGGGAAGACTCGCACGCGAGTACTTCTCGCACTCGCAGAGCGCGTGCTCGATATCAACCATGGTAAGGCCCACGGGACATCCATCCATTAAACTTGGCAGGTCCTGCGTGCGCACGCCAGCCCAGTTCCACCACGAGTACTGAGTGTCGCGCAGGTAGCGCAGCGCCTGCGCCGCTTTGTGGTCGTCGCGCATGTCCCCGCCAAACATTTTCATGAGGCATGCACGCGAGCCTGGCCCAAGCGCGACCCACTCGTCTTCGTTCCACTGGAAGTGCGGGAGCATATTAAGGTCGAGGAGCATCCTGCTCAGAGCGCGTGGGTAAGCTGGTAGAGATGAAGCTGAAGATATACGCACTGCATCGCTGTGAAGTCACCCATGCTTGGGTACAGGGAGAGATATCCATGTGCGTCTTTGAAGCGCTTGAAGCGTAGCAACTCCCGCGGAAGGTCCTCGCTCATCATAATCTCGATGAGCCTGAGGTGCGCTTCATAGTTGGTATTATAACCTAGCCTGGGCGCTGGAATGATATACGCGTTGTTATACAGCTCCCTTCGTTTCTCTGTAGGCCCGCTGGTCGCGATGTCCTCCAGAGCTTCTTCAAAGTCCTCAATGTTGAAGCCCTTCCATGTGAGGTCGCCTAGCCGCTCCTGGAGAAGCTCCCAAGTCTCGATTTTGTTGAAGGTCCGAAAGAGTATGACCCTGAACACGGATTCCTCGAGATCCTGGCTGCCTTCGCGTACGACGTGCCGCAAAATATATTGCGTATTCCGGTCCAGCACGCGATATATATTCGTGAAGGGCCAATCTTGCAATATCTCGTCTTCTGTCCAGGGCTGTGGCAACCCGCCCAGTCGCCGTCGCTGCATGAGGTGCCGCTCACAAACAAATTTGAAGAAAAGGTGCAACATCGAGTTTACGGCATACTGAGTGTTTCCGAGCTTGATTTGTTTTGGTGCCCTCGGCGACGTCTTGTATGCGGTAATTGGCGGTGCAAGGGGCGGGACCACAGGACGAGGCTTTTTGAGATCGCCGCTGGCCGATTTGACGGACCTTACTACCTTGGGCATGGTTTGCGTACCCCGTGCTGCGTTCCTGCCCGTTCGAGTTCTCCGCTCTCCGCGTGATGCGAATATGTGCTGTGATCTCCGAAGGGTCAACGAAATGGTGGGAACGCCGCTGATGACAGTATTGAGTGCGAAGACGATGGAGCGAGCGAGGGTTTTTTTTGGCCTGCGGCGACGTCGTTGCGCTTGCCAGCGAACAAAATGATACAGCGCGGCCACTGCCTATCCCGCCTCGCTAGTGCGCGAGCACGTGATCGGGGATATGCGCGTCTACATCCATCAGCGGGAAGAAGTCGAACATCAACATCGCGTCGCGGTCCATCCAGCCGCCGAAACTCCTTTTCGCTGCTCTCACTGTTGTGCGTGCTACATGCATCTAAATGGCCCCGGGCGACAGGAAGCCCACGCTGTATGATAGTCTCGGTCTGACTCCGACCGCGCCTCCTGAAGCAGGTGTGTAGCCGCGTTCGTATTTCCCAGTGGTTGCATAGTCCAAAACAGCAGGACAGTCAGGAAGGCATACAAACGGCTCGTACTAGAAACTCACCCAGGTCTGTGAATACAAAGCAATGCCTCGGGCGAGTACTAAAGAATATTGTCAGACAAGATTCCGTTGGATGCCACAGACGAGGAGAAGGCGACTACCGAACAGCGCTTTAGAGAGGTAGAGCAATTTCCACATTCCCTCATCTCTATTCTTACGCGATCGCACAGGTCTATCAAGCGTTCGAAATCCTTGGCGACACGGCAAAGCGCAGAGTCAGCCTCAGTCTTGCACCGTAAGGGGATGGCACTGACCTACGTCCCAGGTCTACGATAATGGCCTCAACTACCTGCGCGGTCGCGTCCGGATGGAAGAAATGCAGGCGAAGCTAGCTCGGGAACGAGAGGAATGGGACCGTCAATCCAAACTTCGGCAAGAGGAGAGACTCCGGGCGATGCGCGAGCGGATGCGGCAGCGCCAGGAGGTGGAGCAACTGAGAAGAGAGGAACTAAGGCGGCAGTATGACCAGCGGCCGGACGAGTACGAGGAGAAGAAGCAGGCACTCTTGGAGGAGCTGCGGCGCGTTCAGGAGCGGCAGCACGAGATCCTTATGAAGGCGGAAGCGAAACTGCAGGAGAAGATCACAACACTGCAAGAGGTTGCGAAGCTCAAGCGTGCGGAGTCGATTCGCTCGGCTCGTTCGGTGCGTTCTGCGCAGAGTGGAAGGAGGATGGTCTGTACGCCAAGTCGAAGGGCGTCGACTGCCAACGTCCTCATGAAAGCACACGAGATGCTGCGAGTAGATGAACTATTGCGCATACTTCGAGCGACTAATCCAGAGCTGGAAGCTCGAAGGCAGGCTGTATTGCAGGTGAGTGCTTGCTTGTATCTTGTGTCTCACGCAACTCGGCATTGACAATGAGATGTTCTCCAGCGCAAGGAAGAGAGAATGAGCACCTGTGACGGCGCATCAGTCATCTCCAAGGACTCCGTGTGAAGTATATATTGCAGGCTGATAAAGACCGCTGCAGATGTTATTGCTCATTTATAACTGTGGAAGGAAAATACCAAAAAGTTTCAATGTACTTGTACCCTTGAAGTTGAATTTCCAGCTCCGTTAAGGGGAGAGGCTTCTAACGCTGATGAGACTAAACCGAGGACCACAATGGTACTGTAAGGCATACCTTGACACCCTCACTCAACCCCCAAAGCCTTAAGTCTCGCCTTCGCTATCTTCCCCACACTTTCTATCGCCCTGTCCACTTCTCCCTTCCACTCAGGTCCTCCCACTACCGCCTGACCAACACCCTCAACCTCCGGCTCACTCGCGCTTAGAGAGTGCGGAATACCCAGGACACCCTCCATCTCTTCCATAATCTGTTCCCTCGTCCGGCCGTTCACAAACGTGATATATCTGAGACCGGGGTATCGGTGCTCGTAGCACGCATTCAGGTGTGCAAGCCGCGCGAGGACCTTGCGCGGTGTGGCGGCGGCGGCCTGCTCGCGTGCGCTGAGCGCTGAGAGGTGTCGAACCTCGCCGATACGGGGGTGCGCATCGACAAACCGCGCCTTGCGCCTTTCATCCCAGCCGTGGAGGGCGTCAAGAGCGCGGTCGACGAGATCCGCGTAGCTGTGCACGTTCGCGGACGGCAGGCTCCCAGCGAGCTGCGGGACGAGGTGGGCAAAGAGTGTGGGGGACGGCTCGAAAAGCACCGCAAGCACTTGCGCGAGGGCCCCGTCTGCAGCGTCCGTGAGACCGCTTTGCAACGCAGACAGGGTCGGGAGCGAGGACATGGCGGGGACTCAGGGACTGGGGTCACGTATAAATATTCAAAACAGATACTGTCACGTGCCCCGAAGTCGGCCAGGCTACGGCATTTTGCTCTATACTCGTAAATGCATGAATATAAGGAAAATACTACACCTCAGATCCACTAGAATGGACATAAACTATTATTCTACCAAGCGATAAATTATTGCCATTGTTGCTATAAGCACTATGAATATTTCGGTGAGAAGACTGCAGAAACAGCGCTTGGCATAGATCTCGGCCGGCCAGGCGCACGCAGTGCTCAAGCAGGACGCTTAACTTTGGCCGAGCCGCCGAGAGAGTACACAGGTCGCCATCCGGCCTTCCACAGTCGTTGCACAGCGCAGATTAGGGATAAAATGTATGTATTACATTAAATATAGGTAGGGGCAGGTTTCGAGTGTAGATACATGTTGGGAAAGTTGCCCGTTCTGTTTCTATGGCACAAAGTTCTATGCAGGCATGAAAATAGCAGGTCAGCAGAGATGTGCTCTTGGCGCACAACAAAAAATGATAAAATTAAGAGAGCACAAGGAAAGTAAATTATAACATGTACAGAAGCCATACCATGTGTTCCCTGCGCCCCAACCCTTTGTTGCAAGTGGTGATGTCCTTTTCCTTGGACATCTCCAGAACCGCCCAAGCCGTGACCCTGCTGTTCTAGCTGTGCCCAGAGAACCTTAGACGCGGAGTTAGACTGCAAAAAGTTGGGAGGTAGCAGTACATACCCTAATATTGACAATAGAGCCAGCTGTACAGAGCGGGGATGGTGATGGGGTGGAAAGAATGGTCTTCAATGAGAGGGGAAGGTCTGGCGCGCTACCAAATTTAGGCATCCTGGCTATTTCGGTGCAGTAGTGCACGCATAGCTCGAGTCCCCCTCGACCGATCTTGATAAAATTATACATTCATATAGAAATGAATACTATCGATATATTTGAGGCCCTATATTATGCTACAACAATGCTGTTGAGCCCAGAATACACGGTTGGCCGAGTGCTGGGCTTGGGCGGCTAACAGTAAGATGATCGCGTAACCAAGATAAGATGATCAGTGAACTGCCCCCGACATCCGCAGCTGTGATACTCGTCTACCGCAAACGCATCTGTGTGAACGCGAACCTAGACTACTCAAAATCTCGCTCGGAATAGCATTCAAGGGCACGACGCGCACATACAGAAGCGCGTACAGGTTTATTTGTCCCGTCGAGGTAAATAGAGCTGCTGATGGATACAGTTGCCTCGTGTAACCACAGTGCGAGATCTCCTCAAGCTCGTACCACTTCCCCGCTGCTGCAAACCCACAGCGCACACCATGCGGCGCTCCATCGACGCGATGTCGGCCTTTTCAAACGACGACTTTGCAGAGTATGACTTCGTTTCCGAGGGACAGCGTTCGCTCGAGTCGAGTATAGCGAGCTTGGGGCTAGGAGGTGATAATGTAGCCGAGATACACGAGCCAGCGCCATCGCAAGCGGCTCGCGCGACCTTCATAACACCATCCTTGACACCTGAAGACATACGTGCATACGTTCAGAGGTCTCTCGGTCCCGACGGAAGAATATACAAAACTGTAAGAGTCTATGTTGATGGCCTATTCGACCCCTTCACAGCAGGGTGAGCGTCTGAGCTAATGGTGAGAGAAGATAACACACTCATGGACCCCTAGCCATGCCCTACAGCTACGTCAAGCCAAGCTGTCCTTCCCGAATGTCCACCTGTTGGTGGGAGTGTTCCCGGGCGGCCGCTTGGAGCAGTATGGCCGCAAGGCCAGAATTCCGCACGTCGAGAGGTGTGAGCTAGTGCGGCATTGTCGATGGGTAGACGAGATTGTCGAGGATGCGCCGTGGCAGATTGACGAGGCGTTCCTAAACGCACACCGCATAGACTATGTCGCGATCGACGAAGGAGCATCGATCGACCCTGCGTATGGCAAGGAGAGAGTCAAGGGATTCGACTTGGTCAAGAACCTTCGTGAGTCGTCGTCCGTACTAGGCTTGGATTCGCGCGCATGCTGACTTATTTGCAGGCAAAGCTGTCCCGACTAGGCCAACACCAGGGCTGACAGCACTGCAGCTGTGTGAGAACCGAGGGAGCGAGACACCCGCTTTGGAACACGGCACCATCAAAGGCTTGCCGTCGTCGATAAAGATGCCCACAGGGCAGGATGAAGAGAAGTTCGAGGATCCATTTGAGGTAGATGAGCCACCGTTGAGCTTTTTGGAATAATTGGTATGTTCAAAGAGTGGACGCGGCCTCGAGTCAGATACTTGAAAGGCTTCGTGCCGTCGGCTATCCCCGATCACATCAAACACCCACCCATCTCCTTTCAGTTTCGTTCTTTGCGACATCCCCACTCATTTCTGCCTTGGTATGTGGCCTTCACGCTTCGCTTTTCTTTATATTTCAATCTCGACTACCAAGGCAGCTCTACGTGAATATACATCCCTTTTGTATTTCCGCGAGGGCTGTGCAGTCTCGATCTTAGGTGCTTCCGCTCACCTGAGCCTGACGGCACTGTCATAAGGGGGTGCATCCAAGTCTGCGGTATGCACACACACATCTCTCACATATACCGCCATGAGCACTACAAGCCCTGCAATAACTCGCTCGTCCTCGATGCCGTCGCTGAGACTTGAGCGGCACTCTGCCGCTCTTGAAACTATGCGAACAAGTGTCTCGATTCTTCCGGTCGAGCTAATGGAAGAAATTCTGCAGCAAGCTTGGGATCTTCCCCTACAGCGTGACGAGCGGATAGATATATGGCTATCCCTTACCACAGTCTCGCACACCATGTTGAACATCTTTATCCGCATCTCGATGCGGGACGTGCACATCATGACCCCTGCTTTCTCGCGGCACTATCTCAAGCTCGTCCGACCGCGCATGTCGTTCGAGCCCGACGAGAGCTACTTGCTGCGCAATGCCTGCCGGGTCGCACACCGGCTCTGCCGTTCGCTCACCTTCCACATCGACAGCCGCCCGCGCAGCGGCGGAGGCCCAGCGGAGCCCGCAATCCGGCTGTATGGCGACGGCGACCTCGCAGCGGAAGCGGTGAGCAACACGCTGTACGTGCTGGGCCTCCTGCCTGTCTTTGGGCCGAACCTTCGACGCGTCGTGCTACAATACACCGACTGGGGCTTCGACGACGTCCTCGACCAGTGCCGCCTACCACCGATGCCGACGCAGGTGTGCACCGTCGAGCTCCGCTACGCGTTCAGTCCCCGCGTCGCGCGCCTAGCAGACCTCGCGCGCAAACACTACACGCGCCCGTTCAGCCTCCCGGGCATGCACTGGCAGATGCCGCAGGTGCGCACCCTTGCCGTGAGCGGCGCACCGGGCGCTTTCATCACCGCCGTTGCGCAGATGTGTCCGCTTCTCGAACGGCTCGAGGTGGACGAGTATGCCGAACTCGACAGGGCGTGGAAGGTGCCGGAGGGTCTGGACATGCTCGTCTTCGAGAAGAGTGCCCCGCGCGTAGGCAGAGTCACGGATTGGTGGAGCGTCGCGCGAGCGGTGGCGGGCGACGCCGCAGCGACGACGACACAATACATGTTGACGACGCTTTCGACGCCGTGGAAGGATCAGCATGTTCGCCAACGTCTTAAGCGAATGTGTTTGCGCCAAAACACGTTCATCGTGTATGCCTGAGCGTCCCCTACTCTAGTAGCTGTCAAGCACAATGTGCTGCTGAAATGTAATGCATCCGTATCATCTAGAAATGTAGAGTACAAAGCTTGTGCTGTGCATAGTCGTCGTCGCACTGCCTCGAGAAATAATAGAGCAATAAGTCAACTGTACAAGGAACAGCGTCCAAGAGAATATCCAAGCCCTTGGGTACTAAGCCGCCACCTGGCCCTCACGTTCAGCCGGTTCGGGCTTAACGTCTTTTTTGCGGTGGACGGTCATGTGTCGTGCCAGTTGATCGGGACGCGCAAATGTTTTGTTGCAGCCCGGTTCTGCGCAGGGATACGGCCGGTGGCCCGTGTGCGTTCGTAGCTAACGGCAGGAAAGTTATATTTTGGCGGTAACAACAGTGAAGAAGCGCCAACTTACGTGCTTCGACAAGTTTGACGACTCCGTAAACGCTCTATACAGATGGTGAGTGAGAAATGGACGCAGAAGCGTGAGCAGGGGTAGACGAACCGCTCGCAGAACGTGCACTTGAAAGGCTTTTCACCGTTGTGCGTACGCTTGTGGATAGTGAGCGCGCCAGTGATTGCGAACGACTTGCCGCATCCAGGATAGTCGCAAACGTAGGGCTCTGGAGAAGTAATAATTAGAATGTCGAGGTACAGCGGCAGCAGTGGATACGCACTTTCTTGTGTGTGGCGACGCATGTGCTGTGCTAGTGTCGCAGCCTCCGAGAAATTCTGCTGGCATATACTACATTGGAAGGGTCGGTGCCCGGTATGGCTCTGCACGGCGCTGTGTCAGTCTCGGTCCACGCCCTCGGGCAGAAGCGACGCCTACCTGTAGGTGCCGGCAGATCTTCTGCTTGCTCGCAAAGCCGCTGTCACCATGGCGCGAGCACCCCTCCCAGTAGCAGTCGTAGTGAGCCTTGCCGCTGCCGACGTGCGCAGCGTTGATGTGCTGCGTGAGCGCGTCACACGACGCGAAGCTCTCACCGCAGCCCACCCAGCGGCAAACATGCGCTTGCGGCGCCGAGCAGTCGTGCTCGGGTGCGGGCGTCGGCGGGCCTGACGCCGGTGGCGAGACCTGCGTAGCGTCATCGCTGTGCACTGTCGGCGCGGGGGTGGACAGACCGAGGTGGTCCTGCAGCAGGTGACTCGCAAGCACGCCGAGCGCGTTGTTCGCCTGGTCGCCTATCGACGGGCCTGGCACCGAGCTGGGGGTCGAGTAGACCTGGCAGTCTGCCCACATGCAGGACAGCGCATCGGTGCGTCGCAGATGTTGCGACGACGAAGGCTGGGGGATGGCCGGAGGGGCAACGTTGCTTGTCGGCAGGCGCAGATGTTGCAGGTTGACATGGCCGACGAGCTCGTTCAGAGTATGAAAGGTTGCTCCGCAGTTTCCCCACATACAGGTAAACATCGAGGACGTTTGATGACCTGGCATCCCTTGGCCTTGCGGCGCGGATATAGGGGGAGGGTGTGAAGGGGATATCGAACTCATCGCAGAATGGGGCGTGTGGGTCATTGATACGGGGCTGTTTGCCAGTTGTGGCGTCGATGATGAAGATTCGTTTCCGTATAGCGAGCTATCGTGGTTCATGTAACCATGAAGCGAGTTATCCGGCGAGAATGGCCAGCTGAAAGTCCCGTGCTGAGAGGGCTGCGGCCTCTGCTCCACGAACAACTGGTGGTATTCTGGACAGCATTGTAACTACGAGGGCTGAGCATTATTGGGGGGATAATCCGGGAATACTTACGATTGTGTCGATAGCATCGCAGTCGGGGCCATCGGTGCACATGATATCGCAGCCGGCGATAGCATTGGCTGCTTCGCACAGGGAGTAGTCGTGGTGGACATCATTGCACGGTACCACGACACACTGTTCAGTACATTGCTCGGTGAGACTGAGCTCGCAGGTCCCCTGTTCGCAGACTTGGACACATTCCTCGCATGGCGAAGACATAGCGACACTGAAGGAGCAAGGAGAAAGTTTTTCTTCGAGATTGCGGAAGCTGCACAGGATGGTTTCCACGGCCGTGTCTGATTGGCGTCCTCCTGTTGTTCTAAGAGCTGAAAAATGTTGATAATGGCCTTGCGGTGAAAAATCGCCAGAGGCTTGGTGAGGACCGAAGTCGGAGCGTGCACGGTCTGCGAGCTGTGTCTGACTGCCCGTTGAGACGTGAGGCCGAGAGATGTGAGGCAAGTGTGGGGGGCAGTCCGCCATTGCCAGTCGAGTGTCTGCCATAACTGCGAAGGTACCCTCGCGGTCAAGGCATAAACAGGACGTGTATGACCTCGTGTACCCCGCGCGGTTATATCTCAGCCTCACGGAAACCGTCTGTGTGAAACATAAAATCAACGCACTCGCCACAGTGTCATGTGGAGGCCCATACCCTCTGAAGGCGAGGCGTGAAGATTTGATTGGTGCAAGTACAGTCGTAACCAGAGCCCAAAGTGGGAATCCCGGAACGGCCCGGGGGTGATCGGGGTCCGGCGAATACCCCACGCCCATGGCCACTGACGCCTTCATTCCTCACCCTCACTGGCTGGCTTAGGTATTTCAGACGGGACGGTCACGGAGCATCAGCCGGCCTATCTAAGGCATGGTCAGTATATATACCTGCCGAAATAGATAGTGCGTTTGCCCTCTCGACGACGTACACGGCGGCGACCCGTTCTTTCGACATCTGCGGTCTGTAAGTCAACCAATGCTTATGCTTGGGTCGTGGAAATGGACTTACAATAAGCTTCTGTGTCAGGACAATGCGAAACTGGGCCAAGTGCGCTTTGGCGGTCTACCTGAGCGTCCAAGCCAGAAAAGCAACAGGCACGCCGCAGTTCCCGATTGGGCTGTCCCTGGCTCCGGTCCCCGAATTTGCAGAGAACTATTGTCCCCAATTCGCTCCGCTATACCCAAAGACACACCATGACATAGACGAGGTTCTGGAGGATGTGTATGGCACCGAAGATTTCTTGCTAGAGGTTGTGAATGCTATGCAGGCAGTCGTGCGTATACCGTATGTGTTCTATCGCTGTCTGACAGGCTTTGGTACTAACGACCTGTCAACCCAGGACCGAGTCCTATGACGATTTCGGACCAGTCGGAGAGGACCCTAGATGGCAGTCTTTCGTGACCTTTCACGCTGAGTTGGAACGGCTTTTCCCCTTAGTGTGCGTCCTCGACCTCGACAAAACCCTCGAGAGCTCCTTACTTCTACTCTCAAAGACACCGTAAACTGCGCGCCACCAAGGTCAATAAACATGCACCCGTATTCCACTGGCAGGGGACCGACGATACCCTCCTTCCTGTCTTACTAACAGGCCACATAGGTAAGATGCATGCGGCATCACCTGCCACTGGCATTTCATGCGTCTGTATGCTACAGATGTCGTCCCTGTGGAGCCGGCCACGCTGGACTTGTGGGAGCACCCTCCGTATTCGGGCTACTATGACGGTCGGCCGATTCACATTTGCGGTCTAATCAGCCACTGACTATGCAGTGAAACAGGTACTTGGCTTTGGGGCCGTGGTAGTTGCGATGACAAGCCGGATGTCGTTTCACTCTTGCGCGTATCAACAATCTCGCTAGTTGTATGGAAGCTGACCTCACTCATACACCTCTAGAACCACCGTCACTTATTTGCTCAAGCAGGGATTCACTCCCCGTCGCAGTTTCGTTTTCGCTTTTGGAATAGACGAAGAATCTGCTGGATATGCTGTAAGTTCAAGTATAGTATGTCTACTTTGTGTGGACTGACGTTCTCCAAGGGTGCCTATCACATCAGTCAATACCTAGAAGAGACATATGGTCGCAATGGCTTCGCCGCTATCCTCGACGAAGGCTGTGCGTTTCGATATTGCTTCAAGTGGCTCGCTGGCTTACAGTTTTTCAGTGACATATGGTACCCGTTACGGCGGAGACGTCATCTTCGCTACTCCTTGCACCGCCGAAAAGGGCTATTTCGACCTGCGCATCGAAATTTCCACCTTGGGTGGCCACTCTAGTGTTCCTCCCCGGCATACCGTATGCTGTTACTCCCTGTTGACTTTTTAAAATCATGCTAATATGATGTACGAAAGGCTATTGGTATGCTAGCGTCCGTTATCACACTTCTAGAGGCTCATCCCCATGAGACTGTACTGTCTCGCGAAGGCACGGCCTTCCAAGAGCTCCAGTGTGCCGCTTCCTACGGCCCCGAGGTTCCAGATGTCATCAGGAGGCTCGTCAAGGCCGCTGTAGACGACGACAAAGCACTGGAGCAGCTCCAAACGGCGTTCCTGGAGTGGCAACCGGCCGCCGCGGCGGAGATTTCTACGACTCAGGCGGTGGACATCGTCTTCGGCGGCGTCAAGGTCAACGCGCTTCCGGAGAAGGTGACTGCGATCGTCAACCACCGCATCGCGGAGCACAGCTCTGTCCGCGAGCTCCAAGAGCGGACGGCCAAAATCTTAAAGCCCGTCGCGGAACGGTACAACCTCACGTTGGACGCGTTCGGCAAGAACATGACGACTGGCGGTAGTGGACGGCTCGCGCTCTCCGACGCCTTCGGCACTGCACTCGAACCCTCGCCCGTCACACCGACGGGGCACAGTCCCCCATATGTCTTGCTCGCCGGCACCATTGTTGAAGCGATGCGCAAGAAGTTCGGCGCTGGCGGACCGAAGGTTGTCGTCCAGCCTACTCTGGCTCTCGGTGAGTCCACCACTTCATGGGAAGAGTTCAATCATTGACGGACTAGGACCTCCAGGCAACACCGATACTAAACGTTACTGGAATCTGACGAGACATATCTTCCGCTACAGCCATATCTCCGCGGATGCTCTCTACAATGGCGCGCATACGATCAACGAGGCCATCAAGCCCACTGCCGTCGTAGAGAAGATCGGCTTCCATACTAAGTTTATTCTAAACTGGGACGAAGCAGACATCTAGCTCGTGCAGACTGGGCGGAGGATATAAAGTACTGGTGATGTTCGGATTATGTCGGAATTCTGGCTATATTATGTCTGTTGTGCTGAACAATCCAGCACGACGTTGACAGATGTTTGAGGCCCAGTGCCGACTCCCGTTCTGCAAGGTTCAATTTACGTACCGTGATTGTGGTGATGCGTGCGAACTGTCATGGATGTTCACGGGTTCTACCGCCTTCATATGCCTGGATTCTACGCTATTGGCTCCCCCTCAAGACAGATCGCCGGCCAAGCATGTTGCGAGGCCTCAAATCCTGCCTTCTCTTGCCCTGCTTGCTCTACCTGATGCTGTATGCTGTCTCTATCGCGTCGAGACTTACCCAGGACACATTGCGGATTCCGTCTGCGGAGATAGAGCGATTTGCTCCTACAACGGAGTACTGCCCGCAGTACCCAGCCTTGTACCCAAAGCGACACAACGACCTTAATCTTGCACTCCAGAGACTGTACACAGCGGAAGGCTTCCTGCTGCATGTCGTGGACGCTCTGGGAGCGGTCGTGCGCGTACCGTAGGTGTCAAAGCACTCTTTCTTATATATGCGAGAGCGCTAACTTGTTGATCGCAGGACTGAATCTTACGACGATTTAGGGCCGGTGGGAGAGGATCCTCGATGGCAGCCGTTCTTCACCCTCCGTTCTGAGCTGGAGAGGCTGTTCCCGCTGGTGTGAGTCGAGTTATCTTGCTTCGCATGAATTGGCTTCGTTTACATGAAGTGGATCTACAGATATGAGAAACTGCGCGTGACGAAGGTGAATTCGCATGCACTCATTTTTCATTGGCAAGGGTCCGATGATACTCTGAAACCGGTCATGTTTATGGCTCACATGGGTAAGAGACCCGCAATTTCCACCAATAACTTGCTTATGAACAGCCACACAGATGTCGTCCCCGTCGAGCCGTCCACGGTTAGCTCCTGGGTGCATCCACCGTATTCCGGACATTATGACGGTTTGGCTTTCCCAGTGCGTACGTGTCGGTAACTGGGTTTATCTCTTTTCTAGGAACATACCTTTGGGGCCGCGGCACGTGCGACGATAAGGCCGATCTCATATCCATCATGTGAATCTGGTGTAGTCACTCCTGTGCCTGCAAGGACACACGTGCTAAAGGATGCCAGGATAGCAGTAGATTCACTGTTGAAACAAGGGTTCCAGCCGCGTAGGACACTGGTGCTTGCTTTCGGTATTGACGAGGAATCCGCCGGTGTACAGGTTAGTATGGTCATCTAATATCTAATCGAGAATACCGAAAGCGTTTCCTGGTGCAGGGTGCCGGTCATATCGCAAAACACCTTGAAGAGGCGTACGGGCGGGGCAGCTTTGCTCTTATTCTAGACGAGGGAGGTTCGTAAAGGCATACAGAATGGTGGGCTATGGCATCTACTAAACTTGAGGCAGAACCGTTTAGTACGCCGTACGGCGGGAATGTGGTATTCGCCAATCCATATGTAACAGAAAAGGGTTACTTCGATCTGCGAATCGAGGTGTCCACTCCGGGTGGGCACTCAAGTATCCCACCGCCTCATACTGTATGCTTCTGTAGCTTGACTGTATAGCAGCTGACAACTTACTCCCGTGGGACGCAGGCAATCGGTATACTCGCTTTGGCTATCGCAGAGCTCGAGGCTCATCCTCACCAACCGCAACTACTGCGCAACGGCACGTTCTTCCAGGAGGTTCAATGTGCTGCAGCCCATGGACCTCACGTTTCTACCGAGTTTAGAAAGCTTGCCAAAGCCGCCATCGACGACGACACAGCCTTAGAACGGCTCACAAAACTGCTCCTAGAACACATACCCATGTCAGTGGCAAAGCTCGCGACCACTCAAGCCGTTGACCTCATCTCGGGCGGCGTGAAGGTCAACGCGCTTCCCGAAAGAGCGTATGCGGTGGTCAATCACAGGATCGCAGAACAGAGGCAAGCCGATCTCCTTGTATTCTGCCTGAATCTGGTACTGACCTCAACGCTTCAGCTCGGTGGCGGCGCTGCAGGGGCGCATTGCAGAGATAATCAGCACGGTGGCCGAGCGGCATGACCTCACGCTGAATGCCTTCGGAAGGACAGTTTTCACAGGTAGCAATGGCTGCGTCTCGCTATCGGACGCTTTTGACACCGCTCTCGAGCCCGCTCCCGTGACGCCCACGAGAGATAGCCCAGCTTACGCTCTTCTGGCCGGCACGATTGTGGCTGCACTCCGAGGATCTCATAACGTGAGCGACGTCGTCGTGCAGCCGACTTATGCTCTGGGCAACACCGGTAGGGAGCCTTATCGATAGCTCTACCAGATTGATCGCTCACGCAATACGAAGACACCCAATTCTACTGGAACCTGTCGCGGAATATATTCAGGTATGCCCACGTGCCCGCAGACGCGTATTATAACTCTCTGCACACCATCAACGAAGGTTCGTCCTGGCCTGTCCGTTGTCCGCGAGATCTACTCCATCTAAATTTACTTTGTCTGTAGCTATCAAACCTACGGCCTTAGTAGAGAAGATCGGCTTTCTTACGATGCTCGTTCTGAACTGGGATGAGTCGTCTATGTTTTGATTTTTGCTTACCTTTTGGTTGTTATGAAATTTTGTGGTGCGCGTGTAGTACGAACGTTGGGCCATATGGTCGTCCGTGGCCGCGTTACATCGCTAAGCCGACCGGAGGTGATCGCGTGATAATGCGTCTGTCCAGTCCGAGGGTTGTACATCTACGTATCAAACAACTAGGGGTTTATTCCTAACTTTCCTCGTAAATTCCGAACTGACCGTATACAAGCCTGTCAGCGAAGTGTATCGTGGTCGGGATCCAAAGCCAGCGGTCCCGAGGTCTCCTGGGTCTGCACTGCTTCCCGCAATATCGCCACATACAGAGCTATCATCATGGAAGCAGGAAGCGTTTCAGCTGTTGCAGCGCCATATTAGTAGACTTGAAACGCTTACCTGCGACGCTCTTACACTGCACCGCCACGAGGGCTACTTGGCACCTGGCTATATCTATGGGCTAGACTGTCCGCTTTCCTGCAGCTGATCTGGCGCAAGTAGGAGATGGCAGACAAGCTCGCTCGCATCGAGGATATCGAAGATAGCGTATTTGACTACGTTATCATTGGTGAGTACCCTGGGTGCTCTGAGACGACGGATATGTGCTTATCGGATATCGTTACTCTTTCCAGGTGGAGGGGTAAGACAGTCCTGCTCTAAATGCAGCTTCGTCTTTCTCTAAATGAGCTCTGTAGACTGCAGGATGTGTTCTTGCCCATTGTCTCAGTGAGGATCCCAACGTAGCTGTCGCCGTTCTGGAGGCGGGCAAGGCCCATTTTGGTGATCCCTTGATCAGTGAGACAGCACTAGGTGTCCCTGAATAGTTGGCACTGACACGTCTTGTAACTAACCAGACAGCCCGCTGCTTTTCAGGAAGCAATTCACGAACCCTGAGTATGACTGGGCATTCCCGATTATACCTCAAGAGAATGCCCCGCAGTCCCACCTTCGGCCTTGGAGTCGGCGGGTACATCCTTGCCGCTTCATGATATCGCACTGATAAGCGTGTACAGGGCTCTGGGGCTTGGCGGTAGCTCTAACATGAACGTTCTTGCGTACACTAAACCAGCCCGCGAGGAGATAGACGGTACGTGGACGAGTGCCAAGTTCCGCAAGCTCGGGCGGACTGATCCATATCCCAGCACTGGAGGCCTTAGGGAACTCAGGCTGGAACTGGGACACCTACCAAAAGTATGCCAAGAAGGCTGAAGGGTGAGTGCGAAGTTGCGTCTGGCATGTTCGTCGCTCATTGATCGTCCACGCAGTTTTCGTATGCCTCGCCGCTGTGAGATCGACGACGGCTTCCGAAACCTCTATCACCCGGATTCTGTTGGACATGACGGTTCGCCGCCCTCTACCATATGTCTCTATTTACCTGACCGGCCTTTGCTCGTAGGCCCGCTCACTCTGTCGTTCGTTCCCACCGGAACTGGTGCCGACGCTGCCTTCCTCCAGGTTTGTCGCGAATTCTTATGGTCAGGCACACAACGAGTTGAACTATGACCCCCTCTCAGAGTCTGGCTAAAAACGGACTTGACGTCCTCACAGATGCGGTGGGTTAGATTCCACTAAAGTCGTTAGTCATTATCGCTTATTCGTCTTCTGGTAGCTGGGCGGTGGGGTGAGTGCTACTTGTATTTGTAGGCGGGGTGCTCCACTTGATGTCGAGTAGATAGTAGGCTCTTTTAAAAGCCTTTCAACCTTCGATCCGGACTCTGGTCATCGGGTGGATGCTGCAACGGTGAGGCGTGTCTCTTCTTCGTAGCTGACAAGAAGCCTGAGACCATGATAAAAGGCATATCTGTTCCCGATACTCGACAGACCGAACCTCAAGGTCTTAACCAAGGCTTATGTTTGTCGGATATTAACCGAGGGCGAGGAAGAGAACGTCGTGGCTCGCGGTGTCGAATTCGAGCACAGTGGGAGGCTGCGGAAAACCTTTGCCTCACGAGATGTTATCTTGAGTGCTGGGTAAGCTTCGCTCTGGCTATCAACGTCGTCTCTGTATGCTTACAGTGTGCTCGCAGAAGTATCAAGTCCCCCCATATTCTCGAACTCAGCGGGATCGGTGACAAGGAAATCCTCGAACCTCTAGGCATCCGTACGGTAGCTGACCTTCCGGCTGTTGGCTGCAACTCGCAAGAGCACCACATCTGCCCAGCCCCACTGTTGCGTATGTGCAGGCTTTCGAAAGCTCACAAGAGCATTGGTCTAACAATCATGAACTTGACTTAGGCATGAAGGAAGGGAAGGGCATCGTCTCTGGCAATATGCTCGCTGATAAGCTTGTCTTGGCGGACCTGAAGGAGATGCAGTAAGCACAGACAATATTCTACATGCAAAGACTTAGCAGATACACTTACAGCAAGCTGAATATTGATTACACCATCGTCATCAATGCTCTCGCCTTCGCGCCTTTGCAGAAGTTAACAGACAAGGCGTCTGACATCGTCGCAAAGAAGAAGGCCCAGCTGGCCAAAAGTTGGGGAAGTTACTCTCCTGGCCTCCGCAAGCAGTACGAAGTCATGCTGAAACTTCTCGAGAGTGGCAAAGGAGCCGACATCGAGTACTTAGTCTCCGCGACGGCGGTTAGATCGATAAACGAGCCGCACAAGCCGCACGTGGGACTCTTTCCTAACTTGACGCACCCTTGGTCCCGCGGCACGATTGTAAGCAGGCATCATATGTTTACTGATCCCCCTACTGACGTACATGTAGCATATCGCCTCCGCGGATCCGAGAGCACATCCCCGGATTGACCCACGCTATCTAGAGGACGAGACAGATTTGGAGATTTTGGCTGAAGGCTTGAAGTATACTCGCAAAATCGCCCAAACTCCTCCGTTCGGTGACTTGGTCGACTTCGAGCTGACGCCTGGATCGGCTATCGATGTCTCCACAGACGAGAAGCTGAAAGGTGCGCAAGAAAACGTATTTCCCTCCAGCTTGACTGTACGAATAATGTACAGATTTTGTCAGAAAAAACATCTCTACGACATGGCGTATGTATCGAGATGGCGTGCGTGTCGCTTACTGTCAGCTCACGCTGCATTTCGTAGACACGTGCGGAACCTGCTCGATGATGCCCAGAGAGCTTGGCGGAGTGGTAGACCCGGAGCTGAGAGTGTACGGCACGAAGAACCTTCGCGTCGTGGACCTGTCTGTATTGCCGCTCTTGGTCGCAGTTCACACCCAAGGTATGTATCGTTAGGACGTTTCTGGTGCAATGACTAATTATCATTTCAGCGGTCGTTTACGGAATTGCCGAGCAAGGTGAGAGTTCTGCGTTTGTATTTTTGATTTACTGGCTCAATAGTGGAGCGTGTCTGCAGCGGCGGATATTATCAGAAAGTCCGCCCAGGGTGTGTAGGCGGACTCGAATATTGACGGAGATTTTGATAAGCACGAGGACGTGGAATGTAGTCATAATCAGCATGCAGCTCAGGGTAGCACCCTCTCCGAATTGTCTCATGTATGCTCGGCGTGATAAGCGCAGCTCTCTCGCAATAAACTGTATGCCGTTAAATGCTGTTCGACAACACTTTCCATATCGAACGAGAAGTCCTGAGGGTGATTATAAGCGCCCATGAACACGAGCGGGCGACCGGGTTCGGTGCGCACTTTCACCCTCTCTTCTTCCGTTACATGGACGCCGTCGAACGGGCGAATGCTGAACATCAGAAACGATGGTGAGAGCTGGTCAACAACCCACAGCGGGACAATAGGGAGCTTCAGGGCCTGATACACGTGGTGCAGGGCGAAGGACCAGAAAGTTGGTGAAGGTACCTATGCCGTGGTCTACCGAGGTGTGCAGCCATTCGCTAGGACCTGGGAATACTTGCTTACACCCTTTAGGCAGAGAGGTAGCGACCGGACGGAAAGTCGCCATCAAGAAGATAAAAGTAGGACTATTCAAGGATGGCCTTGACATGTCCGCAATACGGGAGGTCAAGTACTTGCGCGAGTTGAAGCATCAGAACGTAATTGAGGTGCGTCTTCCCCATTTGTACAACTCAGACTTTGCTCTTGACCTGCGGTGCCAGCTCTTGGACGTATTCTCTTCGAAGACGAACTTGAACCTCGTTCTGGAATTCCTTGAGACGGATTTGGAGCTTGTTATCAGGGATCGCTCCCTCGTCTTCCTACCAGCTGATATCAAGGCGTGGACAGCGATGGCCTTCCGCGGGCTTGAATTCTGCCACCGGAACTGGATCCTGCACCGGGTACGTCCTGCCCATTCTCGCCACATCGCGTTCTTACCCATCCTCCGTCTCAAGGATCTGAAGCCCAACAACTTGCTCATCTCAGCAAACGGCCACCTCAAACTTGCCGATTTTGGTCTCGCGCGGGACTTTGCGGATCCGGGCTACAAAATGACCCACCAGGTTATCACACGGTGAGAGGGACGCCGTGTTCGGCAGTCGTGTTGTTGCTGACATGCGCATATGTTGTGGAGATGGTACCGGCCGCCAGAGTTACTATTTGGCGCACGCCATTATAGCACGGCTGTTGACATCTGGTCCGTCGGGTGCATTTTTGCAGAACTGATGCTGCGAACGCCCTACCTCCCCGGCGAATCCGACATGGATCAGGTGAGAACCACTTTTCGTGCCCTTGGAACCCCGACGGAAGAGGATTGGCCGGTGAGTCAATATTCCTAGAAGCATCCCTTGTGGAAAGAAACTCATGTTGCTCAGGGGCACAAAAAACTGCCAGACTACTTTGACGCGGGTCAATATCCTAAAACTCAACTTCGTGATCTGTTCACGGCCGCTAGTACGGAATGTCTGAATTTGCTCAGCAGATGCTTGATCTATGACCCCTACAAACGCATCAGCGCGAAAGAGGTGAGCGCGTCGTTCCCATGACCTTGTACTTCGCTCACTGCCTTTGATTCTAGGCATTGTTTCATCCTTACTTCAGCGCCATGCCCTACCCCACTCATCCGTCCAAGCTCCCCAAACCGGCCAAGAAAGGATCGACAATGCCGCTAGAAGAGTTCGATGGAAACGTCGACTTTGAAGGCTCAGGGCCCGGAGTCAGAGCCAACCCACCCAACAAACTAAAGCGGAAACTCTCTTCAGACGAGCTAGGCAGCCGGCCGATCGCGCGCCGCCTCGACTTCTCCCAACACTCATAGACTTCTCGCCTTGGGACCCTCTAGCCGCCTTCGGAACTGTATTGTATGTCGTTAGTGTTGTATTATTAAATGGTTTGGTCCCAGCAATTGTTCATTGCGAAGGAAGACGAAAGCGCTTAACTGTGGATCCGTTCGTAGCATATTCACACGAGAAGACTGCCAGGGTCGATGGCTGATTTTCTTGGTCTCCCTGAAATACTCCCGTGTGGCGCGTGGAGGGCTCTTGTTCTTGATGCGTCGGATGTTTGAGGGGTGGTGATTGTTGCTTATCTCCCGCAGAAGAGGGCTGCAGTAGACTTGGAAGGTGTGCATGGTCATGGCTTCCGCCACAGCAGATTTTTCGTCGGCCGGCTGAAGTACTGGGCGGTAGATGTCTCGTCAATTTTGTCCAGAGACGGCCGCTGAGGCCTGAGGATGTTTCCCTGTTTCCAAGTGACGGATTGCGCCGTCGTTGATCCTCGGACGTGATCCGCAACATAAGTATAACCCTCGGAAGTCTAAGGATCTGCCTAAAATACAAGGAGACATGTCGAGCCCTGGATGGAGCTGCAGGCTGGCATGACACAGCTGGGTGGTAAGCACGGTTTTTTTCTTGAAGAAACCCGGCCAAAATTGGGAAAACAAGAACCAATTGTTCCCCGGTTGTACATTGGGGGAAATTGGTGCGTAAATTGGTGCAAAACTGGCCAAAAGAGGCTGAAACGCGATAAAACTAGCGGGAAAAGGAAGTTTTGTCTCCAAGTTTTCTCGAGGTTCTTGTTCGCCTAGCTTTTGGCTGGTTATGGCAAGCAAACAAACTGCATAGTGTGAGAAGACCTGGGAGCACTTGCGCGCGCCTCTGCTTCTCGACTCTTGGCGACCCTGTTGTCACTCGCCTGCACTGCAAACCTTGCTGTATTCTCCGAACAGGCTTATGATGCAATGCAAGCTTGAGTTTATTGTGGCCTGTAAGATCATCAGAAGTGGGAACTTGGAAGATCGCAGCGCAAGTGTGGGAACCACGCACGGAACGCCTCCGTGGACCGTCCGAGCGATTTGCAATCGCTGGGAAGATACTCCTCCCCCCGATCTCGCCACAAAGCTTGTGGCCTCAGGCCGCTGTGTGTAGTCGGACCGTCGCAGGGCCACTACGAAGTTATCGGAGCGCGAGACGACTGCGGCTTCCGTCAGCGTCTCGCGGCGGTCTCGATGCCAATTCAACAAATCTCGGGCCCTTAGACATTACCATCCGCCTGAGTAACCAAGCAATCTGGTGCCTCTCGGAGCTCCTTGTACCCGTCTGGGTATTTGCACACAGAATCAGCCATGGTGACCCGATCCATCCGTGGATAATAGTGTCATCACGGCCTAATTTGATCATGCGTCTCGTTTCTCAGTCCATCGCCAGCAGGTCCACAGCACGCCTTAATACGTTCAAATCTTCGGGACGGACCCTAACGGCTTTTTGATCTCCTCGCAAACACCACTTCGTCACTCCCTACAAATCTTGTGCGACCTGCAAAGCCTGCGCTCTGCAGAGAGTTATGAGCCCCGACCGTCGCGACACCCTCCGTCTCCCGGGCCTCCCACGAACGCAGGCCTTGACTTCAACGACCTTCACGTCCCCACCGCTCGACGGTTCACTGACTGTGCCTGAGTTATATGACTGGCATTACGCAAACTCGCCTCGCCATCCTTTGTTTGTTTATTCCGACCATGACGGGGCCACTACGACCATCTACTGGCCCGACGCCTGCATGGCCGTCCACAGAGCTGGTCGCATTGCTATCTCGATAGCTCAGGAGCATCCACCAAGATCAAACAAGGGGCGGCCTATATTTGCCATTCTAGCAGGCAATGGTACGACATGGTTCATGGCTCGCGTGTTTATCTTACCCCAGCTAACCTTTTGCATTAATCCAGAATCTGTTACTTATTACACTCTAATGACTGGCATATGTCGCGCAGGCTTCGTCGCGTTCCCCATATCGCCACGTAATTCGCCCGAAGCCATCGCACATCTGCTAGCGGAGACCGGCGTCTCTCACATTTTCATCTCCGCGGAAGATGCGCTACAGAGACTCTGGGACGCCTCTACGGACGTCCTTGCGCGCACGGGCGGCGCTCCTCCGCTGAGGCACGATGTACCCGCGTTCCAGGAGCTGTACCCTGCCGAGCCAGATGTTCACTTCAAGCTACTGCCCGCGCCAGACGTGCGCTGGGACGATGTCACGATCATCCTCCACTCCTCAGGTATGCGCAAGACTTTGCCGCCTACGCGCGCCAGGGTTGCCGACCGGATCTTTTCCTTCTAGGGTCAACCGCGTTTCCGAAGCCAATACCCTGGACGCACGAGCGGTACCTGCTGGGCTGCCTCGCCCCTTGTACGTCCTCCCGCCCCACCGCACTTGCTTGCGCCGTACACTTCGCTGAACGCTCTCTGCAGGGTTCGGCGAGCGCGACCTGACGGGGCAGCGTCTCGCGTTCCACTCGACCCCGATGTTCCACGGACTGGGCACGATGCAGATCGGCTGGACGGTAAGCGCCCGGATGTGGCTCCCCGTGTTGAGCCATATGCTTACTCCGTGTTTTTTTTGGACAGGCGTTCAGCGGCCTGGTGCTGACCGTGTTCAAGCCACAGGTGCCGCCCGTAGTGCCCACGCCGGAGAGCGTGATGCGCGGCGCGATCGCGACCAAGAGCGACTTCATTTATTGCGTGCCGAGCTTCATCGAGGTACGTGGCCCGTGTAGACGCATACTCATCACAGGCTTATCGGTTGTGAACCAGGAGTGGGCAACAAACCCGGCCCATGTCCGGCATCTGCAGAGCGTTCAGGGAATTGTGAGTTTTCACCGGCAGTCCCATAGCCAAATTGTTTACTCAGATACAGATTTATGGTGGCGGTCCGCTTTCGCAGAGCGTGGGTGACGAGCTCGTGGGCCAGGGTGTTTCGATTTTCCCAATGTACGGAATGTACGTGGTGCCTTCTTCTCGTGCGCGGCGTGGTGCTAATGCTTACAGATGGTGACAGCTCGGAGACCGGTATTAACAACATCTCTCTGCCTAGTCAGTCGTGGTTGTGTCCACTGTTGAGCGTTACTAACGTTTAGACGCAGAGTCTGCCGAGAAAGACTGGCAGTATTTCGCCATTGCACGCAACATAAAGGCTCACTTTGAGCCAGACGGTGACGGACACTACGAGTTCATTGCTGTGGTGAGTACAATCTATATCGTACCCCGCCTTCGACTGACCGGCAGGCCCAGTCTTCGACATTTCAGAAACCTTGTGTTGAGAATACAGAGGTCGACGGCGTACCTGCCTACGCCACAAGCGACCTGCTTATTCCTCATCCTACAAAACCTGGTTTCTGGAGGATATATGGCCGGAAAGACGATCAAATCATGCACAGTACTGGCGAGAAGGCTAGTATCGTTGTTTATGGCTCGTAGAAGACGCTGACTATGACAGTACAGACAAATCCGGGCCCTCTCGAAAAAATCCTCTGCACGGACCCACGTGTGCAAGCAGCCGTCATGTTCGGTCGAGGTAAATTCAACGCTGGTGTGCTGATAGACCCACGGCCGCCGCACAAGTTCGACCCCGCTGATCAGGACAAGCTAGCTGACTTCCGCAATTTAATATGGTGGGCCAATGCCTCCAGTTTTTTCTGATAGCTGGTTGACCATGGGGCGTGGTAGGTCTACCGTAGAAGCAGCAAACCATATCGCGCCGCAGCATTCGCGGATATTCAAGGAGGTCTGTGCCACTCTGTACACAAAACCAGCTTTTGCTTATTCAGCCTAATCATTAAAGATGATTGTCGTTTCGTCGCCTGGCAAGCCGTTTACATACACGGCAAAGAACACTGCGCGTCGCCAGGCCATCCTCAAGGACTATGAGCCGGAAGTTGAGGCCCTGTACCAAGCTATTGAGGAGACTACTCAGGCGGAGTTGCCGCCGCCGGAGTCGTGGGACTTGGACAGCACGATTGAGTTTGTGCGGACAGTAGTGAACAGGGTTTTGAACGTGCCCGTCGGCGATGCAGACGACATCTTCCGGAAAGGATGTGACAGGTGTGCTAGCTGCTCTGATTGTAGATTTGCTTGCTCACAGTGTGTACTATTAGCTTGCAAGCAACCTGGATCCGCAACTCGCTACTGCATGCGCTTCGCGCGTCCACGAACGTTAGCACTAGACATATCTCCAACAATTTGGTGTACGAGAATCCGACAGTGTCCGCTTTGGCTTCCGTCATGCTGCAGCTGGCACACTCCAACTCTGCGCTTTCAGAGTCCACGAATAACACGAGCAGCAAGGTCGCGGAGATGCTGAGCCTCGTCGAGAAGTACTCGTCCGCTCTCCCAGTGCATATACCGGACAAAAATCCCATGAAGGCGCGCGTGGGCGATGTTGTGCTGCTCACTGGTACAACCGGCTTTTTTGGAGCTGCGTTGCTCATGCAACTCGTGGTGTCGCCGGATGTAGAGTTGGTCTATGCGGTCAACCGCAAAGGCGGCGAACCTATAGCTGAGCGTCAAAAGGCTACTTATAAAGAGAGCGACTTAGACGTCGCCATTCTCAACTCGCCCAAGATTGTGCTCTTGGAGTGCGACATGCATGAAGATCGACTTGGTCTTTCTGACGATACTTATGAAGAGGTGTGTTTGTGACCTGCGGGCGCTTCGCACAGTCTGACGAGTATTGCGGTAGATCCGTACCTCAGTCACACATATAATCCATAATGGTACGTACTTCCCTCTGGCTGCCTCGTCGTCGCTTATTTTCCTTCCCAGCATGGACGGTCAATTTCAATTTGGCCTTGTCATTCTTTGAACCTAACATCAAAACGTTGCGCAACCTTATGGATCTTGCCCTTTCATCACCGATGGAGGCGCCACCGAAACTAATTTTTGAGAGTACTGTCGGTGTCCTTGCCCGTGAGTAACCGCATGACCATATGCGAGTCGTGGCTAAATCCCTTGGAGGCTTAGATCGCTCTGCCGATATCCGAGAGACAGCCATCGAGCCGCAGCCTGTCGTGGGCGCGGGCTACCCAGAGTCGAAGTGGGTCGCAGAAAGGTTGTGCGCCATTGCTGCGGAGCACACGGCCCTGCGACCGGTCTGTATCCGCGTGGGCCAGCTCTGCGGATTGGCGACAGGCGCATGGAACCCGTCTGAATGGCTCCCTTCGCTTATTCGGTCGAGTGTCTTTCTTAAGTGCTTGCCCGCATTGGACATTGTGCGTCCATGCTTCCACTCTTTTCTGTTCCGCGAACTAAACCGGCGCCCATCAGGAGATCTCGATGCTCCCCACTGACGACGCCGCCCGCGCGCTGCTCGAGATGCGTAACGCCGAGGTGCCGTTCCTGCACCTCGTCCATCCGCGGGCGGCAGCCTGGCACACGCTTATGGCACCCGTCGCCGAGTCATACGGCCTCCAGTCCGTACCCTTTACGCAGTGGGTCGCGCTCCTCGAGCAGAGCAGGCGCGCGTTCGACACGAACAGCGCGGTCGAGGAGCTGATGCGCCGGAACCCCGCGCTCAAGCTCCTACAATTCTTCACGCGGATGCAGGAAACGGACTACACTGTGCGTGCAGTGGGAGTGCGTGGACTCGACACCGCGCGGGCACAGCGCGCGTCGCCGACGCTCCGTGCTATGACGCCCCTCACGGGCGACCACACGCGCCGCTGGCTCGCGTACTGGCGGCGCCACGGATACTTGTGATCCCCTTTTTTTGCTCTGCTTCTAGCTACTATCTCCGCCCATTCATTTTCGCTATGCTCACAGCGCTCGTATTACCGCCTGCTGTTCCTTGATATGTACGCACCTCGATGTACAAACTACGATACCCACTCAATCACAGCTCGGCTATTCCCCGATACATTTGCATCGCCGCTATGGACGACGCTGTTAAGGGAACGTTCGTGGGTCCATGTTGGACCAACAGGGACTCAGCGAAGGCCCAGCGACCTCGCTTATTGGTCGAGCACACCATCGGGGAGGTATCGCGATGCCCGAGGATGCTCGCAGACGCGCCCATCATCTCACGATGTATGTAAAGAAGAGGTAACCAGGGGAATTATATTGCATGCGAAGATAATCTACAGGGGCATACTACACATGAATCCGAGTCCGACGCATTCCACAGAGAAGAGTATAAGGCGGAAGGAAGAATACAAACATACTTGCGCCGAAAAACACAATGGTGTCCAGGCACAGCTGGAGGGCGACCCTATGCTCTCTCAGGTTCCTCGTGGTGATGGCGGTGTGGCCAACGGAAGAGCTTACCCAGAGCGCTCAACCTGCACAGAGGAACTTGGGTATCAGCGACGCAACAAAATTCCCCGGAAGACAATACTTAACGGTTGCTCACCATCCGTGTGACCGTCTGTGCTTGTGATGTTCGTCCCGGCTGTCGCGGTGTCGAGACGAGTGGTGCGAGTGCGAGCTGCGCGCCGGCTCAATGTAGGCGTTCGTGTACCCATTGCCAGCGCTGCTCGCGTAACCGCTGGGATAGCCGCCGGCGTTCGTGCCGTACTTGTCATGATGTGAGTGCTGGCTGCTCGTGCTCCGTCTGGGAGCGTCACGGTCATAGTAATTTATGGGGTCTGCATAAGCAGGCTCCGCACGTTCGCGCTCGGAGTGATGCCGGCCGCTTGAGCTGCGTCGCATACTATCGTCACCTCCGTCGCGTACACGAGAGGCTGGAGCGTACGTTAGTACGAGAACACCGGGAAAAAAGCTGCATGCCCACCATGATGATGGCTCGAGTACGACGAGTGTCTGGACACTGGAGGTGCGTGCGTGTACTGCCTGGAAGGCTCGCGTGTGGGCATCGAATAGCTTGGTGCTTGCGGCTGATGGTTAGCATAGTTAACGGGTATATGCTGTGACGATGTGTAGCTGTGTGTCGAAGTATTCGGGTAAGTGCTGTAGTTGACGGCAGGCGGCGGTGGCGACGGAGGAGATACGGATGGTGGCTGCTGCGACGGCGGTAGGTGCCTGTCGCTCTGCGGAGGTTGCTCGATGCCATTGATGGTATATCGCTCGCCCTCTGGCGACGAGTGCGTGACGTGCTCGTTGCCTAGTGCGTCCCGTCGCTTGGTGATAGTTTCAGTGCGTCCGTTCATCATACGCGTCATCTTGCTTTGCGAGACCCACTGCCCATTGGAGCCGACGTTGCCCATGCCGCCTCCCACCACCTCGGTCAGTGGATGTCCGGGACAAAACCCAGGGCCGCCGAACATCAACAATGGGCCACCAAAGAAGCCATCGTGATGCGGACAGAGCGGCGGTGGACTAAACATAGGCTCGAACGGCGAGCGCGGCATCGAGAAGTCGTTGAGAAAGGGATCATTAGCGAACGCGCGATGGACGTCGCCGAAGAGAGTATTAAAGAGTTCGAAGGGGTCACTGAAGGCGAAGCCATGCATGGGATGGCCGTGCCCGGAGAAGGGATCGCGGGCGAAGCCGCTGAATGGCTCGCGCGTGTGCGATGGGCCTGCAGTGGGTCTGTCGTCTGCGACGGTCGGTGGTGGCCAGACACCGTGTTGGTCGTAGCGCTGTAAATATGTCAGATCGGGGTAGTTATACTCTGCCGTATGACTTGCCTTGCGGTGCTCCGCATTCGTCAAGACTTCATAGGCATTGTTGACCTAGCAGAATATGACATCAGTCCTAATTGGGTGAGGATGCAAAGCGCAACTTACGAGCCGGAACTGTTCGTTGGCTTTCTGCTTTTCTTCCTCGGATACGCCTTGTGGGAGACGGTCTGGATGGGTTGCGAGGGCTTTCTTCTTGTACGCCTTCCGGACTGCAGCAAGTCAGTATTTTGGAACGCAGAGCGCAGTAGACTGGGCTCACTCTCTTCTGGCGTCGCAGTTTTGTTGACACTGAGAATCTCGTAAAGATTGGAGGCCATGGCGAAAGAGGAGGAGGAGGAGGAGGAGGAGGAGATGGGCAGAGGCGGTGGGTATCCTTGGAAGACTAATATAAGTCGAAAGAGTCGAATCTCACGGAAGGCATGGAACGAGTGCAGCAGCCTCGACCTGTGCGGGGCGAGCTCGATCTCGATCTCCCATCAATTGATCCTCCAATGAGCGCCAGCGCCGATTTCCTGATTTCTTTTGCTAAATATTTCGCCAAACTCTTTCTCACTACCCACCTACCTCTGTCCCCGAACTCTGCAGCGATGCAGCTGCAGGAGCTTGTACTGTGTGCGACAACGCCATCGCTGTCCAACCCAGGTCCAGGGTCCATCGCGCTTCACGACATCCAGACCGGAGCGACGCTTGCTTCATTTAAGCAGACCTCTGCGGGACCACACTGCACTGCGGTAGCGCACACGCGCGATGGACAGGGCGGCTTCATGCTGGCTGCACAGCCAGACAAGTCGATAATGAACGTGTACAACTTCCAAAAGGCGCGTACCTCTTCTTCATAGTGCATACATTCCCATTTACATCCTATTACTCTCAGGACCAGCTCGCACTAAAAATTGTACTGCCAGAGAAGCTTTCATGCATCGCTGTGGACCCAAGAGGAGAGTTTTGCGCTGCTGGAACTTCTCAGGGTCGTCTTTATATCTGGGAGGCATGTACGAATCGGCTCTTGTTCAGATAATGCGAAAATAACTTAAAGGCTTTCGGCAGTAGATAGCGTCGGGCATAATGTACAACGCCTGGGACGCTCATTACCGTCAAGTCGGCGTCTTACGCTTTACCCAGGATAGCGCAGCACTGCTCTCAGGAAGCGAAGACTCGGCTGTGAACGTCTGGTCCGTCTCGAGGCCAGTCCATTGCCTAAGTATATCATGCCACAGTTACTCATTGCTCTCCGCAGATTGCTCGATGACTCTACGCAAAACGAACTTCCTGCTCCCTATACCACACTCTCCGACCACACGCTCCCCATTACTGACGTCGTGGTGGGAGCTGGTGCATTTCCGAGGTGCCGAGTCCTTACAGCATCTGTGGACCACTCCGTAAAGGTGCGCACCAAATCCTGTCCAGTGTACGTTTATCATAATTTTTTTTTGCCCCAGGTGTGGGATCTCGAATCGAAATCCCTGCTGACGACCTTCCATTTCCCGCGGCCGGTATCCACGCTCGCATGGGACTCCACCGAACGTCTATTCTTTTCTGCATCGCCGGACGGCTTCATTCACCAAGTAAATCTGTTCAGACAACGTGACGACAAGCTCAGCAGAACAATGGAAGCAGTCGGTGGCGCTGGCTCCACGGACGTGATACGGATAACGGACGAAGACCAGCAAGCAGCGAGGAAAAGGCTCATCGCCGTCGAGTAGGTCTCACTACAGCCTCTTTCTCTTCACTGTCTAACATCCGCACAGTCAACCCGTGATGAGTATGACCATCTCCCTCACGTCCTCCCTCCTGCTCGTCGGCACCGCAAGCGGGCTTGTCCACTCATACGATATCGCCTCACATCAGCTCCTCCGCACGATCTCAACCCACAAGGGCCTTTCAATAGCGCACCTGCAGACCATGCTCAAGCCGCCCGACCTCGTGGGGCACGTCAGCCTCAGCCTCAGCGCGGGCAACCCTGCAGACTCGCGGGACACGATACCCGTGAGGACTGTCGCGCCGTTCCAACGTATGCGCGATCCGAAGATGAGGGAGGCGCACGAGGTCGCAGTCATGCTCCCGCCGTCACTGACAGTAAGTGCACCATCCATTCACTCGCTGCTCTCCTGCTCAGTGGGTCCTGCAGAAGCCCGTCCCGGCGTTCTTCGATTACCCGGTGGACGAGCTCCTCCGCGATCACGCGTCCTTCGTCCCAACTTCCGGGGTGCAGCCGTCTGGCGTGTCGCTGCAGACGCGGGTCTCGGAGCTCGAATCTGAGGTTGTGCGTCTGCGCGAGCAGCTCGGGCGGGCGAAGAGCATCAACGATACCATGTGGGAGACGGTCGTGCAGCGGGTCGTCGCGGAGAGCCGGGAGAAGGCACAAGAGGGCGAGGAAATGGATGTTGATGGAGACAGTCCTGCGAGTGTGACGGGAAAGAGACAGAAGAGGGCGCGTGTATAGTTTGCTCGGTCGTGCGGGACCTGTGTATCTGATAGTTCGTGCGAATGCGAAGCTCACTCAGACGTGCGCTCAGCAGGAGATGACGTGCTCTGTGCTTAGGAAGTACTTCTCCTACGCTAGCGGATGCTCTAGAAAGGCGGCCAGGACGAATGAAGAGGAAGTTAAAACGAGTATGGCTACAATATGAAGGCTTCTTGGAGGTACCAGAGACATAATTCTCAGCAAGAAGTTGCGAAGGCTTATCCGTTTCTCTGGCGTCTCACGATGAACGTGAACGATTAATCTGGAATGCTCTGAAGTCGGCCCCGCGGCACATCTTTTATCGGTAGAGGTTCTGCTCGCGTCCGCGCCTGTGAAAGTGCGGCACGCTAAGCTACAATCCAATGATAGGTAGTCTTTCATATTATACAAGTACATTTCACACTCTTTCAAGATTTCTACATCCCGCTCCTGGCCAAGCCGGTGGTCGTGGTCGCAGACGAGGAATTGCTACAAATCTCCGCAAAAAGACGAACCATCCTTTCCGGCTCATCCCAGTGAACCTATCCAAAATCCAAAATGAACTTAGTGACGATAGCTCTGCTGGTCGGAATGGACTCACAAAATGATTCGCATCCCTCACCCGCAGGAGAGAAGCCCGTCTCTTCCTCTTACCCGGCTCGACTTCCTCGCTAGCTAGGTTGTCGAACACTTTCACTCCCCAGATTGTGAGCCACACAGATTGGTCGCACCAGAGCACGAGGAGGTCGACGTCAGGCAGGACCGCGTCTGCGTCCAAGAACGCGCGTCGAGCGTGCCTCTGGCGGATTCGCGCGTCCGTGCCCGAGATCGCCACAGAGCGGGTGGCGACTGTACGATCGATGGTGCGCTCGAGGTCCTCTGGGGCCAGCGTGCGAAGCGTCGGTGTGCGCGGGAGGGCGATGTTGTACTTAAGCAGTGCTTCGGGCGTAATAGCGACCCCGTCTGGTATCGCCGTGTGGTAGGCGGACGCCCAGTCGAGGAACGCGTCCGCCTTCTTTTCAGGAGGTATTGAAGGGTCAACGAGGGGGAAGGCAAAGCCTGCGTCCAGCATGAAGCCATATGCCCTACTTGGCGGATCTGTGGGAGAGATTCTAGGTGCTCAGCCAGACTAGTACTCACATTTGATGAAGATGAAGAAAAGTCATGCGCACCGTAGAGGATGATCTTGCGTAGGTAAGGAGTCAGCGTTGCTGCTAGGTCGTCTCCTAATGTCTGTGGATCTCCTAGAATAGACAAGGCCGCGATGCCGCCCGAAGACCATGTCACCAATACCACCCCACCCTCTTTTTTGGCACCCTCCCCTGCTATGGCAGGGGTGCGCAATACTTGGCAGACGTATGCGAGGAAGAGGGCAACCTCTCGCCCCCATTTACGCACCACCGATGCTTGAACGTCGATATCGGAGCTCACGATATCTGCCAGTTCTTCTGTGGTGTATGGCGAAGACCCGCGATAGTCTCTACAATTCATGGTAATCATGCGCAAGCCGTGCTTAGGGGCGTATGGCAACATCCGTTGAAAAGTAGCTGCCCACGATGTACATCAGAGCCCGTTCGTTGAACCTGATTACGAACATACCTGAGTTGATCAGTGTACCATGCACGAAAACAACGGTGGTGTATCTTGGATAGCCATCTGGCGCGCCAGAGTCCTCATAGTAGATGGAGGTTCCCTTGTCGTCGATCTGTGCGAAAGGCATTTTGATTAGGAACGGGAGGGCCTGCTTCTCAGCATCTACTAATAAAGCATCCCGGGCGTCAAAACCTTGAGACAAAAGTCCTGATTCTAAACTGTCCTCGCAAACGTCACCTTGAGACGTGTTCCGATGAGGATGGCTCGATGTCTATGCGGGAGCTTGCATCCCTCAAAGTAGGGTTAGTCGCCCCAGATAAGATAAGGAGTGAGCGTCTGCCTCTGGGAAACTAGGCTAGTGAGTTAGCTCTAAGAGGTGCAGTCGAACAGGCCCTTCTCACATGTCCGACCTATACCTACTGACATACTCGAGCCCAAAAAGTGCGTCTGCGAGGGCAGGAATCACGAGAGCGCTGCACGCCCAGCCAATTGCAACTGAAGGCTTGCAGCGGGCGGTGCGTCCTTCTCATTTCTCCTTTGATTTGACTTCTCGATTTTCTCTGCCCGTGCGTACGTAGCACGGGTCGCCCTCTCGTCATCTGCTTATCAAAGCCCAGCCACATCATTGAACTTGGTACGAGCGCAAGATTTTGTCACGAGCGCAGCCGGCCAGGAAGCTCATGGGAAGGGTACGTAACGGGTATGAGAACGAACTATGAATCTACTTCAGGCCGCCCTCAGGCTGCCAGTGCGTGAAGTGGAGTGTGTTTACTCACTCCCGGCTTCGTTAACCTTTGGTTTGTGGCCAGCGGACTAGTAGAACGAGTCTACAGTGCCACACGGAACATTAATGCGCACTTCCGCACAGAGGTTTCGGCCCAAGGCGGACTCAGACGCCACCAGCCGTCGACGTTACAACATCTGCTATCATGACTTGGCTAAATGCGGCTACAATTGTTGCTGGCGTCATCTCGCGACTTACCGTCCAAGCCAGAGCGCTACATGATGAACAAATACATTGGGAACTCCCTTGACATTCCAATAATTTGCCCGTGATAGTCATTTGCCAGTGCCTACTCGGGCTACAGACGATTGTAGCAATACTCCCCAAAAATGCGGATCATCCGCTCTGGGTCATCATATTGAAGCTACGCAAAGGTCAGCAAATCTTATGATAAAACTCCACTGGGCAGAGGGGACTCACGAAGTGGCTTGCGTTTTTCAACCCCTGGAAAGTGACCTTTCGCTTCTTCTTACCCGGATCGGCCGCCACTTCAATAAAGTCTTGAACCACTTTGGTTCCCCACATACCCGACCACGTACCCTCCTCGCAGAAGAGGAATACGATGTCGACATTGGGCAAGACCGCATCTGCGTCAAAATATGTGCAGCGCGCATGCCTACGGCGGATCGCCTCGTTTGTCGTCATAATCAAACCGCCGGAACGAACATTGAGTTCAACGGTTAGCTCATACTCTTCCGGAGACAGCGTGCGGAGCGTCGGCGTGCGCGGGGTAGTGGTGAAGTACTTGTGCATCGACTCGACCGTGATGGGGGTCCCGTCTGGCGGCGGGGTGTTATATTCAGACACCCAGTCGACGAATGCATCTGCTTTTCGTTCAGGCGGGACCGTAGGGTCGACGAAAGGCCAAGTGAAACCCAGATCGGGTACTATGCCATAGTATATGTGAGACGGCGGGTCTGCGGGAAATAGCTGAGCATTTGGCCACTTGTCCGTAGGAGCTCTGATGCGCACCATAATATAAGAGCCTGCACATGTAAGGGGCCAGCGTAGCCGTCAAATCGTCCCCCATTGTCCGAGGATCTCCCAGGATGGACGTAACTCTGATGCCGGACACAGACCACGCGACTAGCATTAGCCCACCCTTTTTCTTGTCCCCCTCGCCTGTGATAGCAGGGATGCGCAACGTCTGGCGTATGCGAGAAACTTGGCGATCTCTTGTCCCCATCTGCGCACCGCAAACGCTTGGACCTCAACGTCGGGACTCGTCATGTGTGCCAGCCCTTCTTCGGTGTATGGCATCGATCCACGGTAGTCACGGTTGTTCATGGTGATCATGCGTAGACCGTATTTGAAGGCATACGGCAGCACGCGATCGAAAGTACCTACAGTATATTGCGCGCCAGACGTCGTCCATTGAACTCAGGCATGGGTATACCAGAGTTTATCAGCAGGCCGTGCGTGATAACGATAGTAGGGTAAGTCGAGGAGCCATCCGGGGCACCAGTGTCCTCGTACTAGTAGATAGTGGTTCCCTTGTCGATCTGCGCGAAAGGCATAGTTGGTAGGCTATGTGGGAGGCCCGTTACGTTCCTCTATGTTCTTTAATTCTACACGAAACTGAGCGAGCCACCTACCGTCTAAAGAGACAAAACCGGCGATGGTCGCATTATGAGCGCGAGTCTAAAACCGATATCGAGTGTCTTGCACTGCAATGGCGACGTGGCGGGGTATGGTGTCTGTGAAGATCTTGGGGAATTTCTATCGCACGCGGCCTGCCACTCTATGCTGTAGGTTAAGCTCAACCTTAAGCGTCATTCCCAGAACCGCAGCCACGAAAACGGCAGTCATGGAAAAAAGTCACCTCTTATATCGTACAGTTGTATTTATAACATTTGTGCGCTTGGCCGTGACAGAACCTGTTGCCTATTATAGGGAATTGTAGCAGCTCTCTGCAAACAGGCGGACCATCCTTTCTGGCTCATCCCATTGAACCTGCACAAAGGTCAGCAAACCTTACGACAGAGATTCCACTGAGCAGAGAGAACTCACAAAGTGATTCGCATCCTTCACCCTCAAGAAAGAAACATCTCGCTTCTTCTTACCTGGATCGGCCGCCTTTCCAATCAAGTCTTGAACCACCTTGGCACTCCATATACTCGTCCACATGGTCTGCTCACAGAAGAGGTAGAGAAGGTCGGCATTGGGCAGGACTGCATCTGCGTCGAAAAATGTGCCGTGCGCGTGCTTACGATGGATCGCCATGTCTACGGTCAGCATCGAACCGGATGAGCGCGTGCTGGGCTCAAGTTCAACGATACGCTGATAGTCTTCTGGAGATAGCGTGCGGAGCGTCGGCATGCGTTGGAGGGTGGTGTAATGCTCATGCATCGATTCAGCCGTGATGGGGATCCCATCTGGCGGCGAGGTGTAATATGAAGAGACCCAACTGATGAACGCATCTGCCTTCAGTTCAGGTGGGATAGTGGGGTCTGCCATAGGCCAGGTAAAGCCTATGTCAGGATATACGCCAAACACGCCTGGCGGCGAGTCTATGAGAAAAGAGCTGAGCATGCGGCTGCATGTACGCAAGAGCTCCGGTGCGTACCAAAAAGGACGACTTTGCTCAGGTAAGGAGCCAGCGTGGTCGTCAGGTCGCTTCCCATCGTCCGAGGATCTCCTAGGATGGACACAGCTGCAATGCCGCCCATAGACCACGCCACTAGCACCAGCCCGCCCTCCTTGGCTCCATCGCTTGCAACGGCAGGGATGTGCAGTGTCTGGCAGACGTAGGCAAGAAAGAGAGCGAGCTCTCGCCCCCATCTACGCATTGCATACGCTTGGACCTCAACGTCGGGGTTCGTCAGGTGTGCCAGTTCTTCATCCGTGTAAGGCGTAGATCCATGGTAGTCCCGGTTGTTCATGGTAATTATGCGCAGACCGTACTTCGAGGCATACGGCAGCATGCGGTCGAAAATAGCTATATATGCCTGATTTTAGAAACTCCCCCGTTCAACTGGACTACTGAACATGCCCGAGTTGACCATTGCACCATGCGTGAAAACGAGAGTGCCATATTTCGAGTAGCCATGCGGCGCACCAGAGTCTTCGTAGTGGATAGAGGTCCCGTTGTCGTCGATCTGTGCGACAGGCATATTCGGCAAGCCAGTAGGTGGGAGACTTGTACGTTCCTCCCTCCTACATGAAACTGGGTGAGCTAAGGTGGGCCACCTAAAAGTAGGAGACGAAATCAGCAATTGTCTCATCACATAAAACCAGTCTCAGATTTCTTGCACCGCGTAGGCCTGATTTTGTCCGAACGTTTTTGACCCGAATTTGCCCTTCCTGGCCAGGCGTTTTTGGCAAAATTTCAGAGGGTCCAGACAGGCATCTGACTTGGTTGTCGGGGTCCTGCTTTCAGCTGTTCCAAGAACGATAGACACCCCTGGGCAAATTTTCAGAACTCGGAGTTCGAATACTCCGCAGGCGCCAGAGCGAGCGAAGGAGACGCGTCCGCCGCCTTTGGTAACCCGGCCGTCACCGACGCAAGACTCATTTGCTAAGTGGAATCTCTTTGCAGACACGCATGCAGATATTGAAAAGAGAGGTAGGATATATTACAGCGCTTTGTAAGCTAAAAGAGAAGTTTGATTGATAGTGTCCTGTACAAATCATTGAGGTGACTGTAATGAAGGATAACGAACACTGATGGCGCGACGCGCCTGTGCAGTGATTAAATCCCAGTCAGAAGTCGTTCTAGCAGAAAGTATCCAAAATATAGCGCTGGTAACCGGATACACCGTGCTACACCAATCTGCCACACGCGCATGCCACGCTATATAGATTCTAAGCTCGCGTTCTCGTAACATGTAGCATTATGTCACAGCATATAGCACTATATCGTCTTTCTCAAACAGGTCCGTGTGCACGCCTAGCCAAAATATAGTGGTTTCTATCACCTTCTGCCCATGCGAGCCATTGGTTTGTTGGCCCATATAGCACAACATAGCACGTTTTATCATATTTCGAGCATTTTTAATATGATTACATAGCAAAACATAGCATAAGAAACCATGGTCTACCACCTCCGGCGCTCGTCCCAGACTACCCTGTGCCGCGCTGCTGCCAATTTGCGCCATCGTGCCCCATGCTCTACGACAAATCTAAGTCCAATAATACCTGCAATTAGAAGTATATCAGTAAAAGTCATTGATCACACAGCCAACGCACCGGCTGCGCATTTAGTTGACGGTGTCGAGAGGTCCCTTGCCCGCCGCTTTCTGCGAAATAGCATGAATGAGTGACCGTCTACCGTCAGCATTGCCCAGGCTACAACATACCAGTGCCCGCGCCTTCTTATCATAATCCTAATGGCAGTAGAGTAGGTCAGCGCTGGGCAGGCCTACGACGCTGGTGAGTACATACCTTCTTGTCATCCTTGGGCAACCCATCCCAGTACGTCTTGAACTGTACGGCACTTCCGCCAGGATTGGCTTCACACCAGTCGATCCCGCAAAGCGTCCTAGAGCAGCAAGGTCAGAGTCTAGTCGTCCCGGAGAGGAGATGAGGTTCTTACCGAGCGGTGACCGGAGAGTTTTCATCGAACTTTAAGGGTTTCGGGCCCTTGCCCTTCTTGGCCTGTGTGGTGTCGACAGCGGCGGTCGTTTCAAACTGTCGTCAATACACGATGAATTGGATACAAAGAGATCACTCACCATGGAGCCAGAAGTTTGCCCATCACCATTCTCACGACTAGAGCTTGTTTGTATGATCGGAGGTGATAATCTGTCTACATTCTCACCGCCTCCCGCTGTCGCCAACTGCCGGCCGGGTGCATCGTCAGTGCTCTCCTCTTGCAAAGGAGGCTCAGCATCAGGATCTCTTGGCCTGTCTGAAGCTGCTGTGCTGTCCTCTGGTTCTGCTGGGCGCGCCGTCGGTGTAGGTGTAGGTTCCCGGTCAGGCCGAGGACCATTATCACCATCAAAAAGTGTGTGACTAGAGTAGATACATGAGAAGGGTGTCAAACAAAGATAAAGCACTTACAGAGGATTGGCCAGGAGTCTGATTTGACGCGACGACGTCTCTGTCAAGTCTTGCCTGTGCGAAAGTGGCTCCGCCGCCTCATTCACATTTGTCGGTCGCTGCTGGATAACTGTCTCACGGCGCCGCTTGGATCCACTATTCCTGCCGTCATCTGCATGCTTGCGTGTCCTGGAGGTGCGCACGGGCTCATCATCGCTGCTGTCCGAGTTGTCTGAGTCGCCTGCTCCAGGTCTAGTGAACTGCTCATCTGGCAGAGGACGCGGTGCCGGATGCTTCTGTCGGAATCCAGGAAGGGTGTCGATGGCCAGGCGCTCGCTCTTCCAGCCATCCGCACAAAACCGCATGAACTCGAATCGAGACTCCAACTCTCTGCGCAGAGTCGTCCGCTGGTTGAGGGTGGCTTCCTTCTTCCACTTCTTCGGTGGAAGCTCAGCTCGGTGCTCTACAGGTGCATGGGGATTGTAAGCAGTATCAAATGATGTGTACGTCTGCCGACAACAGTCCCGAACTGCATCAATAGCTTCTAAACTGACGCGTTCACCGTTTTTGTCAGTCAGGTAGCCGAAAGCCAGCTCCTTGATCAGTTTAGACTTTTCATCTGCGTCTTCGCCGGGGTTGCTGATGCCGCCCGCATGGCGCTTCGCTTTTTTGTACTGCTTCCACTCGCGCTGGTACCAGAACTTTGCACTGGGATATTTCTCTTGATCGAAAGGAGGCAGTAGAGTAGCTGACGACGAGCCCGTTGGTGTATGCATGGCTTGTGCCGCAATGTCTTGAATGCTGCCTCTGAATGGAACACAGTTGAGCGGCGGACACCGGCAGAGCATAATCAACTTACGTGAACGCCTTGACAGTGTCGGCAAGGCTTGCAATCTGTGTTCTAAAGCTTTGGTGAGCATGCAGCAAATAAAGCAGATGGGGGGAACTCACCGCACGTCTGAGACATGAGTGAATAAAATTTGGTTGGTTTGATGCGTCTGCTGGTAAGCATTGTACAGGCGCACGTAGGGCATGTTTGCTTTGACAAGCATGTCGTGCGTTGCATTTGCAAGGATATTGTCATCGGTTGAGAGAAAGGGGTCTGTAGAGAGCCTGTGAGAGCTAATAGGGGTCATCGCAGGCGAGTACAATGGTCCAACAGATTGAGTACGCGAGCTGCTTCCATTGAGGACTGTGTCCAGAAGCGGTGACGAGAGCATTCCTGGAGGTGGCACAAGCAACATCTCTGGTGGAGAAGGTATTACTTAGATTTTCAGATTACTAAATTTTACGAGAGCTTGCGCACCGCCATTGCTCGGAACCATTGAAGACAGCGGAGCCAGGAGGTCATTCGAAAATGATACATCCATCTTCCTACACAACTATGAGTGGGATGTGCTGATACATGCAACGGAAGGTGGTGGTCGTGAGCCAAACCAGAGACGACGCGCCGATCTTGTGACCGCGTCGAAACACGTGTACCGTCGGCGACTCGGTGTTGTCAATCTCAAGCCTAGCTCGCTCTTCTCTTGTCTACTTTCAGCTCCAACATCCAGGGCATGGCCACTCCCTCCAACACACGGAGCATGCCTGAGGCTGTTACTGTATGCGAGCCCAACAAGCGCAGACCCATCCTTGTGCGATTGCGAATTCCATACAAGGGCCCTCTTATCAATCCGTTGGTAGTTGTTTTACCACGCGTCGAGCGCAACACAGTCAGAAAATGCTTCACATTGAAAACTTCTAATGTACTTACCAGCACATTATGGCCACAGGATTTTCTTCTTAGCTTGCGCCCAGAGGACTGTGATTCCTCGTCACGGTCGACTACAACCCCTCCAGCTGATGAGATCAATGCCACCAACTGTCTTGCCACACCTCTGCGTCCAACCTCCGAAGGCCATCTACCAGGTGATAAGTGAATTCATCAGGACACTGTTGACCTGCGGGGTCATGAGGACATGGACGCACCTGTATCAAAGCGTCCACGCAACAGTAAACGATCTGTCAGCCCATCTGTACCTGAGACAGAAGAAGCCGACATCGAGAAGGGTGTGGACCAGCCAGGAAGTGAGACTAGCTCTGTGACGGTGCCCGAATCATGGCTCAACTTGGCTCCTGAGCCTGACATCACAGTATGTTGCTCACCTTGTATGCTCTTCTCCATGATATCCTTTCTGACAGATCTTACAGACACCCATAATGTATGCTCGTATTAGAACATGGAGGAGTGAAGTACGACGAGCGAAAGAGAGAGATGTAGGTGCAGGCCCGAGTGAGAGCAATGATGCAAGCACAACGAGAGTTTGATGGGTTCGCTGGTGCTATACTTCGCATGCCTTGTCCATCAGAACTCCTCGCACAACTTGGAAAGACAGCTGGTATCCTTTAGAGACTACTGTACAGTGTGCTAAAAATGCATGTCTATTATTCTGTGCCTCAGTCATCTGTATCTGCGAGATCACCATCAATGGGAATAATGCCGGCCAGAGACATAACATCCAAACCCATCTTCTCTAAAACAAAATGCCGGCCGCGGCATTGTGCATTGAGTCTGGGATCAGCAATTGTTGGATGTGGTACTATTGCGACAACAGACTGGATAGTGCGTGTGTCAATAACTCGAAGACCATCTGTACCACGATATTGACAGGACCACACAGTGTTGTGTGATTGCTTGAGCAGTTCTTGATCTGGTGGTCCATAGACAGAGGCCATCGCGAAGCCTTGGGGGATCTCAGATGAAGGGGTACGCATCAGAAAGTAGTACTGAATTTCGGCAAACTCAGTCTTGCTGTCGAGATCAAGCTGCTAAGATGAGAACAAGTCGGAGTTCTGGAACATATCTGGAAGCGTACCTTCACCATTCTGGACATGCGTACTTCGTTCATGTCCTTGGATGTTTCGGTCCATGCAGAGCGGGCAGTTTGGCCGTTCGGCAGGCGCAGCCGGGCCCAACGTGCAAGCAAGGGTTCGTCCTGCCAGCTGTCACTAACATCAATGCCCTGAGAACTAGCAAACTCCCGCATGACTTCGGCCTCCGCTGCAGGAAGGGCAGTACTCTCTTTCTCGTGCTTTCAGAGCAATGCATCAGTGTTGTGCTAGTTAATGACTAGTCAATGACTAGTTAAATAGTCACTGACTTTACTGAATGACTTAACTAATGACTGTAACTGGGCGGTTCTCGGGTCCTGATCTCGGAAAATGCCGCCGTCCAATCGGAGTGCGCGGATATCTGCCTGAGTGCGAGTGGGACGTCTGAGAGGCAATGTTGCGAAACTTTCGAGGTAGTGACTATTGTATATACAACCTAAGTACAAGCGCAAAGTTCCTCACAGTCCTCTTCCCCTTCTGCGTCCAAATCAAACAACCCATGAACCTCCATCTCTTCTTCTAGCCCGCGCAACCCCAGCTTGTCCATAGTGTCAGTCCAATACGTGTTCCTAAAATCGAATAAATCATCAAGGCGGCGATGTAATGGCCGCCCATGACACTGAGACATGACAGCGGAGAGATGTTCTGCCTGAATCTCAGATTCTGCGGCCCGCGCCATTGCAAGGGCGATATCCTGCATGGACGGCGCATTGGGTGCGCGCTCATTGGGCTGCGTCTCTGATGAAGCTTGCCCTGTTGAGCCAATCGGGCTGGCCTCGGGCTGGCCAGTCATGGGGACTGTGATGGGGCCAGGTGAGCTAGCACCAGGCTGAAATACTAAGCTCGGGCCAGACGCAGAGGCAGCGCCGGAGAACGCAGAACCCACTGCTAACGGCGTGACAGATGCAGCGATCGGTACATTTGCCATGGGCACATGTACAGTTGGGGTAATAGTAGGTGGCGGTGCTGCTGCGCAGTCGATGAAGTGTCGCTCGCGCCGCTGGAGGCGCATTGCCAGAGTGCCGCCAGACTCGTATTCTTGCATAATGTGCAGACTGAGCTCTGTGGAGTTCATGAGATTCGTACTGGTGAGACGTGAGCGGGAGCGGGTTATAATTCGCTTCAACAGGCTGAAGAAGTGTTTGACGGGGGCAACGTTAGGGCAAACAGAGAAAATGCGTTCGGCAAGCCGCTGCAGAGGAGAGACCGGGCCACTGGCTGTCATGAAGAGCTTCCAGACTTCAAGAGGTGCAGCGGAATGCTGATAATGCGTGATTAGCATTTGTCAGAATTGAGACACGCACACTCACGTCCGGATCATCAGGGTTTCGGAGCGACGCAGCAAGGTTTGGCATGTCTGCGTAGGTGCCGGTGTCTGAGATGTACTCCTTCACCTCATTGTAGAACACGGGCGGGACAGTATCTGATGAAAACAGACGCTTCCAAATGCAGGCGAGTAGCGTTATGACGTCTGCGTGCCAGAAGCTCTTAAGTGGCGCCGCTCGAGTATGTGGATTAAGGATGACCGCTGCTACAAGGACATCTTGATCACTGTCCAGCCATCGCTTATTGAGACTGTCGCATACAGCCTGGCAGATCTCTTCTTCATCGGCATCAGCGTCCTTGTCTTCAGCAAGATTAGTAAATTGAAGAAACAATGTGCCGAACACCAGGGCGACGTGATCGAGTCGACTCGATGTGGACTGGAGAATGTTGGCAGCTAGCGCAAGCGGTGTGAGATGTACCTTGATGCTGCAGGTTACAAAGACTATTGCTACGCCATTGTTAGCAAAGCTCGATTGCGATGTACCGTGCGAGTCGGTGCCAAAAAACAGCCTTATCAATGATCGCGAGAGTCTCGTTTGCCTTCTCCTTTGCTTCCCTATCGCCTGTGACCAGCTGACTCTCTTGTCTGGCCTCGACGCGCCCTCTATCCTGGGAGATAACCTGTGTGATCCAGTTCTTGAGGTCGAGAAGACGCCGATAAGCAAGGTAATGAGAGGTCCAGCGAGTAAGAACAGCGCGAATAACAGTTAGAGGAGACGAGACGCCTTGCTCCTCCTGAACCTTGCGAAGTATTGCAAGGACTTGGGTCTTGCTGCGGAGCCACCTGATCACTTGGTCGGCCTCAGCAGACGCTTCGAGAAAATTTGCACTGGACTTCTTGAAATAGTCGCCAACTACAAGGTTGATCTGATGAGCGTAGCACTGCATGATGATAAGATCTGGCCTTTCAAGTTGCAAGGCCTTCCGCATCGCTAGCAACTTGCCGCTGTTGTCCAAAATGAGGGCAACAAGTTTGATGTTCCATGTCTCCTCTGTGTGAGCAAACTCGGCCCGCACATGTGCGAGTAATTTTTCTGCAGTCTTCCTTTCGCATGATGTATCCTTGAGTTTAGCTGCAAAGACCTGAAATACATAGGAGATAATTGAGAATAAATTTCTGCAAGCCCGCACATGTCATACCTTCGATCCGGCCGTGAACATGAACCCTAGGAAGTGATGGTAGTTGCCTCCTGTCCAGCTGTCCAGTTGGAAAGTCCCTTCCGCAACTTTCAGGTCCTTCAGGTTCTTCTGTGCCAAGCTCCAAACTTGCTCGAGCTCTTGCAGAATGAGAGTCTTTGTTAGTTTATTTCGTGAGAAAAGCTTCGCGCCTGGAATAAATTTGGCAACAAGTGTCGCCCACTCAGGATTCTCAACCCAGCGGTGGAGAAGATTTGCTGAAGCCGTCAAGCGGGTGATGAGCATTTCAAAGCGCTCTTGGCGGCTGTCTGTCTAGTGTGAAGCTGTGAGTCTCGGCAGCATAGAAATGGGGCGTTGGCTAGCGCCACGCCTGAGCAGAGGAACGTAAACATTTGGCAGGGATAAACCCTGGCCAAATGACAATGACATTATAGTTGGGCTGGGCAATGGAGAGTAAGAGGGGGGAGTCACGGTGGCCGGAAGCTGTTGGAATTCTAGAGGAATAGGTGACATAGTGCGATCTGCATGGGTCAGCTTAGACGGAAGGCACCAGATGCCATCATTCTCTTTCACTTACCTGCCGAGCTGCCTATGAGGGGTGAAGAAAGTGCCCCGTGAAAGCCTGCAGGGAGCGAGAATGATCGCTGAAGTCCTGGTGCCATGGGATAGGCTGTAGGCTCAGGCTGGACTGATGGCGGATAGTACTGTGGTGCGGCAGCAGCAGGATCAAAGCCAAAACTACTCGATGGACCTGCCATGGGAGCTTCCATGTACTCATAAGCCTCCTCCCCTCTGTTGGCAGCTGAATCTTTCTTCATCTTCTCTGTGATTGCTTGTTCTTTGACCTCAGGCAGCACCCCACGCTTGCAATGGATGAGGTGATTTATCATTGTTGGCTTTGCAGAGGAGATCCAGATACAATCTGCATCTGCCTTTGACTGACTCCATACTGGTGAGATATTAGCAGCTGCTTATCACAACAATCACGGCCAATAAATAGTACTCATGTTGATCGTTGAAGGCTGACTGATTGAGATGAGGATCAGTCCGCTTTACCTGATTAAGGGCAGAAGTGTAGCAGGCACGACAGATGACCTTGAACTTGTCAGAGGTAGGTGCACCCAGATTCGCATATGCTGATGGGTGCTTCATCGACCTTAGTGGATGGTCGAGAAAGTGCCTTCTCTACCAGCTGGACTTCCCTCTGACATTCTCGATGTGGTTCATCGAGCTCGGAGTGGTGGGAGACGTTCAGAGCGAAGTGGGATTGTCAAAAACGATGTATTCCACCTCACAGGCTATGTACACAAGGACACGCGCAAGTCTCGAGAGCCTGGTGAGGCTGCAGCAAGCATTCGGAAGGCAGACGCGCGGGTGGCACGGTGCATTTGGTAAATCACGTGGAGAGACCCAGAGCACCACCCAGTCATCGTCAGGTGATAACTATTTAACTAGTCATTAACTAGTCACAATAGTCAACCTTTAACTAGTAATCCTAGTGATTAACTGAGCAACACTGCAATGCATGGTCATCGTCTAGCTGATGGGCTCCGCGTGGAAGCGATGGTGGCTCTGGCTCCACTTCAGGGAACATATGCTTGATGGCGTTTGTTTGGCAGCGCCTGAGAGCATGCTGGGCGAGGTTGGCGAATAGATTGGAAGATTGGCGGATCTTTTTACCAAGGTCGCCGATAGCGCGTTCCATTGGCCACTGTGAGGCAATACCATATGGGTCAATGCAAAAAGTCTCGGAACTCGTGTGAATCATGGCATGAATACTTTGGCGAACAAAATGTAGCCGGGCACCTTCTCGTCGATAGTAGAGGCGCTCGTACTCTTCTATGAACTCAATCAAGAGCTTGTGGGCTTCCGTGAGCTGGGCTGCTATGATGTGCCATTGGTATATTAGCCGTACACCGCACACAAGCTTACAGAAGCTTTGCCAGTATTTCATGGGCAAAACACCATACAGAAGTAAAGGTGCAAGGCCATACACGTAAGTGAAAAACTTGACAGCCTTGTATCCACTCGAGATCTTCTCGGCAGGGTTGCGCGGTGGTCAGTCAAAAGACCCAGGAAGGTATGGTGTTGCATCTGCAACTAGCTGATCGTGAGTGCGCCAAGCTTCCAAGTTGCAAAAGATGGCCCAATCCCAAAGTGCCTTCTGGTCAAGTGCCTCACATGTCAAAGTACCGCGCCAGAGATGGGTGAATAGATTGGTCAGATTCAGTGCCGCAGGGTGTATGATGTTGGCAGAGAAGCAGTTTGGAATCTCAAAGGTACAGTTTGGGGGAAAGGTGCTAACGGTGGAAGGTTTTGCAATGCCGGTTGCGAGCCGTTGGTCCTTGTACATCGAGATTGAAGTGGACTCTTGAACGTATCTGAGATTTTTGTGATATTGTTTGGCAGCTTCATCTTGAGAACGAGGGCCGATGAAGGTGCGCAGGTTGACGTTGTCATGCATTGATCCATTAACGTTGTACTCGCCCCCTGGCTTCAAGGACACGGGATAATAATGGCCTGCTCCAGATTTGTGACGTCCACGCATGGGGCAGTATAGCTGACAGCCAAACCTTCTGGAGTGTCCCACCAACCCATTGATGAACTGCATGCCAGGACCATCTGCGGCAAGGTATGCAATGAATAGAGTAGACAGGAAGAGGTGGTTGGTTGTGGCATCCCAAATCTTTAAGCCCTCTCTCATGAGCGCCACAATGTGCTGGAATCCTGGGAATAGGAACGAGTCGACATTCTTAGGCTTATTTGAACCTGGTATGACGCCTTCGATGAGAACGTGGCACTTCTTGTAGCAGGAATCTGGGCTTCGGTCAAGCAAGATCCAGATGTACATCCAGCAGTCTGACTGCTTGTTGCGATACAGTTGTGCACCATCAAGTGAGAGCATGAGAGTGGTCAAATCGTCTGTAATGTCTCCGCGTATGCAAGAGTTTCAGTTCGGCGGCACAGACACAGGAACTTATTAAGTTACACCGGACTAGCTGCTCATAAGCACCCAAGTGGCTAAGACACGCTCGAGAATTTCCGAAAAGCCCAAAAAATGGCACAAGCGGGAATCGAACCCGCAGCCTGAAAGTAACTGCAGCACACTATACCACTAAAACATAAGACCTTGCAAGGGTAGGATTAGAATTGCTATATAATACCACTTTTCCACCTTAAAGTCTTAGCCATAACATCAGAATATACCTTTGTACAATTACATTCCACTGCTTTAATACATAATAATTGGCTAAAATATAGAACTTTGGGTAGCTAAGACACTGATGTGGCTAAGACACCCACAATGCACATGGCTAAGACACCTAAGCAGATAAATTATACTCAGTAACTCAAGTGGAATCAATAGCAAATATTCAATGTCTCCATGTCTCAGCCACATGGGTGTCTTAGCCACGTGAGTGTCTTAGCCATAACATCAGACTATACCTTTGTACATTTACATTCCACTGCTTTAATATGTAAATCATTGGCTAAAATGTAGGAGACTTTAAGGCAGAAAAGTGGTAGTATAAAGACATTCTGACCCCACATTTACAAGGTCTTATGCCTTAGTGGTATAGCATGCTGCAGTTACTTTCAGTCTGCGGGTTCAATTCCTGCTTGTGCCATTTTTTGGGCTTTTCGGAAATTCTCAAGCGTGTCTTAGCCACTTGGGCACTTATGAGTGGCTAGTCCGGTGTAACTTAATAAGTTCCTGTGTCTGTGCTGCCGAACTGAATCAGCTCGCGTATGACAGCCTCGATGTATTCGGAACCATGGATCCAATTGTTGAGCTCGACGATCTGATTGCCGTTCTTCTCTAGATCACGAAATACACGCTGAGTGCACTGCTGACAATACTTCATTGCATTTGCGCTCTCTGGAGATCACCATGCAGCTTGTATTTGTGGACCGATGGGATTCGTCAGAAATTGTTGACGAGCCTTACGGCCCTTGCGTGATTTGGCACCCGATGTGTCATCCCAGTGAGACTCGCCGCACTCAGGACACTTGTCAAGCTCAGCAAACGGGCCCGTGAACCCAACACAGCTGTTGATACATATGTCAGTGAACAGAGGGTAGACTCCGCTGATCTCCTGCACTTTGCGTTTAACTTGATCGAGCGAGAGCATCTGAAGGTGCGGCAGGGTGCGGAACAGTGTCTGCCGGACACACTCGTAGAAATCACCCGCAGCATTGTCAAGGGATAGATAGATTTCAATAGAAAGTTGTAATACATTATTGCCAAGATTTAAAAGCTCCCGTGGCAGGTTGCGAACTTGTTCCAAGGCCTCTGGCTCGAAGTCCGTGTCACTGAGTGTGGAGGCAGAAAGCGCGTTGATGAACTGCTGCACTATTTTGAGGGTCTTGATGCGGAGGACAGGAGGCTCGCCAGTATCCTCAGAAGGGAAGATGTCCGGATCCAGCTGCTTGTCTGCCGTGCTAAGCACAAGCGTTGCAAGAGACAGCTGCTCTCGGACATCTTGTTGCATGGCTTCGAGGGCGGCACTAGAAACACCGCTACTGTAGTGCAGTTTAGTGGGGTGCTGGTACAGGGGGATATTGGGTGTGGGGGTAGTGTGAGCGTTCATGTTGTGTCTGCCACCATTGTCATCACTTTTTGTCAGCATAGATGAGTCCACCTAGTAGATAAAATCACTCGGTCAATGGCTTGTACTGAAGCTGAGACAGAGAGCATACCTGATTAGTGTTGCGCGAAGACCAGTCTTCTGCTGCGTGGAGATCCTCACTCTCAAACTCCTCATTGTCACCTGAGTTTTCAATCAAATGGGGCGTAGCTGCTCGTGTACTTTCTTGGGATGCCACGCTGTCCTGGACACCACCTGGAGCGTGGTCTTCGGCTGAAGCCCTTTCTGCAGCCTTCCTCCGCTTGGGAGCAGCACCAGAGCCAGAAGACTTGTCTCCGTGCCTGGTGAGCATGCGCTTCCGAGAGTTTGAAGCTGCTAAGTCTGCATTCCCAGCAGACTTGTTAGCATAAAGGGCCTGTAATTCAGCTGACACAGGCAGGAAGGATGGAAGAACAGTGCCGGACACTGCTTTGACCACTGTCATGCACTATAACTATAAGTATAGGAAAACTCAAGGAATAATAGGCATTCAAATCAAAAAGAAACTGCTTACTCAGAGCTGCAAAGTAAGCATAAACACTCAAGCTTACTAAAAGTGAATCAATGACTAATAATATGACTCAGCTTCTTAGTAATCTAGAAACTATGCTTAGTAAAGGTCTATGCTCAACAGCTATGAATTACCAAAATATAGTAATACTCTAACAAACATTAGTAATAGCTTACCAATACATTAGTAAAACAGACAGAAAGCTGACTAATACAGACAAAATGCTTATTAATAAAAGTAGAAGTAGCTTAGTAATTACAGTAGAATAGATGAGCCAGTTTTGCTATTGGCTAAGGAACAACAGGCTGAAAGGTATAAATAGGAGAGGTTCTCTGAGAGCAAAAAGAACACGAACCCACGAACCCTCCAAGCACCACACACACTCTCAAGGATTTAGCTAGCAGCAAACCTGCAGTTAATCCCCTGAGCTCTTTAGCTCTCAGAGATTAGACTCCTTTCTTTAAAGCCTAGGAAATTCCTTAAGCACAGTAGAGCCTCTGACTTTCAAATAACCTGAAGGGAAACGCCCTTGGTATAGTGCACGAGTTCACTATTTGACTAACCCTAGACTGCGAGAGCTAGTGGCGTCATTATTTGAGACTGTGGTACGTCTCCTGTGGAGCTTACAATAATTAGACTAGCAGTAAAGAGATTCAATCTATTCTTGATCTTCAACTCTAAATTGGAAGCTTCAGACTGCTTCAAGTTATACAAATCCTCCAAGGACATTAAATTGTCCTTACTAGCCAAAGCTTGCTAAGTTAACCAAGACATCAACTTGTCTTTGTTACCCTCTTATCTTACTTATCTAAAAACCCTATTCTACTAACCCAAGTAGCTAGTCCTTAAGCTACTAACCAAACCTTCTTACAGCTCATCTTCTAAGATTCCTTAAAAAGTCCCTTGTAAACAAGCAAGTGAGGCTTTAGAGTACTTAAGCAGATTAGTAGGTGGTCTTTGAATTAGTCCCCCACGAACACCAGGATAGCTTGGTTGAAAGGCTAACCCAGTGAACCCTGGAAAGAAAAGATTGGGAAAACCAAATCTAAGTATTCCATACTATACCCTTCTTGCTTTTAGTTTAGAACAGACCAAACTCCATTCTCTTTTATCAAACAGTAACCTTCTAGGATTTCTTCTAGAATCTTCTTTATATCAAACCTCATTTTGATTTTACTTACTTTTCTTATCCTAACCTTTTCTTTACGACACCGCCTTCTGATGCTGTGCCCAGGTCGTATGGGAGACCTCAGTTGGTGTTTTGCAGACAATCCCGCAATGGCAGACATAAATCTGTCTGTCTCGGCTTGTCCGTGAGTTGTCTGAAGGCATGGTGGAGAAGGTATTTGCCGGTGTCAAGAAGTGGTAATCTAGAGTAGAGTACAGCTGTGGGTGCGGTGATGCGACTGGCTCGCAGTCAACACGATCTGAAGCAGATCATGTCAAAGCGCCCACAGCGAAATTATAGGAGGCCATCAGCGCAGTGCAGAGAGCTGGATAAGCTGAAGTGTTTCAGAGGTTGAGGGTCTTGAGGCAGGAGCCAAGGCACTCTAGATGCCGAAACACGGCGAAGATGATAGATTCGGCTACACTGTTTCTAAACACATCTCACACGGGGTATATACAACTACATTCTGCATACATTCTGCTAGAACCACTTTTCACTGGGATTAAATATTGACTGTGAGTGTTGTGCCATCGCATGGTTGTGAAATGCAAGGCGGAGGAGCTTCGGGCAGGTGACGGCGGGGTTACCAAACGTGGCGGACGCGTCTCCTTCGCTCGATCTAGCACCTGCGGAGTATTCGAACTCCGAGTTCTGAAAATTTGCCCAGAGGTGTCTATCGTTCTTGGAACAGCCTGTTATCACAGCTGCACAGATGAGACTGTGGAGCTCAAGATCTGGCAGATTTTGTGATTCGGGATACAGTATCGTAATCTTTGAGTGTTGGTTTTTGTCTGAGATTCGTCCAACCAAAATCATGATTTTGTCCAATGCGAAATACGCCCGATCCAAGATCTCCCCACCACAGTTTGGCACCCACCAAGCTTCAGGCCTCAGAGCACACGTCCATTTGAGTTGCATTCTGTACTTAGAAGTCCGCAATAAACAGCAGGAGACTACGTTAGAACATATGTATAATTTCAACTCAGGTAGTAAGCTGCAATAGATGCTGGAGTGACAGGCTATGGGGCGGAGAATAGCTCATCATCAAGCTCGCTGGTACCTTCTCCCCTCATACATAGACAGGGCCGGAATGCTATTGTCGTCTGCTTCAGTGTTGGGGCTATCCGAGAGAGTTGAGTCTACAAGGCGCATTTCTGCTTGTGCCGGTAGGGATCTCATAGGATAATGAAGCAGGCTTGACTGCCCAAGTCGGCTGGCCCAGTTGTCAAATATCTGGTCAGGTGGGTCACTAGGTAGCTGCGGTCTATGGATAGAGCCTAATGGGTTCACTTTTAGAAGTTGGTCAGAAGCCACAGTCTGATCAGCCCTGGGCAGCTCAAAGTCACTGAGAGTGACTGGTGTATGTGGCCGAAGCAGTTGGCATAGTGCATCTGGTGAACTTGATAAGGTGGACTCCGTGCCAAAGGTGCTATGTAGAGATAGAGCTGGAAGGTGATTGCTGGGTTGATAGCCTTCAGGTGGAGATAAAGGTGGCAAGGGCAAATTGGCGCGGTTCAGACTCAGAGACATGTTCGACACATTCGGAACATGGGCGGGCACAAGTTCAAATAGATCACTTTCAACATGGCCATCGAGCTCGCATACTTGTCTCGTGTGATGTGCACTTGCTTTGTGGTGAAGAGCTTTCCGAAGTGACATGCCTGGCTCTTCGCAATTAGTGCAATCGAAGCCATACCGACAACTGCTTCTGAAGACTGGGGTCTCGTTAGTGAGGTCCGGGTGACCGTGTGCAGGCTAGAGTCTCGCTGTACTTACACTGAGCATCAAAAGTAAATGAACACCCACGCCACCCAAGATCCAGCCATTATTGCAGCATAAGTCTCCAAGCTACTCCTAAGCTTTTATTTGTGTACATTCTACAAGTTTTTGGCTTGAATATTTACAGAAAATTGTAATATAATGATTAGCAAAAATTGTGCACTACAGCCAGTTTCTAGAGCAACTTTTGCATACATAATGCAGGTTTGGATGTAAGATCTGTACCACAAACTATTCGGCTCTCTGGTAGCTATATTTGGAGTCTGACTTGCTCAAGAAAATTTTTGAAACCCTTTCAGGTATTTTACATGGAAGCAATTGTGCTCTGGAAATTTGAGGAGTGGAGGTGTTACATATTCTCTCAGAAGTCCATGTGCATTCCCTGCCACTCAGATGGCCATGATATGACTTGGAATAGCATAGGATGGAGTTGCCATCCAATACAGCTCATTGGAAAGCATGTATTTGGTTGAGAGAAGGCAATTACCTGTGGAACTGACAAACCAGAGAGCACCAGTCAAATATATTGCATCCCGGCATTGTAAATCCCCACAATTATATTTCAAACCTTTGTCAATCTCTTGTATATTATCCTAAGGGGTAGCATGGTTCCCTAAGTTGTGCTCAACTCTGTGTAGAAGAATGTTCTGGAGCACACTTTAGAGGGAACATGCAAGCAGTCCACCAAGGAAGGTGTGTATACTTTGCCTTCTTTCTCCTGAGGTCCTGATCACAACTCTGCTAAATAATTGCAAGGTTGTTTGACTCACTGAGTGGAAAAGAGGGACCTTCAGTCTCTAGCCAAGAGTCAGTAGTGGAAGGCAATGTGAGAGGAAGAATACTGCCAAGATCCATTATTAGCTGGAAAGCTCTGGGGAGCATCCCCTTATGAATAGCCCTGATTACTAATAGCAAGGGGTGAAGCATCCTGCAAAAAAATTTGGGCGCATAGGCCACGGTATTTTGGCAGAGCATGGCCAAACTTCTGTCAAAAGTGCCAGCTTGAGTGTGAGTTGAGATGTCATCCTTTCATAACATTCTTGCAATCTGCTTAAAGCTTTCAAAATTTTATATTTAGCGTTCTTATGTATGATAAATCTTGCACAAATATTTCTGGCATTTAAAACTCAGGGGTCGCGGAGAACGAGAGTGTCGAGCGGGTGTTCATTTACTTTCGACGCTCAGTGTACATTGTGGCTCAATAAAATCGTCTTATGTGAGTGCCACACTGGTCTCATCGGGCTCATGCTCAGGCTGTCGACGCTTCATGTCATCTCACGATGGCAGTCAGTGCTGTGAGCACAGAGACTCGTTTGCACAAGTCTTAGGTGCAGAATTCTTAGCACACGGACTCATGATTCATTAGTGCAGAGAATATTGGCAGATTCTCGAATGCGGAGTATCTTGAGACTTGTGTGACATGGTCAGACAAAAACCAGTGCTCAATGATCAGATTCCCGAATGACCGAAATCGCGCCCGCGTGATTTTCAATATCTCTCAGATACTGTCACCTCAGTCTCATCCGTGCAGCTGTGTAGTCTCCTCGCACGCATGGCGTTTTGTCTGAGTTACAAATAAGGAAATCCCGATGACGCCCGGAAATACACGAAATACGGCCGAGACTGTACTGAGAGGTCTTGCCCGACCGAATCAACCGGTCTCCATTCTCCACGATGATACGTTGAGAGTGAGGAAGTTCGAGCAGGATAGGCAGAAAACGGCCCGTCACCCGAGACGCTCTCGCGCCAACCTTCGGTTGGCGGCGGGCGGCGCGTCATGTTATTTCTCATTGCTCACCTCCACTCTCTGCTCAAGTCAGGTCCTCTCTATCCATGCGTAGCACGGGTCTCTCCCTCGTTAGGATTTAAAACCCAATGAAAGACACGAAGCGAAGAACCTTGGCGATGGATCCCCGCATTCGCCCACGCGGTCATCGATTCATCTTTGGGTGCGGTCGTCTTACCGGCGCCGTCGTCATAAAGCTGGTACTTAGGAGCAACCGCGAAGGGCTGCGATCTTAACATTGATGTGCCATGTATACATAGGAACTCAGTGTCTGCCGCGCAAACTTCCAGTGGCCCAGTGCTAAGCCTTTCACAGGACGGCTTTACTTCTCCCTCTCGGAGTTGGACTGAGAATTGGACGGACGTGCCTCCAAGCGGCTAGCCGTGTGGGAACAAGCAGACGGCGCATATTGATACGACAGGACCGCGAGGGCAACGCGCTAACCTAGTAGGGCCTGGAGGTACTATACGCTGTTGAACACCCGTCGCTTCAGTCCTAGGAGCTGTCGTGAGCAATCTTGAGAGCCCAAGGCATCTTGCGTGCCGATACTGGTTTTAGTAAGTTCCAGTATAGTTGCCTGGTGCAGCGAGAAAGAGGCAGGAGAGGCCATGCATGTAATGTCGTTGGTCAGCCGTTTTGCTGGCGGGTACGAGTATATTCGGACGCAAGGCTCAATCCAACCTCACCTTGAGCAGCGCTACATGCATGAAGGGGATAGCGGACGCTCTATAGAAGTGTCAAAGACGAAGGAAGAGAAGGTTAGGGCTAGGATAGCCGTAACATAAAGGTCCATTAGGATACCAGGAACATAGTTCTCAGCAGGAATGCACATATACTTTTGGCAATTCTTCATGAACCTGAGAATGCGCTGTCAGCTCATAGCGTGCCCTCTGTCAACAGAAGCTCTGTCTGCACCCGCGTCAGCGAAAGCGTGGCATGTTGGGGCTAAAAACTTCTGTAAGGGTTCCCGCTCCTGCTATTTACTTGAGTGGCAGGTACTATATCATCCTATTTCAAAACGAGCTCAACGCTGTCAGTCACTGAAATGAATAAGAACAAGGAAGTTTATTTTGCGGTCCTTCAACGTCTCTTAAAGTCTGCTCGTGACAGTGCCAGAGACGACAGAAACGTTGCAGAGCTCTGCGAAAAGATTAACCATTTTCTCCGGCTCATCCCAATGAATCTATCGGAGACCAACATAAATTTTGTAACAGTGATTCTTCTGAGCGAGATAGACTCACAAAATGGTTTGCGTTTTTCAATCTTAAGAGAGAAACCTGTCTCTTCCTCTTACCCGGATCGGCTGCCTCGCCAGCCAGGTCGCTGAACACCTTCGCTGCCCAAGCAGTGGGCCACGCGGACCGGTCGCACCAGAGCACGAGGAGGTCGACGCTGGGTAGGACCGCGTCTACATCTGAGAACGCGCGGCGGGCATGCCTCTGGCGGATCGACATGTCTGTGCCCATGATAGCCAGAGAGCGTGTGCTGACCGCGGGATCGACGGTATGCTCGAAGTCCTCTGGGGGCAGCGTGCGAAGCGTTGGCGTGCGCGGTAAGATCGTGTGATACTTGATTAATGCTTCGAGTGTAATGGGGAGCCCGTCTGGTACCGCAGTATAATAGGCGGAAGCCCAGTCGATGAACGCGTCTACCTTCTTTTCAGGAGGTACAGAAGGATCTTCGAGGGGTGAAGGGAGGCATGCATTAGCTCGGGGCGTGAAGCCATATACAATACTCGGTGGGTCTGTGGGAAAGGCGAGTGTTCAGCCAGATATGCGTTGAAGACATGGGTGTGCACACCGTAGAGAATGACTTTGCGTAGGTAAGGAGCCAGAGCAGCTGTCAGCCCGTCTCCCAAAGTCTGCGGATCTCCTAGAATGGACAAGGCCGTGATGCCACTTAAAGACCACGTCACCGATACCAGCCCGCCCTCTTTCCTAGCTCCCTCACTGACGATANCGGGGATGCGCAATGTACGGCAGACATATGCAAGGAAGAGAGCGACTTCTCGGCCCCATCTACGCACTACCGATGCTTGTATGTCGAGATCGGAGTTCGCGAGATCTGCCAATTCCTCTGTGGTGTACGGCGAAGACCCGCGGTAGTCTCTACAGTTCATAGTGATGATGCGCAGGCCATATTTGGAGGCGTATGGTAACATCCGCCGAAAAGTGGCTACGCGTTCTCCTTTCAGGAATCTCCCATAAAATTCGACTGTGTGCGTACCTGAGTTGATTAATGCACCATGTACGAGAACGATAGTGGCGTATCTTCGGTGAACATCCGGCGCGCCAGAGTCCTCGTAGTAGATGGAGGTCCCCTTGTCGTCAATCTGTGCGAGGGGCATCTCAGCTTGGACTAGTGTCACGGGAGTGGGAGCCGCCTTGCTCTATCTACTTATAAGAAGTCAGAACTAGCTTTGAACCTTGTGTGAGCGTGAGTCTGGGATGCAAAGGCGTAAAATCTGAATGGATGTTAGTGAGAAATATCGCACCATCTTCCGTCCTAGCTACACGCAGCCTGCGCATATACCACGTGCCTTGTCGAGCTGCCACAGAGTGTTAAATTAAGCATTAAGCTGTTTAGAAACGATGATTCGACAGCATTCAACAGCGTGCGGACGAATGCTCTCTATTGAGGGATTTTTCCCACCGCCTGCCACATTGAGCGTAGTGGCGGCCTGGAAGGTCCTGGAAAGAGATAAGTATCAAGCGCGAGAACGGGCTCTTGATTCATCTCGTGGTTTACAGCGAAGCTCCTGAATGACACGAAGTCAGCTGTGGATCTCTGAGCCCTTGCCGTACGAGACGGCGCATACTCACTCACTCTCAGCTCCGTCAACCCTCGCTCAGCGATTAACGTACGTTCGTGACAGATAATACTACTGAGTATGTTTTTCCTTGCGACGAGTCGTGCAGTAAGTGAACTGCAAGTAGACCTGCGCTGTGATCCAGCGTCACGGTGGAGGACAACAGAGCCGAGCTCGATGGCGGCAAGGAAACCATATGGCGCCGTGGTGATGCGCATAGCACTTCCGGCCTCAAGGCCTCAACGTTCTCAACCGCGAACGCCACCAAGTCGTCGGTAGACGGACTTTAACAGCACGCAGAGGTCAAAGGCAGTGTGAATGCAGGGTATGGGATAATTATGATTGTTTGAGTTGTTTGAAAACCGGCATTAGCTAGTTCACAAATCTTCTAAGCCCGGTGGAGGTTGACCCAGTTGCAGAAGCTCCAGTCAGGAAACTTTACTGTCTTATGTGAGCGATAGATGCGATATCCTAGACACAAGACAGAAAAGATGGGTTTATAAGGCTCCTCGGATAAGATGCCAGCGGGAATTTAGTTTTGTTTAACGATTGATATGAAAATGAACAAGGCAAAATGAAAAAGGCACAATCTAACGATAGCACTGTAATAGTGAATCTGCAGTCCTTCAACGCTTTACGCCTTCCTCATAGCGGATTCAGCCGCCCATTGCAGATTAATTCTTACAATTCTCTGCGAAAATGCGAACCGTCCTGTCAGGTTCATCCCAGTGAAGCTACGCAGTAGTTAGCGACCTTATAGCAGCACATCCACTTAGTTAAAGAGGACTCACGAGATGGTTCACACCCTTCACCCTGAGGAAAGCGGTCTTTCGCTTTTTCTTGCCCGGCTCAGCTGCCTCGGCAACCAAGTCCTGGAAAATCTTGGCTCCCCAGGCGGTAAGCCATACAGACTGGTCGCACCAAAGGAAGAGGACGTCGACATCAGGGAAGACCGCATCCGCGTCAGAGAACGTGCGGCGGGCATACTTCTGGCGGATCGAATCGTCCGTACCCATGATCAATGCTGAGCGGGTGCTGACCTCAGGGTTGACAGTGCGCTTGAATTCCTCGGTCGGGAGGGTGCGGAGTGTCGGTGTGCGCGGAAGAACCTTGTAGTGCTTGCGGAGCGCTTCGGCTGTGATAGGCACGCCCTCCGGCAACACAGTGTTGTACGAGGACGCCCAGTCGACAAACGCATCTGGCTTCCGCTCGGGCGGGATCGTATCATCAACGTAGGGCCAGGTAAGACCTATGTCGGCTGTGACGCCAAATATGATTGCCGGCGAGTCTGTGGGAAAAGAGCTGGGTAATCGGCCAAAGGGTCGTAGGAGCTCTGATACGCACCATAGAGGACGACCTTGCGTAAGTAAGGGGCAAGCGCAGCCGTCAGGTCGCTTCCCAACGTCTGGGAATCTCCCAGGATAGACAAGATCGTAATACCACTCAGAGACCACGCCGTAAGCACCAGCCCGCCCTCTTTTCTGACCCCTTCACCTGCGATAGCAGGGACGCGCAATGTCTGGCAGACGTATGCGAGAAAGAGAGCGACCTCTCGTCCCCATCTGCGCACCGCTGATGCTTGAACGTTGAGGTCGGGGCTCGTCATGTGCGAGAGCTCTTCAGCGGTATACGGTGTTGAGTCGCGGTAGTCTCGGCTGTTCATAGTGATTATGCGCAAGCCATACTTAGAGGCGAGCGGTAGCATGCGATCAAAAGTGGCTACATAAGTCCAGAGTCAGAAGCCGTCCATCGGACTCAGGCATAAACATACCGGAGTTAATCAGCAGACCGTGCACCATAACGACAGTAGTATATGTCGAGGAGCCATCTGGCGCACCGGAGTCCTCGTAGTAGACGGAGGTTCCCTTGTCGTCGATCTGTGCGAGAGGCATTTGTGATGAGTTGCAAGAGAGGCATGGTATCACCCTACGCAACGTTCTTATAAGAACTCCGGAAGACGATGGCGCCTAACCTTGTACGAGTGGTGGGAACGGAAGATAGGCGTAGGAATCAACAAATGATACGCCACCATCTTTTTTCTCGGTGCTTTTTCGCTATTCAAAATTGTCACTGAGATGGTACGGCAGCGGGCAGGTGTTCTGACAGAATATGCTAAGCGTAAATAACTAGCGGTGATCCAGAAGTCCATGGGAGGAGGATACTCTGCCGCGCGCACGGCATGAGAACAAGACTCAATTCTTTTTAGGGTTCGTGAAAAACATATGCCCGCTGGAAGTCGACGCTGCTCCAATGTTACGGCCCACCGAACGTGCAAGCGACGAGGACATCATCGAATCGTCCGAGCTTCGTCGCACGTTACTCACTGCCCGAGTCGGCTTCGTCGCTTACGCCCATTTTTGACAAATACCAAGAACTTTCCTTGGTGACAAGTCATCCAGCAAACAAATAGCTCTGCATTACGGTCTAGTGCCGATGTGCGTAGGTCAGCAAACGACGGCGGCCATATGAAGTAATGATGCGCACTTGCGTCTCCGAGCCGAACGCCACCAGGTCGTCGGCAAACAGGCGCTCGACAAAGCAAGAGGTAAGCATTCGCGGGTCAGCAAGTGGAGGAAGATTATCAAGGAGGCCGCCAAGTTGTGGGTCCAAGATACGAGGGGCTTAGCCCCGCTCGGCCGGAATGCAGCATGAATGCACTAATTTTTAGTAGCGAGTTGAAGTGCTGAGATCCCTGGCGTCCACAGTTGGGCCGTTTAACAGGCGAAAACGACTCGGAAAGCGCAAGTCACCACGTTACTGGCCGCACGACCCAATACGGCATTTTTGAGACTGTATGAGCTTTTATCTTGATATGAAGAAGAGTCTAAAGTCTTCCTGAGCTTGTACGTGATCCACTGTAAAATTTCCTGGCGAACTGCGTGGTAGGCTATCAGGCCAGAGATGGATGCATTGCACTCCGAGCGTTGCTACTGGACAAAAATGTCTATGCCTCTTCCTCTTTCTTACCGTACTTGGAGGTATCAACACCATGGTGAGGGTGGTTAACAAGGTTGATCCTAAGAGCGGAAGTTAGCATGATATGCGTTAGCCTGGAATGGGTTTCGCACATTGGGAAGACACCTAAGGTAAAGCCCTTGATCAGCCAAAGGTGAATCCAAAGATGTAGGCACGTACTGAATTTGAGCTGAGAGAAAGCAGAGTTGCGATATGCTGCCCCCTGGACCCACTCCGGCTCGTCAGAGTGACCGTAGATGGGCAGGCCCTTCCGTGCACGCTCGCTCAGCTCCTTCATGTCTATTTCCTGCTCCCTCGTGTTCTCGCTCCATCCCCAGAAGCGGACTGTGACAAATATTTAGTTGGCCTTCTCTACAAACCTGGTAATATGTCTCACAGCTTGAGCGTTGGTACGCCATGAGGAACCCGCCCACGAAACCAAAGAGAAGGCCGTAACGTAGTGGCGTCCTCAGCCTGCTATAGCTCCTGTCGGCCATGTCTGAGAGCAATTTGAGACCATGTCATTTTGCATTGCACGCGATCTCGAATCGAATCAGCACACACCCCAGAAATACAGGGCTGCAGGGAAAGCAGCGGTCGCACCAGCCCAGACGGCATAGTCAGAGGGGCGCATGTAGCGCATCACACGGCCAGCATAGGGGTCCGCGTCGATGAGTGGGTAGGGAGCCTCGACAATCTTCTCCGGCATGGTCAGAGGAAGTATAAGGCGTAGGATTGTTCGTGGTCAGAGGTGGCCAGTGAATGCGCGCCCGCTGTGGTCCGAGTTTAGGGCCGGCAAACTCCGCCTTAAACATCAACACAAGGCATCGTGAAGCCACTGCCAAATTCGACCTCAACTCCCTCCCTGCTCCTTCGAAGACCGACCTTTCTCTGCGAGGACCCTCCATGATGGTCGAACGCACAACTCTCAGTCGCAGGTCGAACAGAAATCAACTCTCACTGCCCTACGCCCGTCCGTCACAGCGCGCCTCGAAGTCGTCGTTGGTGGGTCTGCACTGTGTAGCTCGCATTCAAACGCGATGTCCGTTAAATGTCTCCTATCTAGTCGTCAATGTTTAACAGTATAGTGAACTGGTTCAAAGCAACCGATGAGCTTGATGAAGACGAGCCAGTGGATGAACAAGACGCAGGGTCATCCAATCCCGCTGCACAAGCTCTTGTTGATCGAGGGCACGACGTGAGCTACTCACAAGCTCTGGAGGGTGTTCATAGTACTAACTTACGTAGATGAGTGCTGGACAAGACGCATTGCCCCCGCCACCACGACGAAGTGACGGCCACCAACCACCACTCACGTCGCAGTCGTCATATCCACAACTGCCTGGAGGTCCTCCGCCGGTTGAAACACAAGCAACTACGTCAACGTTCTCTTTCCCGTCAGCCCCTCCTCCCGTTACACGTACTTCGACCTCTTCCTCTCCTGGACCAGAGGGACTCCCCAAGAACAATATCGAAACCGTCGCAAATTATCTCAACAGAAAGATAGGGCAAGGACAAGCCCTCGATGCTGTGGAGATTGCGGGTGTCATGGCATTACTCAAGGATGAGGGCGCTGAAGACCCAGGTATATCATCCATATCCCCGTTGCAATGCACAATCACTGACTTTGGGTGCGTTCGCAGATGAGGAGAAACACGAACCGTTCCGCTTCTCTACCAGCCCGTCTACTCGTGGTAATAGCCCTTCTCTCGGCGCCCTGGCGGCGAGCACGTCTGCACCCGCCGCCAACGGCGACGCGAAGAAGCCTCGTATGCTGACGAAGAACCCTAACGGTGTTTATCGGTGGCAAGGTGCTGGAAGTGCTCGTCCGCGAAACCGGTACCAGTCTCCAGGTTTCGGTCCATCACGATCGCAGCCAACCATCAAGATTATCCCGGAGAAGACTGAGACGACAGACGCGAAGAGACGGCGTGTGAGCGAGGAGGCACAGGAATCGACTTCTCAGCACGCACCGGCACCCGCGTCTGCTACTGATGGCGCTCCCTCAACATCCGCCGATGGCGCTGACGGCTCATCAAGTGCGCCATTGGCGGGCAACCAGAAGTCGCCATCACCGCAGCCAACTGCTTCTTCCTCGAAGTCCGATGGGCTCGCGCCCCCGGCAACACCTGGACTCCGCACGACTGGAATCACTACACCCAACGCGCCGGCGGTCCCATCACCACTACGAAACTCCTGGAGCAACGATCCTTCGTTTCCATCATCAGCTGCGCCCAAGCCAACACGCGCTGCCACTCTAGTGACAGACATACTCAAAGAGGTCACGCCGTCAGAGAAGAAAAAAGACCTTATCAATCCTTACGAGGCATTCTATCCTGGTAACCTCAATCAGCTGCCGAAGAAGAAGCCGTTGAAGAGGAAGGCGAGTTCTAAGGGGGTTGAGAAGAAGGCAGGTCCGCTAGCGAATGCTCCTGGGCAGAAGTCAGAGGAGAAGAAGCAGAAGGAGGCTGAGATGAGTCCGAGTAAGATTATCGAGGCAACTGTGCCTAAGGTGTGTATTATTCACGCCTGATTGTCACGTTACGAGCTAACATAGTGGTCAGGGTGCCAAGCGGGCACGTCCTCCACCAGAACTTGAGAAGCAAAAGCCAGCAGCTCTCGGCCAGGAGCCACGAAAGGCTGAGCCGCTCAAGCCCTCTGAACGTCAGACGGCTCCGAGTGGCTCTTCATTTCTCAAAATTCCAAGCAAAAAACCTGCTAAACCACCGGTCATAATAGAGGAACTATCGGACGAGGATCAGCCGTCGCCGTCTAAGAAGGCGAAGACCAAGACTCCAACACCTGCTCAACCAGTTGCTACTCCACCTGCGCCCACCTTCGCTGCTGTTCTAGCCCTGGCTGCTGCTTCTGCCAAGTCGCCCGTGCCTACCCGGTCTATCTCGATTGAGGAGGTTGAGGAGGTTGAGGATCAAGACATGGAATCAGTTAAGCCTGCACAGGTGATTGAGCCTGAGGAGAACACCCGTCGTAGCTCCTCTCCTACTTCCCCCACCACCTCTGCGCCCGGTCCCTTTGGTGCCAAGTCTGCATTTGGCACCAAATCTTCCGCACCGAAAGCCCCTTCAAAGCTGCGATACAGCATTCAACCTGAAAAGGACGAGCAGACACAAGATATTGCCGAGAGGAAGGAGAGTGAGACGCCTAGCGAGAAGTCATCGTCGTCATATGCGTCCACCTCAGCGCCATTTGGTGCCGCGCGACCTGCGAAGAAGTATCCCATTGACGTTACCGAGATCATGAAGTTCGTGAAGTCTTTGCCGAAGTTCGAGCTCAATGCGTACCCATTCGACACTCCCACGTCATCGCCCGGTGCCGGACCAAGCACCGTCAAGGCACGAGACGCAGCAAAGGCCACGTCTGTCTTGGAGCTGCCAGCCTACTCGTTCGATTTCACCGCTGCACCGACAGCTGCACCGAGCGCGACCCCCGGCTTCAACTGGAGCGGAGTCAGCGCGGAGAACTCCACCGAGGCTGGGGATCAGTGGACGTGCTCTACATGCATGCTCAAGAACCCTGCCGCAGCGACGGAGAAGTGCACAATCTGCGACGCCCCTCGGCCAAGCGCGGAACTTGCGGCACCGGTCACGAAGGGCTTCAGTTGGAACGCAGCTGGCGTGAAAGCACCCGCCGGGACTGAGGATCAGTGGACGTGCTCTACGTGCATGCTCAAGAACTCTGCCACAGCGACGGAGAAGTGCACGATTTGCGAGGCCCCTCGACCGGCTGCCGCAATCAAGGAGGCTCCCAAGGCCTTCGACTGGGTGGCAGCCGGGATGAAGGCTCAGCCTGCCCCTTCCGCCGACACATGGACATGTGCGCAGTGCATGCTCCAGAATCCCGGTACCGCACAGGAGAAATGCACGGTTTGCGACGCCCCCCGGCTGGGCGCGCAGGCCGCAAAGCCTCAGCCCACAACGTCTGCCGGTACTTGGACGTGCTCGCTGTGCATGCTCCAGAACCCGGGGACCGCACAGGAGAAATGCACGATTTGCGACGCCCCTCGGCCGGCCCCTCAGGCTGCGAAGCCTCAGCCCACATCGCAGTCTCCTGTCGGTACGTGGACGTGCTCTACATGCATGCTCCAGAATCCAGGGACTGCATCGGAGAAATGTACGATTTGCGACGCTCCCCGGCCGGATGCAAAGCCAGCGGCACCGGCCACGAAAGGCTTCGACTGGGCTGCTGCGGGTATGAAGCAGCCAACGGCTACCAGCGGATGGACGTGCAAGAGCTGCATGCTGCAGAATCCCGCGGACGCCGAGAAGTGCACTGTTTGTGACGAGCCCCGATGAGCGTATTTAATGTTGTGATTTGTTCTGTACAGCGCATTGTTTGTTGCTTTGCTTTTTTTTACACACTGGAATGTATTCCGCTGCAGTATGCTGTGATGATACTAATCTATCCCTCGGCCCAAGAAGCGTCGTGTGTATATGCCCGCCGCCGAGGAGAGCTTGAGCGTCAATGAAGGATGCCGAACGGACGCGCAAAGTTACGCAAGGTCAAGGCCAACCCGCCTCTGCACCGATGACTGAGAAACGCTTACGACTGCCTTCGGCCAACGAGAACGAGAGCAAATCGATGCCGCATGCCGTAGCACTTGCATGTGCTCTCAATATCCGGATGGTACACGACATACCACGGCCAGTGGCACATCCTACGAAATTCGGATCCAAGTCGCCCCAACGTTGTGCGCGCCGGCACACGACGTAGCCCGCCGCAGAGCTGTATAAGTACGCCCATCCGCCCACCCAACGACGAACAGAGCACACTAGTCTTCGATCCCTACAAACTCTATCGCAACCACCCGATGTACCACTGGCACCATCGTTGGCACCATCACCGCGGCGGCTCGCGCCTGCTTTGGTTCCTCTTCGGCGCCGGCGGCGCCGTGCTCTGGATGAAGCACAAAGAGTGCCACAGCTACGAGCCCAAGCACTGTATGCGCCACCGCCTCCCGCCCGAGGCGTACCCACCCCCGACACAGACTCAGACGCAGACCGCCCAGCCGGCTGCTGCTGCAGAGAGCGCGCCCGAGCAGTTCCCGCCGCCGCAGAGGAAGTGGGAGTGGGGCTGGCCGCCGAGGGAGGCGCAGGCGCAGGTGCATCAGCAGAAGCAGGAGGACCACCGCGTGCTGCCCCCGTTTGCGAATCCAAGCGAGGGCTGGGAAGACGAGACACAGCGTTTGCAGAAGATGACGCAGCAGGCGACAGAGACGGTTAGTGCTGATTTGTTCCACCTGCCCCTGGTGCAAGACTGACAGTGGCTGCGGCACTTAGCTCGCCGATATCTCTGAAGCAGGCTTGGACTCGTTGCTTTCCACGGTCGAATCGCTTAAGGCGGTGAGTAGGGGCTTTTGCGTGGCGCTTTGCAGGGCGGCTGACGCGCTTTGACGTAGAAAATTGTCGAACGTCGGGAACAGCGTCAGCGGGACCAAGCTGAGCAGCAGGTCGCGCGCGAGGAACGCTTCCGCCAGTTCGAGGAGTGGCGTAAGCAACAGGAACAATACGAGCAAGAAAAGAAGAAGCCTCGGCTTGTGTAAATTGAGGGATTACTACTGGGAGTTATATCACCTTGCGGACGTTTATTTATTGAAGCTTTGTTCTGTTTATGTTTCTGACCATGACTTTTGCGTGCACTCTTAGTCTCAAAGCTATATCTCAATGTTGAAATGGTACCACCTAATCTACTCTTGGCTCTAAATCTATGGACCTAGTCAAGGTTAAGTACGTTAAGTAGACGGCGCCACGGCGGTGACCCGGCACGCACGCGTTTGTCGTTGCAGGCGATGCTGTCTACTGGCAGCACTCCCAGCTACTTTCAGTGCTCTGAAATACTCTGTATATATCACATGTCGTGAGCGGCGAGTCGAGAACAGCGTCCGAGATCGCGATCGACGGGCGGTGTGAGAGGGTGTGAGTAGCCGCCGGAGCAATGAGGACCGGACGGTGCCTGCATGGTTCGTCAACTTTCATCATTGAGTTTTCCTGCCCTGGAAAACTGCATGGTCATTCTCGAAATGTATCCACAAGGCACGCACAGATAAAGCCTCGTCCGGCGGGGAACTCTTTCTTCCTCTGCTAGCCGTCTTCCAGCCTGTACTATCACCATGTCGGCAACGACGTCCTCCGAGCCCAGCCTGCCCGCCTTCGGCCGCGTCGTCTCGTTTGTAGATGACAAGAAAGACTACCTCGACGAGAACGCTGATTTCCAGACCGATGTCGCTCCTTCGAGGCCGCCAATTGACTACTCATCAGTTGGAGCATTCTCGAGCAGTATGTGGAGGCGGTTCGTGAGCCTGTGGACAAAGCGGTTCGTTCTATCGCTGCTCGCCGGCCAGCTCGTGTCGTTGTGCATCACTTGCACGAACGTCACGACGACAGAGCTGGTAAGCAGGAATTGGGCCCTGCCGACGACTCAGACATGGTTCTTGTGAGTAGTACGCGTGACGACGTCCCCGTTAGCTCCGCTGACCGACGTTTGAAGGTACTTCTCACTCTTCATCACGTACACCCCGTACACGATCTACCAGTACGGTTTCAAGGGCTGGGGCAAGATGATCCTTCATGACGGTTGGAAGTACATTATCCTCGCCGCCTGTGATGTCGAAGGCAACTTCCTCGTCGTCAAAGCATACGACTACACGACCCTCCTTTCCTGCATGCTCCTCGACGCATGGGCGATCCCCGTCTGCATTTTCTTCTGCTGGATCTATATGCGCCCCAAATACCACTGGACGCAGCTCGCCGGCATCGTCGTCTGCGTCGGCGGCCTTGGCATGCTCGTCGCCTCGGACGAGATGACGGACAAAGACTGGCCCGCGCTGAGCCGCGCCAAGGGCGACGTCTTCATGCTCGTCGGTGCGACGCTCTACGGCTTCACAAACGCGACGGAGGAGTTCTTTGTCCGCCGGCGCCCGCTCTACGAGGTCGTCGGTCAGCTCGGTATGTGGGGCACGCTCATCAACGGCATCCAGGCCGCGGGTCTTGAGCACAAGGACATGACCCTTGCAAGCTGGAACGGCGCGACGATCGGCATTCTCGTCGCGTACACCGCAGCGATGTTCATCCTCTACACTGTCGCGCCGATCCTCTACCGCATGGCGTCCTCGGCGTACTACAACATCAGTCTGCTCACGAGCGACTTCTACGGCCTGCTCTTCGGGCTATTCCTCTTCCACTACAAGGTCTACTGGCTCTACTTCGTTGCATTCGCCGTCGTCGTCCTCGGTCTGATCATCTACTTTTGGACCGCCACGCGTGAGTAGCTCTATGACTCGCTGAAGATGTTGGTGCTGATGCTCTTCACAGCGGAGGAACAAGGAAAGATCGACCCTCGCTCCCCAGAATACGTCCAGAGGCGCCACGAGTCTGATCGCATTGCGGGCCAAGTGTAGGCACATTCAAAAGCCGTCTACATTGAAGTGAGTGCTTTCCCAGGCATGGCAAGACAAGGCTCTAGCTGATTACCATGTGCATAGATCATTTCTCTAATGTGCTTGTATTCGGTTTGTACCATATAACACGACCCTTACCACCAAGATATACATCTTGGAATGACAAATGGAGGATTTTATTGTGAGCTTCACATGTCCGAGGGTGTATATGCTCGCTTGGGGAGGCCTGTTAGATCGTATACTGCTTGTCATACGGCCCCGGATGGGATCATTGCTGTTTAGTCGTCGCTACTCAACTTCGGCTTCTGCTGCCTCGTATATGTTGAGCTATGGGATTGCCGTCAATCAGCCCGGCAACAAAGTGAAGAGAGATGCACATGTGAGCACGCGTGTCCTAATGTTGGACTACAACGCCGGGACAGAATTACGTCGGTGAAGACGGAGCTCACATGGAGGACGAAAGGTCTACGCTATCAGAAGATCACGAGTAGTCGGCTGCACACGTTCATCAGCCTTCTCGTTCGCACTCGAGCAGAAGACATAAGACGCCTGCAACGAGGCTAAGGAGGAGCATCGCGAGCAGGGCACCCAGGCCGTAGCTAGCACGGCATCGAGTTACGACGGTAGCAAGGAACTTGGGCTTGGGGGCGTCCCGCGAGAGCACAAGCTCCACCACCTTACCAAAGGCGAGGAAGATGATGCTCTCCATCATCGTCTGCGGGATCCAGCAGGCCCAGAAGAGCTTCATCCGGTTCTACGGTATGCACGTCCAGGCTCGGGTCGGGCGAAAAGAATCATAGCAGCCAGTACTTATAGTTTCCCAGCAGTGTGCTGTGACAGACCGTTTCGTGTGTACGTCCGAATTCCCTTCTGGAAGTTAGCGGACTAACAAGGCCGATAGAAGCTACAGCTTCTGCACACGATAGGCAGAACAAGCTTCCCAGCAAAATGAGCTGCAGCGAGAGCATACCGCTGAAATCACGACTATGGAGTACCTATGAACATGTCTTAGAATTTGCAGCTGCATCAAAACGTTCAGAACTATTGACAGGGACACTTCCTTGACAGCTTCGACATGTCGGTTTGACCTGCAAGTATATATGGATGTTAGCCTTGTCCAACATAGCGTTAGGAAAGTAGACGTACTATTGAGGGTGGAACCTTCGATACTACAGCTGAATCGTTGAAACCTGAAAATCGGAAATGTGAGATGCAGACGTTAACTGGCCCGGAATGCCTAGTTTATCTTCTGGGGTGAACAGGACTAATGAGTCTGCTTAGACAATATATTGGACGAACGCAGGTCGTGAGGCTGCAGTATCCTTGCTGCATCCTACCTTGCCATTCTTCCAAGCCGAGTCCTGTCGCTCTTGGCGCGACATCTCGGAGGCAGCAGAACGTCCGCTTTACCACAGTGTGGCCCGCTGGCTTCATCTGCCTGACTTGCTACTGAGCGCTGAGCGCCAACTTCACCTGGGAGCTCGCGGTCAGAAAAGGACACGTTCTCGAGGCTCACCACGGGGCGGTACGCCATCATCGCCATCCAAGCTACGACGGTGCCCCAGTGAGATACGTCGGTGTTGTCTGCACAATTTTCGGGCGAAGGAGCGCGTTTGGCTGGAACACTACCGTGGGCTGGGTCTTCACCGCGGTATGCATCGGCTGGGCAACGGGGATACCCATGCTGCTGATGGGCAAAGTCGGAAGGGAAGGCGAGGTTCTCAGGCAGGAGTTTGGGGCACAGTGGGAGGCGTATGCAAAGCGGGTACCAGACAAGCTGTGTCCCTTCATTTTCTAAGCCTCTTATATTGAACTGGTAATATCCGGCAGCTGTGTGGGGAAGGCACAGGGCGCGAGGCGCAATACACATCAAGACGGAACACTACCCACCACTGTGTTGGTGTGCCTACGAGACAGCGACCGTCTATTTGCACTGGGAAGCATGGGAATATATTCTCGATCTTTTTGGGAAAAATGCCATGAGCAAACGTGAGATTATATAGCAAGCACTGGGATGCGGGATCAGTCCTGGGGCAGCGGCGGCGGAGCTTCGGGCTGAGGAGCAAATATGAGATTGAGCGGGGGAGTCGTCTGGCTGTTGTCGTCCAGAAGCGTGGCAATGATGCTTCTGCCAGCAAAGCTGCGACCCGCGAGAGCCTTCAGTGCCCTCTTCGCTCCATCCGCTCCAACGAATCTGACATAGACGCGGCCGACGCCGGCAGCTTCGTCCACGCGTTGCGCCGACAACGGGTCAAGACCACTCTCTCCCCACTTGGCTTTATCCTTTTTGACAGGACGAGGAATGCGAAGGTCCTCGATGGGCCCGTGTTTTTCGCATTCATCCTTGACATCCTCGTAGATGTCGGCATACTCCTGGTCGTCGTTGAGGTCCTCGGGTACGACCATGTTCAGCATGAGCAAGATACGGGCTTCGACGCCCTCGAGATCGCCAGCAGGAAGAATAGGCTTCGGAATTTCGGTCGGATAGAGAGCTTGCGGCGGAATCTGCCCGTTCTTTGCACCAACAGAAGCGCGCTGGACAACGAGGTACTTGTCGCCAAGCTCCATCTCGTTAAGGGACTGGATAGCCACATCCGTTACGGCAGGGTCAACATATTCGAAGAATGCAAAACCCTTCGACGGGCCGTTACCGTTCTCGCGAACAAGGTTGAAGGCCTTTAAATCACCGAAGCTCGTCAAGAGCTCCATAACCTGCTCCTCATTGAGGTAAGGTGGCAAACCGCCAACGAATACCTTATTGATGGAGTCGGGGACGTTTGTGGAGACGACGCCGGGGACATGCATACTGGGAGCAAGGTTCTCCGAACCACCGTAATCCTTCGGTCGGCGGATCTTCAGGGGTCCGCTGAGGAAGATGATACCATCGAAAGCCATGGCAGCGGTGGCATCCTCCGCACTGCGGAACTAACGATGCGAAATATACTCAGTGAGGTGCAAGAGTATAATCTAGACACGAACTTACTTCGACGAAGGCGTAGTTCTTTTCGTAGTTGCACTGAACGGCTAGAACAGGATTGCCCGGCGCTCCTGTTCCGATGCTCATCTCCTTCATTTTTTCGTTGAAGAAATCTGCGAGGTTCTGTTCGTTGATTTCCGGAGTGATACTTCCGATGTACAAACGCCGTGACTGCCTAGATAGGTTCGGATTGACACCCATGCCCATACCGAAGCTCTGTACTGGCATCGGCGGCGGAAGTCCAGGGACGGCGAGGATCGGGGGGATCTGCGTCCTGTTAGCACCTGGAAGATTGAAGAGACCTTTTTCACGGTCAGTTTCCGTTAACAACAAACATGCAATGCGACAACATACCTGTTTGCTTAGCCTGCATGGCGGTGTACTGCTCGTAGCCGGGCGCGTGAATGTCCCAGCCGCTGGCCTTTCTCTTCCTTTGTGACAGCGAAACCGCATCGGATGGAGTAGGCGACCTTCGCTCTGGTGTTCCCAGTCCTTCACGATGTTTGCCACGACCCCCTCTTTCTTCACCGTCGCCGCCCCTTCCGCGACGGCCGTGACCAAATTCCTCGTCTCTTCCGCGGTGCTCTCTCCTGCGGTGCTCCTCGCGAGGAGGACGCTCGAAGTCCTCCCTTCCACCACGTCCGTACCCCCCGCGATCCCGATCTCTCTCCCTGTCACGCTCACGAACTTCTCTGTCTCGGAAGTCTCTGTCGCCGCGGTCTCCGTGACGTTTGCCCTCGTAGCGGTCTCTGTCGCGGGGCTCGCGGGGCCCGTCACCGTGCGGGCGGTGAGAATGTTCCCTGTCTTGAGGCCTCGAGGAGCGGTGCCTCTCGCTGTAGCGATCTGCTAGAACAAAACGGATAAAGGTTTGCGTGAGTATCGGCTGCGCTCGTGGTATCTGAATCTGTCAGTAACACGACGGAGGAGAGGATCCGTGACGGGTGCAACGCGGTGCAGGTAAAGCGGGGCTAGCTATCTGAAGAAGAGAAACGCTATGGTGCAGTGGAGAGAGGCACCATGAGCTTGTCGTTCTCTGAAGACAAGGAAAGCGGGATAGAGAGAGCAAATATTCACCCTCGCGGTCCTTGGTTCTTGTGCCTGCAGCCAGCTGAGAGCGCGGGTAAGACATAGATGTAAGTCAGCTCACCAGCTTCTTCCATTTTCTTCGTTCGCTCTACAGAAGTATACGACGTGCAAGCAAGTGGAAGAGATGGACGTGGGAGGTGAGAGCGGGGAGCGACAGACGCCTTCAAGCGGTTTCAAACGAAGTAAGGCCGAGTTAGCAGCAAAACTTACTATTGTTATCTCTGTTTGCTTACTCGACGAAGATGAGTAACAAACCGGCTTCGGGGATGCGACTTTACTTGGACTTGTCGCTCATGTCGGACACGGAGAGCAGAGACTTGCCACATCCTTCGGAGAATGTAGCTCCAATGCCGTACCAAGAGAAGTTCAATAAGGTGTGCACATAATTACGAAACTCTACTTTGGTCGAATCTGAGCCTCCAGAAGAACCGTCCGCACACCAAGTTTGTTGAGTGCGCTCCTGGTTCCGCTGTCGTCTGCGCGATTTGGTACTTACGACACCTATCTGCTAGCCCATGTGAGAAGGCTGCGAAGGCCTCTTTTACTTGTATGGATAAGAATGACTATGACCGCGACAAATGTTCGGCATACTTCGCAGCGTACCGACAGTGCAAGCGGACATGGGTGCGCACGCCCTAGTTTTTACCCTTCCATACGCTTACGTTGTGCACTCAGATGGAGCAACTAAGAGCAGACAGACGTGCTGGCCGTATTGACTAACCAAGACGTCCACGCCAATGTGCATGCTATGATATACATTCTATTATCCTCCAGTCCAACTTGACAGTAATTAGGGTGTGTGTATGCGTACAAGAAATACTAGAATGTCTGCAAATGGTCTTCACTTTGTCTTCGCCTTCCAAGAGCCAGGCCCAGAGCTCCGCTTTCCAAGGGCACAGTCGACGACTTTCATCATCTCCACAACTTTCTCTTCCTCCCACTTCTTCCCGACGACCTGCACTCCAATTGGCAGACCGGCCATCTTATCAACATTATAGATGGCGTCGTCGCCTTTGTATACCAGGCCTTCCAGCGTTGGCGAGCCGGCCGCGGGCTGGCTCCTCCATTCGTCTGTGAGCCTGTCAAGGCTTGGGTCGACTCGCGTGACCGGGACTGTGCCGGCGGGGCTGTCGACGACATTGTAGAGCAGGGCCGAGCAAGCCAGAGAGGCAATGTAAGTCACAGATCTAAATTCATCGCTGTCAGACCTGCGCAATGCTGCACGTTCAGTCAGACTTACTGATGGGGGAGTGGGGGGATGGCCAGGACGGGCGCGATAATACCATCGAACTCGTACTTCTCCCATACCTGCCGCATCATCGGTAAGCCCGGTGAAACTAGACACATAGCAACTTTGACTGACCTCCTTGTAGAACTTGCGAACATAGTCCTTCTGCTGGTCGATTGTCGACCAGAACTCGTCGACAGAAACGGGTTTGCAAATACTCATGATATCCGCGAACACGGTATCGCCCATCGGATGTCTCAGGATCCAGGAGACAAGTGAACGTGCCCAGCCTGCGCAGTGACCCCGTGGTGAGCTTACTAGCAATCCTGCCGGTATGTAAGCGAGGTACTAGCCATATAACTCGGGACCGATGGCCATGGTTGTCAGCTCCTTTTGCTGTGAGCATTGATTAGCTTTCGAATGACACCGTAAATTAGAGAAGATACTCACTCTGGGATCTTGTTTAATAGGCGAGAAGAGGGTCTTGTTACCATCAGCTAGCGTTAGGGATAGGAAGAGCTTGAGAGCCTTGACCGCTGTTGCCCAAATATCAGTACACTTCACAAGTAAATCAAGCCGCAACAAAGTCCAATCACCATCTGGCACGGCGAACTCGACACATTCATGTCCTTCTCGCCTCAGCGCCTCCACTGTCTCAAGAACTGCTCTCTGAGACGCGGGCGAGCTCTTGATGAGGCCATCTGTGAAGCGATCATCGGCCCACAACGTTCAACGTACGTCATACAGAGAAAGCGTGTCTCCTACCATTGACGTAATACCCAAATTTTAGCTTCTCACGCAGCTTGATATCGCGGTATGGGATGGGTGCCGGGTCGTAGTTCTCGCTCTGCTGCCCAAAACCAACACGGCAGGCCAGCTCAATATCCGCCACCGAGCTGAAGACAGAACACCAAGTGTGTCAGCTTCCCCACGTGCAAATTTGCGACGCGGCGAGTCAAGACTCACCGTCCCATAGGCCCCATTACGGTCTTAACGGCGTCGAAGCCAGGAAGATTCTCTATGCAATACAACGGCTCAACGAATCCGCCATAGTGTAGTCCCGAAGACCACTCACCCTTGACCCCACCTGTGGATAGCCTCCCATGGCCAGGCTTTAAGGTGTAGATCCCGCAAAAGCTCGCGGGAATCCTCAGGCTCCCGCCGATATCGCTGCCCCACCCTAGCGCGCTGCCGTCCATGGCGAGCAACGCAGCCTCGCCACCGCTCGAACCGCCGGACGTATGGTCAGCGCTGTATGGGTTCAGCGTTCGGCCCCACATCGGGTTAACGCACTCGAAGAACATCAGAGTCTGTGGGACATTGGTCTTCGCAAGAGGAATCCCGCCGGCCTCCCGGACGAGCCTGACCAGCTGCAGAGGGAAAGACGACATGTCAGCACAACGTGTTTACCGAATGGCAGTGCCACAACACGCGTCGTTTCAGCTGTTCTCGGACAGAACGGCTCGCACGAGAATGCTCTGGGCCGGCCAACGAAGGAGGCTCATCGATGCGAAGTCACAGCACATGGCCTCAGAACGTCCAGTCGCAGGGTTTGATGGCTGCACTCTACTCACCTCCGCGTCCGCCGCGGCTGGCTTGTGCGCCTCGTTGCTGTGTCCCATGGATGTGTCATGCCTGACAATGTCGTCTACGGCGGGCGCACAGCAAGCGTTAGTGTTCATTTTACGGTCCGTCTGTCTGCCACCAAGTGACAAAACTTACAGATGTCTTTGAAACTGACGGGCACGCCGTGCAGGGGGCCCTTGAGTTTCTTCGTGGCCTGCACATAGTCGTCGAGAGCTTGTGCTTGTTGGCGGGCTTCTTCAAACAGCACTGGCAGGAGGGGGAGATCAGCGCTGGTCAGATGCCTCGTGGTGCAGTCGGACGAAGAGCCCGGGAATGGCGGCGTTCGCTGGCGTACCTTCTGTCAAACAGTTTGTTGTCTGCTGGGCTAGGGCTGCGCGGGAGATGTAGGCCTCAAGAACCTCCGAAGCCGTCCATTCACCGGCTCCAATGCGCTGCACGATTTCCGCGGCTGACAAACGAAGAGACGCACGCGCGGCACACCGTGGTAAGCGGTCTTCAATTCCGGGCTAGGTACTGGGGCTCACCTGACGCGGCAAGGAGAGCCGACTGCTCGGGAAAGGCGGGAAGGGCGGTTTGGAGAGCCCTGGCCCTCTCCTCGACTTTCTGCTGTGCGATCTCTTTCCACGACGATGAGGAGAACGGCCACATGTTGTGAATGGATCTGCACAGAGAGTAACGGCGATTTAGTTGCGGACGTGATGTCAATGTATGGACGTTCTCACAAGTGTCGACCACTGTGCTCCACTTGGGGAGAGGGGCAAGAAAAAGGCTGGTCTACTCCCGATTCAGGTCCCAGCAATTTCAAGGGCCTGGAGGGCAAGGCTCGCGCCAAGTCAACGCTTTATGGGGGCTGAGTGAGCCCTTACGTTGGTCCATCAGGGCGCCGGACGGATGCCCTGGCGTCCCAAGCGGTTGCTAGCGAGGGTGGCGGACAGAAAATCGACCCTGGCAGAGTGTACTAGCCGATCCTGTAGACGTGAGCCGTGGCTTATCAAGGAATAGCAGCCGCTTGCTCTGCATTCAAGCGGGGTCATGCCGTGTGGCGTGGCTTTGCCAGGGACGAGCCCCGATATGTCTGCAAGACTGCAACACGTTCACGTCACCAAATCACCGCTGAACTCTCGCCAATCCTTGCGCGGGGCTGCGCGCCCGTTTGTAGCAAGTCTGCCGCCCGGAGACATGCATCGCCTCTCTTGCAATGGCGAATTGCTTGCTGCAGGCTGCGCATTGTTGAACAGTTGGAGTATCAATGTATGTATCGCGCGCATGGACACTCGTATGCCGCAGCTGCTTCATTGTTTTTTGATCCGCGTGTCATTTGTTCCAGTTCTCGTAGTATACAGTCTCACCCTTGCCCAGTATCATTGTGCTCGCCGCCGTCGCATCCAGAGTGGGTATTACCTTATCTCATGCATTATGCCACATGCTTACGACCTGTACCTAGCTCGCCTTTGCGTCCTTCGTTCAGCCAGACATCTGCCACAGCCTTGACAAGGCTAGGTAATACATGGGAAGCTCGGGCTGAAAATTCTAAATTTGCTGTCGGTCATGCAAGCCAAATCTGTGCTAGTGGGCACTAGCGGGATCACGTCGGCGAGACATGTCCGATTCAATGTGGGTCTGCCGTCAGTGCGGCGTCCGCGCCACGACAGCCAGTGCGCTCCGTAGAGGACATGTGCGTCAGATCTTGCGTACCGTTGAGGCAGAGGATGCGACCAGGATGCGACGGACTCGGAGTCGAATGATGGCGTTCGATACACTCGGACGAGGTCTGGCCCCGACGCAGACAGGAAGAGCAGAAGGACGAAGATTTGATCATTGAGCCGGTCTTAATCTGATTGGAGACTAGAGATGATGTGCACGACCTATATTCCTTGAGAAAATGGATATAATGAGCGTGCAACTGCGTAATTGCGAATTTTGTGTCTAAGTAAACGAACCTCTTGGGTTGGGCGATGAACTAACCTGGTACGTTTTGTGGGGAACTCTAGGAAACCGGCGTGGAGATGAACCCACGGGCAGCCGCTCCGCGGCAACCACACAACACCCCACCGAAGCTTCGAAGCGGCAAACACGCTTTGAAACATCACTGCACTGATCCACCGCGAGTCCGGGCTCCGCATGGCAAAAAGGCGATCATGGCACACGGTGAAATCAAGACAAGACGATCATCGTATTGACGACATGGCTAGATAGGTTAGGTACATAGCAGAGACTTTCACGCCCAGCGGTCCGTCTGAAGAAACTGAGGCTGCATATCAAATCGAACGTCCCCGAAGCTTTGAAAGAGAACCCTATACTTTACTGAGTGACTTCATCTTCCGCGTCGCTGTGCATCGTCCTGCGCTCGAACGCAGATGCGCGGCTCGCGCTGCTGCGCTTCACCTGGCCGGTCGGTCGCGAGGGCGACCTGGCGTGGCCAGTCGCAGGGCTCCCAGGCCGGGCAAGGCCAGCGGTGTTGGTGATCGACGACCTGTTGTTGAAGTTGCTCACCATGCTGCTGACGGAGCTGCCGCTCGGGCGGGGGCCGCGCGCCAGGCGCGGTCCTCGGGTGCTGGGGCTGATACCACCCGTGCTGCTCGTCACGGACGAATGTCTCGACAGCGACGGCTTCACGGGAGAGACGCTGCGCGATGAAGCTGAGCCGACCTTCGGAGACGTTGGGCGGCTTGCGGAGCTAGGGCTGGGTATCCCTGGCGATGTTGCCGCAGGTGAGACAGGCTCCCGAGGGGGCTCCTTGAACGTCGGCATGGGGAGCTCCGGGGAGTCTGAACGTGCAGCAGGTGCCATCTGAGGCTCACGGAAGCGAGGTGCCTCTGGGGAACCTAGCTCGGGTGGAGGCTCCTTGAACATGGGACGGGGCGGCAAATCTTCATCCTCCGGAGGCGGCTCCTTGAACACTGGAGGCATATCCACTGGTGGTTTAGAAACTGGTGCTTGCACTTGTGATACAGGCGAACGGGACGCCAACGGCGGTGGCGGTGGGATCTTCGAGAAATCGACAGACTGCTCTTTGGAAGGCGGCGGTGGAATCCTCGAGTAGTCAGGGCTGCCGTTATCCCTCGCCGCAATTTCGTCATGAGGTGGCTGGGACTCAGGCTCGTCACTGACGGTGACCGCAGATGACTCTGAAGTCGCGGACTGGTCCGGACTCGGCAGCTGTTGCGCGTCTTTGTGCATATCGGATATAGCAGGTACGGGAGGCACGGTGGGCTCAGACTTGACCTTCAGACCGCGCTGCGCAAGGGCCTGCGCTTGGAGCTCCTTGAGGTCGGCACCCGCCGAGATACGACTACGGCTCATCCGCATGTCCGTGGGCCGCGTGCGCTTGCGAACGGGCACTTTACGTTCAAACTCCCGCTTCTTCTTCTCCACCGTCGGAGGTAGTATGGCCGCATACTTCGAGAGTAAGTCGATGAACAAAACTGAGCAGGTGTTAGCACGGCGATCAATCTCGGACATGACTCTGAGACACTTACGTGTGGGGTGGCGGTCTTGAATGGAGAACTTAGTCTCAGCTCTTGGTCTTAAGATCGCTGGCAAACAGCTTTTAGGCCAGATCACGAAATATTTGAACTAATGGCTTACCTCTTCCCAGACCGAGCGCGAGCTTGTTGATGTACACATCATTAGGTTCATCTCCCTCCGCGGTGCTGTCAATGAGGCTTTCATCGAAGGCGTATTAGCATGGAACGCTGTCAAATCCTAAAGCATACTCACTCTCTGAGATGCTTGAGCAGTGTGTCGAGTACGATCAAATGAATTCTGGGCAGCTTTTGCAGAGCGGCCTGCAATTCTTGGATGTGCTGCTCTTCAGACGGCTGCTCATCTGGATTCATGGCGCCTGCTGGTGATGTCGACAATAAGCACGGGATGAAGCCATGTGATTAATTGTGCCGTACCCGTGGGATATAGCTTCCTGAACTCGTCCCAGCTTTCGTACATGCAGAGCGGAGGATCTAACTCAAGTGCCCACAATTTGACAGCGCTGGCGATAACGGGTGCGTCGTACTTAGCGAGCGCGTCGTCCGGAATTGCCTGCGTGGCAGATACCGCGTTGAGGGTTTCCCGGAGGTGGTGGGAGGCGACAAGGGGTACCTCGTAGATCCACGTCTTCCTCTTCTCCACGTCACCGGGAAGTTTGCTGTACGCCTCGGTGAGTGCACCGAAGAGAGCGGTTAGGACGGGGGGAATCATATCCCTTTGCTCTGGGCTACTTGCCCAGCTGTTTGTGGACCAGAAGCCGGAATCAGCCCACTTGCGTAAGTCGATGCCAAAGACAACATCAGACTCGTCGTGCGTGACGGACTCGTACACATGCGCGTTAGGACGGAACGGTCCAGTGCGGTGCTGCTCAATTAGAGCCTTCAAGTCTGACTCAGGCTGATACGAAGCGATGAGTGTCGATGAGCGTTCGAGGGATGGGGTAGTGCCCTTCGAGAGGCTTTCGAGGCATGCTTGGTATTGGCCAAGGACTGTCGTAGAGAAATTAGACTTCCGTCAAGTAATAAGCGAACAACAACCCACCAGTTTTTACCGCCCTGAGACGATCGAGCTCCCACTTCTGCAATGTCTTCAACGTATCTTCAATTCGTTCCTCAAGACCGAGGCGCTGCCTGTCTAGTTTCCGTACAGCTATGCGGTATTCGTTGTCCGCAGACTCAGCCTCACGGCGCGCCCTGACGTAGGGGGCTTCTCCCGCTTGATTCTGGTTTAAGGCCTTCGTCACGAGGCTGGCGAAGCCCGCAGTCCTCTTCGCGACGTTCTCGGCAAGCGGACTCAGGTTATGTTGCAAAGGTGACAGGATCTTCTCATCCTTGGGCTTCGGGACCTCCAAATTGAATGCCTTCGGTCGGAACTGATAGAACGCATCGTCGGCGTTCTCGAATACATTACCGAGCTCGCCCAGCCTGCGGAGCAGTCCTTGTCTCTCCGCAAGCTCTTTCGCAGCTTCTTCCGTTCGGTCGAGGTCTCCGTCGAGCTGCTTGACATTCTCACGGAGCCACATGGTGAACTCTTCTCCAGAGAATGCGTCGTGGTACTCGCCGAGCAGGGGGAAGCGCACAGACCGAAGAGGAAGCTCCGCCTTGGCTCGCGTCATTAGAGCTGAAAGTTCTTGATGCGTAAAAGCGACGCCCGCGACAAGAATGGGTGGTGCCGGCGGAGGAGGTACCGGATCTGTTGCAAGCCTAGGAGGCGGCAGTGGCGTTTCCATGGGCGGCGGTGAGGCCAGCATAGGGGCCTCCGGGTCAACAGCACGACCCTTGCCTTTGTCCGCCCTCGGAGAATCGGGGCCTTTCTCTTCAGCGTCCGCGTCGAAGTGCACTTCGTGAGTCTGATCTGCGGGTGCTTCGGCGCGGGGGGTAGAGGTATTCAATTTGAAATCTTTCAGTCGCGCCGTGATACGCTCAGACATGGTTGGTTGGCGAACGGGTGTGCGGGGCACGCGTTTGTCACGAGGTACGAGGCTGGGTGAAGTGTATATATCGCCGACGGGCTGTGAGATAGGTGCGAACCGGACGCTGGGCGCATATAAGTATACATCTAGCTTTCTGTCTGATAACGTACTCGTCCTCTAATTCGTCGGCTTTGTGAGTCTTGTTGACATAGCTGTTCTTCAAGTTCGCAACCTGCTCATATTGAAGCTACGTCCCTGACAGGTGGAAGTAGTTACGTACGTCACTTTGGACATGCTCGTACGCGTGCACGAACCCGTCTAGGATGTTCGCGCGGCTTGATTGGAGTCTCTCCTGTAGCACGAAGATTAAGAACGGGGTTTTGCAATAGACGTATTTGAAGGACCTTGTAGCCTTTCGCCCACTCTGAGAATGGATCCGCAATCTTTGTCTGTAGGTCCTTGGCTGCCTCTGCATGCAACTTTCCCTGCGCTATCGATTCTTCCTTGAGACCATGAAAGGCGAGGTGAAGGGATGCTCCGTCCTCCTGAAGGAAAGCTAGCAGTCACCAGAGTGATGAGCTGGCATGATTTGAGCAGAATATAACTGTTGTGACGTACTGCCAGGGGTTGCGGAGGTTAGAGTGGCTGCGAGCGCACTTTCCGCAGCTGCTCTCGCCTTGACGAAGGGCGGGTAAGCATAGACATTGCAAAACCTGCTAAACCCGAGGGACGTACCCTGATAAATGCTGCAATCTCTTCATTTTCGACGACACCCTAAGAGACCCCCATGATGAGCTTCATTATGTCTACGCCGCGAATCACGGCACCACACCTTCTCCAGCTGATTAAACAGCACCTGCAGACCACTCCGATAATCCTGCGACCAGAACGAGTTTTGGAACGTCACTGGCAGCGTGATAACCGCCATTGTTGCCCCGCTACTGCACCGGAGTGAAACTAACGAGAAGTTGTGAGAGTCCGTGTAGGGGCACGCAGCACGCCGTATACGCGTGTGGAGGCGTCGTGCAGAGTCGTGTAGGTAGACAGCAGATAAAGACGGCGTAAAAGTTAGGAGACGTAGAGGTCGGGGTTGAACGTTGAGGTTGTAGGCTGTGCTGAACTTATTGCGAGTGAATGGCAGACGCCGGCTGGTGACCGGTGAAACATCATGCATGTATTGCAGTACCCAGCGTCGCTCGCTCAACATCCCACTCAGGTCAAGTTTCAGGTATGTGAGGAGTGCAGGAATCGAAAAACCAACCATTTTCTTAGGCATATATCCAAAAACCCGGCGACGCACGAAAGCAATTAGATGTGGTGTATATAGCCTAACGCGACTAATAATTCCCCAGAAGCTTAGTCGACGTCGTCCTCTAGCGAATCACGGGGTCTAGGTGTGCGCATACCCGTTCTATCTGCACTGCCGTACTTGATTTCAGTGTCGGTCATAGCTACCGGAATGTACGACACGGCTGAGCCCTCTGCGCTGAAGACATCGCCCCGCGCATCAGGGAAAGTTGATGTCGGGAGTTGCACCAGGTTTGGTGGCTGCCTCGTCAGGTAGAGCCGTAGAAGAGCATCTTCAGCAGCCTAGCAAAAGCCAGAAGGTTTGAACGGATGCAACACTTCGAGGTCAAAGCGGACTAACCCTATACTCTGCCATCTTCAATGAGCTTCCGAAGCCCTCTCCAAGTTGATCGGTACCGCTGTAGATACCGACCACAAACACTGGCGAGTTAGACAGCCGACCTGTCTCACGAAGCAGTCTGGACAAATGTCAGGGGCAGGTAAACTTCGAGCCTTTGACGTTCGTACCTCGAGATCGGCCGTTCGCGACCAAATTTTGCGACGGTTTCCTGTAATGCAACTTTCGGATCTCGAAATTTGATCATGTTCCTCAGGTCGACTTCGCGGCTCAAGAAGAACCTCTGCACGAAGCGTCTTGCAGAAAGCAGTCCATGATTTTGATACACCAAAGCTGTCAAAGCTCGAGGGACAGATGATATGGCATCAGCGTGTAAAACGGCTGGCCTTGTAGGCGTATTTGGCTATGTGAAAACGGCTATTAGCGTAGCTCTGGATAACACAGCTTCCATAAAAACGGGAGCACTCAAACAGCGTTTTCTATCCTGTGGAGGACGACGTTGACGAGCTCTATGTGCCGCACCGCTGAGAATATATGAAGAAATTTAACGAAGCCGGTGCAGGACTAGGCAAGTGGCTCGGCCGATGCGCACGAGGGGACAGCCTGAACAAGAGTAGCTGAGGTGCTCGTTCTAAAGCAATCTCAGCCAGGAGACGAAACTGCGCGTTACTATGAAGAGCGAGGCAGATATAGCATCTCCTGGGAGTATTAGCACCTTCCATATCGCTCTGAAGCCAACCTAGGAGGCTTTCGGGAGGACTTCGCCCGGCCAGCAATGTCGAGCAACAGTAGCTGACGAGAAAGCGTACAAACCCACCACATGACACAGCAGCAGGGTATTCCAGAGAATAGACACTCACTATCCGTTTCCAACGAAGAATTTGGCCAGCACCCATCTCCTTTGCAATGTTTGCACAGGTGGTCGGTCCAACATACGCGCTGACCGCGGCCTTCATGACACGGGTTGGCAGGTGCGGGAACGTCGAATTTACGTGTTCCGTGGCAAAGAGACCCAAGAGCGAGTTGCCTAGCGAGGCGAGGTTGGCGTTGGTTGCGGGTGCGGGTTCAGTTGGATGGTGCCTTGCATACAGTGAAAGGAAAGATGGGTGGGTGCCGGCCTGCTGAACAGCCTCCACGGGGTTGGCGAGGACCCTTCCCAAGCCTATTCGATGGGCGAATGCAGACAGCGTAGCCGGGTTCGGAGGCTGGAGTGAGGCCCATGTCTCTGCATCGAAGAAGTTGGGCGTGTGCTCGGTTTTGGCCTTAGAGGACGAAGGCTTCAGGACTACAGCCTCCTTAGGCGGAAATGCTTTTAGATGAGAGGCAGATACGGTCGCGAGCCTCGCCGCCGTGGACGCGAGTCGCCTTTGAACATGAGACATGGGCTGTCGTCGTCCACCTTGTTGTCCGCCAGCGCGTTCTGAAAGCCCAAGGTTCCCATTTTCTTGGCGCCTCGCTAGCGTCCGCTTCGGCAAAACCCGCACCCGTCTCGCGTCCGACGCTTTCACGCGACGGACGAGCACTCGTGCGACTCACTTTTGCAGGGCAAATTGTATAGCCTAGTGGTGGCTGTAGGTGTGATAATACAAGGCTCATGTATGTAATGTAATGCAATAATGCGATCAAGTAACGAAGGGTGAAGGTAAGCGTAGTAGTGTCCAAATGGCAGGCGAAAGGTCATGAGTTCATGAGTTCGTGATTTTTGAGCATGCAGAGCACGTATGTCAGACATCGGATTCAAAAAGTCTATTTGCGGGTTGCTCGCCGTATCACGCTGGCTGCGACGAGCGCGCCCAGTGCCGCCACTCCGCCCACAATTGCCATTCCAATGTAACCCTCTGCAGGAAGGATGAAGTGAGTCCTAAGACACCGACATTGGGTCAAGGCACCTACCGCGGGTGACCTTCTGGTCAATAAGAGTCTGAAGACTCTGCGCTTGAAGATTTGTGGGCTCCTTGTCCATTAGCAGTGCTGTAACTTTGTGAGGAGCAGTCGAATATGAGAACTGAAGAACTACATACAGTTGAATTTCTTGGCTTCCTCGTAATTGCCCATCTTGTAATGACCTAGTGCCAGGTAGTACAAACATTCACGTCTGCGAGTAGGTTCAGCGCGGTAGATTTCTGCATACGCGTCAGTGGTCTTGGAGCTCTCTTCGAGAACAGTGCAGCAAACATACCTTGCAGCAGGCGTACACCTTCTACTTGGTGATCTCGGAACGGACTCTTGACCAGGCCCCACGCATAGTTGAATTTCGTCTGGATAGTGACATGGGCCTGATCAAGTTCCCTCTGATACTGTCTCCGCAGGACCTACAAATGTGCACAGTGAGCTGCGCACTGCGTACGGGGTGAGTAGCAGTTCACTCAAACCTCGAGCTCGTCGTACGAAAGAGATATCTCGGCGTCGGCAGCATATGGCAGTTCTGTTGGCATCTTGTGGTGGCGGCGTACTAGAAAGAGCGTCACGGTTTTGGTCAATGAGTGTGGCGGAGCAGGCGTCTAGGACGTCCAAAGCTAGCACAGCTGGACCGGGCCAATAAATGTCATTATGTATAGAGCTGTCGCGCAAATAATGGCCTGGTGGTCTAGAGGTATGATTCCTTCTTAGGGATCCGTTCCACAACTGGACACGTGATTGGAGGAGGTCCCGGGTTCGATTCCCGGCTAGGCCCGCTGTTTTTCTTTTATTCGGGTGGTGAGGACCGTGAGGCGCAGTGCGCACTGGGCACCCTTCAACTCAATAAAGTCAGTTAGCATTGAGCAAGGCTGCTGATATATAACCCTGGGACCTTTTATTACTCGTATTACTTGTATCTTTAACCAGATGGCCTGAAAGTAAGTAACTGCCCTTATATGCCCCTGTTCCCAACCTTGCCCTTTATATACTTCCTATCAAAGTCGATCGACTATCATCGACTGATTACTTGGGAATCTTGTTAATCCATTCATGCGCGTCACTAATTAGATGACGAGGCATTTGGCTACCTTAAGAGAGCCATAGTTACTCCTGCCGTTCACCTGTGCTTGGTTGAATTTCTTCACTTTGACATTCAGAGCACTGGGCAGAAATCACATTAGATAAGGTCTGCCTAGGGAGACTACCCTTTATATACCCAGCGCTGATCAAACAAATTTCCTGTTACTTCTGCTTATCCCACCCACGCTCCAGTTTCACCGTGCTAGCCACCTGCGCCGAGCCGGCCGAGAACCAGAAGGTTGCTCATGGACGCGATAAGCAAACACATATGTAAATCTATATTTCTGGAGTCACGAGAATATTAATGCTACCTGAGTGAGCATACACCAGCCGCGAAGACACCAACCTCGACAGCCGCCACGAGAACAGCTTCCGGGAGAATATGTATCGCGTTGTAGATGATAAGAAACGGTGTGTATACTAAACGGCAATAGACGTTTATATGCAGTAGACAAGCAAAACGGTTGAAGCCTTATGATTCCTGAGCTGCTCCAGACTCGAAGCTAGCTTTTCCTCCAGTTCCAAGACATTCACTTTCGATAATATTGTACACTGCATTCAAAATATTCTCCGGCTCGACCAGTTCACTCTTCACTTGCGGCAACTCGTTCATTGTTGCTATTGTCCTCTCCCAGCACCACCGCGGCCTATTCCGCGACCAGCAAAACCAATGCGGAATGGTAGCACTCCTCGATGACCACGGATAGGCAAGATCGGTGGGCCTTGCCAACGGTCGTGTTGCGGCGGAGTAGTGTCATCCGGAAATGCGCCAGGTATTGCCTGCGAGCTGTCTTGTTCCTCGTCTTCATCATCAGACTACATACCCACATATGTCATCGACTGGTTCCACCACGAGACTACGCGGCCAGCTTACCTCAAGGTCGATGACCAGCGCACCCATATGCCAGCCCGCAGCGGCGGCAGCAAAAACGTAGGTTTCTTTGCCCTTGTTCTTCCGCTTGTGGTCAAAGCGTACCTCAGTCGGATCGCGTACGTCTGGTGGCGTTGCAAGCATGTGGCCCGGCGCATTTGTCATGGCCAGTCGCTGCTCTCTGGTGCTGAACCCTCCCGGTTGGCCGGGCTCGATATCGACGGGGTCGCCGAGTCCAAGTGCACCCTTGGAGAACGCACCCCACGTAAGGAGCTTGCCCGCCTCAGTAAGTGCGCCGTAGTGGTAGTCTCCAAGGATGACAGAGATGACGCCACGGTACTGGAGAGAAGGAATGATGGTCGGCTCAAGTCGCTGCTGCGAAATTGGCCCTTCCTCGTCCGTCGTTTGCATTCGACACATCAATACCACAGATTCGGGGCCCGTAGAGTAGGCTGTGAACGTCTTAAAGTGAGCGGATATCTGTGAGATGTTAGCCATTTCTCTTGTCAGATGTGAATGGAAGCTTACATGAGTGATGTGCATCGTGCTCGGGGGTTTCAACTGTCCTTCGGCAAAGACAGGATGCTGAGAGACCTTCTCCAGCTCGCTAAATGATGGCAACTAACCGTCTCATAAGAAAGGTGCTTCGGCTGAGTAAGAAGCAGCGTACATATTCCCAATGTCCACGTTGATAACTTTCTTCGCTTTCAAGGCGGTCGTATTTCAAAACGTGCCCCTTGTTAGTAAGACCAACCAAAAAGTTATCCATGCCGGCGATCTTTACCAGCCTAGTCTCGCCGTCAAGCACATCTGTGGGAAGTCCTGTGCCAGCCAAGCGGGGTAGACCTGCCGGTATTGCAGGAAGTCGGTAGGGTTCGATGTTCCCCATGTCCCAAACATGGCATGGGATGATACCTGGACGCTCAGGCGATGGTTTTGCCTGAGTGACATCACCGGCCTGGTTTAGCTCCTGGTCGATGCGATGGATCTCCTCGAGCATGCGACCACGGCTCGGCCAGTTTACCAAGACATCGCCCCCTTGGGTAAGAATGGAGGTGAAGCCCCATCCGCACTCGACCTGAACTGGAGTCGTGTCGCGAGATGATCTGTCCAGAAGCGCGGTCTGCAGCTTGAATGGACGCCCCCAAGACGTGAAAGTCCAGACTTGGGCATCAGTGTCCAGAGCGGCGCTGTGCAATCTCGCGCAGCTGAAGAGAGGGGGACATGTTAGCGATTTGCTGCAGCCTTTCTAAGCCTCTCACCTGATCTGGCGGATTGCGCAGGGAAGTTCCAAGCGCATGGGAGATTCTGCCACCTTCGAAGGGTCGGAGAACCCATCGGTGCGCAGCGCAAAGCTTGTTCCGTCCAACGCACCTGAATAGCAGTCAGTCCAACTCCTTGCACAGAAGACCCTCGCTCACCCCATACATAGACATGGCCTTGCGCGTCAATAGCATGGAAGGACCTGTCAGATATTAGAAGAATGGCGCTCCATAGACATACCGACTACGCACATTCCACCAGCAACGAGATTGACTATGCGTACCCAAGGAATACGTAATCTCATGGGAAATGGAATACCGTCGTATAGAGGGTTTGGAAGATCTCTGCCAGATATTCCCAATCTACCTCTCGAGTGCTCTCTGAAACGAAAGTCATACTACGCAACTGAGAACAAAGGCACACCCCACGCACCCCCACACATAGATCTTGGGATTGGAGAGACGCTTGTAGATAAACTTCCACCCTGTGGTCCTGGCGGTATCAGAGTCGGGAAAGTTGTAATCTTTCTGTATTTTTCGCTTCCAAAAGGTCTCGTCAGAAGTCAGCTGGTAGAAGAAACGGTTCGTTGCCTCAAGGCTGAGGAGGTCTGGGACGGGAAGCAAAGGGAAAAGATTGTCCAGAAAGATCTCTAAGGGTACGTCTGTAATGGTAGGCATTTCTGAAATGCTACCCTCTATCGCAGAGATGGCGGTATGGATGAAAGAACGAACAGAGACATGTCTGCGGATTGCTAGACCGCAGCCCGCAGTGGATCTGATGGCAAGTGTGTCATAGCTGGCAAATCGGACCGGAATTTGGCATCGATGCACTGATGCGCCCAGACCCGATCGAGAAAGCTCGCGCAGACACCTCGAGACGAGGGACAAGCTACGGCTGCAGGAGGTGAACGGAATTGCTTTGTCGCGAGAAATAAAAGGAACCAGGAGCAATTGGCCTACTGGCTGCGTATTCTTTGTTTCTGTGTGCTATTGTGCCTTCTCGTGCGGGCACGATGCTAGATCTGTATTGGCGCATTGCTCTCATATGGCATGTAATACTTCCTTCTATACTCAGAGCGGCACCAATGCTGTTTTTCCTTCGTTTTGTCTGGTCTTCCTCGCCCTCCCTCTGTTCTGGCCAGAGGTGTCGGCGCGTCGGCGCACACGTGGCATAGCGACACATTACGCGACTCGGAGCTTTGGCCTTGGGATCCGTCCGTTATAACACCCTTCACTCAGACCACAACCACCCCCTCCTCACTGTTCTCACGCCCGTCTCTCTTCATACAACTCCTAGAATGCCTCGACCAGTACAAATCCTCGACGACGCCCTTGGCGCTGTCGGTAACACCCCTCTCATTCGGCTGGACAAGATTGCGAAAGCGGAAGGTCTTCAATGCAATCTCCGTTAGTACTTCGTCGATGTGGTCTCGCAATCATAGATCTAACGCTTGCGTTGCAGTCGGAAAAGTCGAATACACCTCTGCAGGTGGCTCAGTGAAAGATAGAATAGCGAAGCTGATGGTTGAGCAAGCGGAGAAGGAGGGCAAGCTCATCCCCGGCCACAGCGTCGTAATTGAGCCGACTTCTGGCAATACCGGTGAGATTACTCTGCAGTCATCTACGAATCAGCCAGCTGAGGTTCTGTCATACGCAGGAATTGGTCTTGCTATGGCATGTGCAGTCAAGGTCAAACTAGCGGCTCTCGAGTGCAGAACATATGCTGAATACTACAGATAAGGGATACTCCGTAATCATTACGTTGCCTAACAAGATGTCACTTGTGCGTATGCGTCGTAATGCGTAGGTGTCCGCCTCCTCATCCATTCTACTCGCAGGAGAAAGAAGCCGCACTGCGGGCATTAGGGGCGGAGGTGGTCCGTACCCCCACCGAGGCAGCCTGGGACTCCCCGGAGTCACACATAGGTAGAGCCCAAGATAAATATGCCATAATCCTCGTGGCTGAATTCCTTAACGATCGCAGGAGTCGCCCAGAAATTGCAACGTCAGATTCCTGGTGGGATTATCCTCGACCAGTACCGCAACGTAGGTCTTCTCTCGCGTTCGGTGCAATATGTGCTCAAGATTATCAGATTAACAATCCTCTCGCCCATGAGTTGACCACTGGCCCTGAGATCATCGAGGCTGTTACCGCCACCCCTTCAACGCCGGCCAAGCCCTCCTCGAGAATGGTCGACGTTATCATCGTTGGTGCCGGCACTGGTGGGACTATCACAGGTATCTCCCGTGCCATCAAGAAGACCCATAACCCAAAGTGTATCATTGTCGGCATCGATCCGGTACGTTGTGGTTAATACCTCATGCCATCTCCGCTGAACTTGTATCAACACGTCTTCAGAAAGGTAGCATTCTCGCCTATCCTGACGCGCTGAACACCGACGATGCTGGCAAGCTCTATATCGTTGAAGGCATCGGCTACGACTTCATCCCGGACGTGCTCTCGCGCGACCCCAAGGACGTTGACCATTGGATCAAGACTGCTGATGAGGAATCATTCGAGGCGGTCCGGAAGCTCATGCGCCTGGAAGGTCTCCTTGTCGGCGGTAGCAGTGGCAGTGCTCTCAGTGGTGCTCTGGAGTGGCTGAAGAGTGAGCAAGGCCAGAAGATTGCTCAGACTAAGGGTGCAAACGTCGTAGTCTTACTGCCGGACGGGTAAGAGCCTCTATACCTTTCCAGGTGCCATCTCAACTAACGTCATCTGTTCTGTCCAGCATTAGGAATTATATGAGCAAGCCTTGGTTCCTCAAGATGGCTCTTGAAGCCGAGCCTTCATCTCTAGCCAAGCAGATCGCTCATATCTTGAAGGACAATAAGAGCGAGGTGGAGACCACCTCCGAGCCTCTTGCGCGGGGTATCGCTGCACGCACACAGCCTAATATTGCGAACAGGCCTGACGCTCCTGATGAGATCTCAAAGTAACTTCTCGACGAGCTGTTCGTTCGCCCACCCATAGACTACCTTAACCATTGTTATGTTCGTCCTATCAGCAGCTGTTGACTGTTGCGATTCATATCAAACGTTCGTTATACACGAAGTCTTGTACCGACGCACACCTTATCTTTTACGATGGAATTTGAGCGGCACGATATTCACGTCTAATCACAGTATTTGCTGAACGACAGAGTCTGAACGGCCAGAGGCTGCAAGCGCGCATAATGTGTGCTTGGTGAGTATCTCTTCCGAACTTCATGCTGCTGGACTTAACACACTAATAGTGAGCTAAGTGTAGAGTTTCAATGCCGTCATATTGTCCGACTACACGCTCTCGCTACCACGCACTACATACCACCTCTGTTCACGAGGTCTGTGTAACCTTTCGACCTTCTTCTGCAGTGCGCTGCGTGACCAGTAGCTGCCGCGTCAGTTTCGACGGGCAATGCACTCTGTTAGCGAGCGGGCCCGTTCAGGTGAGCACTTCAGTGCAGATTGAGAATCATTGAGCCCATCTGCTTGAAACAAGGCGAGGTTGTGCCGTTGCGTGGTCACGACTCTCTATGTCTCATCGCCTTGCTCAACAGTGCTTGGGCGGGGCAGACCGCGATTTAACCGTTCGACCATTCAGTTGCTGCCCTGATCAGAAGGTTTCCAACGTGCCGGATATCTTTTAACCTTGGTGGATCATGCCAAGAGCCTCCATGATGGACTTGGCATCAGCGACACTCGTCTGTTTCCTCCTTCTGGCCCGTGGGGCAAGCGGTTCTTGTACTTCGGAAGACACGGTCGGCATGTTCATGTCCTGACCTGCGCACGTTGTGCCGTCCATCCCTTCCAAGTTTACCCGTAGAACGGCAAATTCGTCCTATGCAATGTTGCTATCCTCCACGAGGCTAGCGCAGTCGTGAGCGTTCTGGAGAAAATCTCTATTAGAGGGTGCAAGACTACGCCAGGTGCCCTCGAAATCGTCGGAACGAGCATTTCGTGCAGCCGCTACATTTGTCCGTCTTGGTTCATGGGATCGCTTTCACGGCAACGACGAACGGCTGGGGGAAACCGTACTCGAATGGCTGACCGTCTTGAGCGATGTATAAAAACCCCTGCAGCAGGATTGTCTACAGCAGGGCGCACCGAGCATCCTCCACAGGATTCCAGGATTTACTGTAAGCCCCCCGTACCTCATACTCTGGGGCTGAAGCTGACGCGCAGCATCGCACAGGTCTCTAGTCGCTATGTTTCGCATCGCTGCGCTCGTTGCTTTCACCTTCCTCGCCGTTGTCTCCGGCCAGCAAGCTGGCACACAGACCGCTGAAACCCATCCCACTCTCACGTCGCAGCAATGCACGACGAGCGGAGGATGCAAATCGCTGAGCACCAAGGTCGCGCTCGATGCGAACTGGCGTTGGGTTCACACCACCACCGGCTACACCAACTGTTACACCGGTAACGCGTGGGACACTTCGATCTGTCCCGACGGCGTGACGTGCGCGCAGAACTGCGCCCTCGACGGTGCGGACTACACCGGCACGTATGGCATCACATCCTCCGGCACCGCACTCACGCTCAAGTTCGTCACGGGCTCCAACGTCGGCTCTCGAGTATACCTCATGTCGGACGACTCGCACTATCAGATGCTCAAGCTCCTGAACCAGGAGTTCACGTTCGATGTCGACATGTCGAACCTCCCTTGCGGCCTCAACGGCGCGCTCTATCTCTCCGCTATGGACTCAGACGGTGGTATGTCCAAGTACCCCAACAACAAGGCCGGTGCCAAGTACGGCACAGGCTACTGCGACTCGCAATGCCCAAAGGACATCAAATTCATCAATGGAGAGGTAAGCATTGCACTTCATTGTTCAGCCAGTCCACGATCCTCACCCCTCCCCGCACAGGCCAACGTTGAAGATTGGAATGCGACTGGTACCAATACCGGTACTGGTAGCTACGGTACCTGCTGCACCGAGATGGATATTTGGGAGGCCAACAACGACGCCGCCGCTTACACCCCTCATCCTTGCACTACCACCGGTCAGACCCGATGCTCTGGAGATGACTGCGATCGGAACACCGGTCTTTGCGACGGTGACGGCTGCGACTTTAACTCCTTCCGCATGGGCGACAAGACCTTCCTCGGCGCGGGGCTGACCGTCGACACCTCCAAGCCCTTCACCGTCGTCACCCAGTTCCTCACCAGCGACAACACTTCCACTGGCACGCTTTCCGAGATCCGTCGTATCTACGTCCAGAACGGCAAGGTCATCCAGAACTCGGCTGCTAACATCCCCGGCGTCGATTCAGTGAACAGCATCACCGACAACTTCTGCACACAGCAGAAGACCGCATTTGGGGACACCGACTTCTTCTCGCAGCACGGCGGCCTGAAGCAGGTGGGCTCGGCGTTGGCGAACGGCATGGTCCTGGCGCTCTCGATCTGGGACGACTACGCCGCGAGCATGCTCTGGCTCGACTCGGACTACCCTACCAACAAGGACGCGTCCGCGCCCGGTGTCGCGCGCGGCACCTGCGCGACCACCTCGGGTGTCCCGGCCCAGGTCGAGGCCCAGGTGCCCAACTCCCAGGTCGTCTTCTCCAACATCAAGTTCGGCGACATCGGCTCCACCTTCAGCGGCTCTTCCTCTCCCTCTGGACCCAGCGGCTCCTCGTCGCCCCCCACGACCTCGCCCACTCAGCCCGCTGGCGGCACCGTCCCTCAGTGGGGCCAATGCGGTGGCATTGGCTACAGCGGCTCTACGGCTTGCGCTAGTCCATACACCTGCCACGTTTCCAACCCTTGTGAGCACCTTTTTCGACGATGCCCTTGCACCACGACTGATCTGACCTCCTGCAGACTACTCCCAGTGCTACTGAAAGATGAAATCTGCTTGGTAAATTCATCATCTCGTCGTCTCAAATCGGTAGCCTTTAGTCTGCTTGTTCGGTGTAATCACAAGCGAATGGTCTGTCCAGGCCAGCGAGCTGAATTGTATATTCCGTGACCCAAAGAACTGAATGCCCCGAACATGCTCAAATTACACGTAAAGCACCTGCACACGTCAGAGCGATAGAGGTAATCTCTCGCTGAAGTGCTATCAAATCCTTCCTTTGGTAAGAGACTTCAAAAGCTCAGCATTGATGGGCCAGGGAGGACCGATCCAGGAGGCACGCTCCGTGTGGTCTTTGTAGGCGTTGTCTGTGTTGGGATGCACGAGAACACTGGTGATGTCGGTCAGATATTATATGCAATAAGTCATAGATGCCGCTCACGAGCACGGGCCACGGTTGACGACCAGGAAGCCGAACAAGGCGCCGGTCTGGTGAGGTGTGAACGTATTGATCTCGAACATGGCCGTCGGGTGGGGGCCGACGGGTTTGTCCCAGAATCTATAGATGCGCAGCTAAAGGAAGTGCAATATGTGAGCGGCGCATACACTCAGCAGGTTCGTAAGCTATAGTACCTCTGGGAACTCGCGCCTTATGCGCTCATGCAATTCCCTGGCGTACTTTGTATGTGCAGGGTCGGCTTGCATGTAGTAAACTACCCTCGATGGTGAGCGGCGGGTGATAGATAACATGAGCGGTGATGCTCACCATGGAAATCGAAGGCATTATTCGACATATTTATGGGTTCGGGGAACTTCTCATACGCAGAGGACAGCGGACCGGGAGGGTTGTGGAGAGACTTGCCATCCTGGTTGGTTGTGGTAGGCAGCGGCTCTGCGTTCTCGTAGCCCTTCAGGGGAGATTCCCAAGTCATGTCGGATGTAGTCTAGAGGTGGGGCACGAGTAGACCTTGAGGGTCATGACTCGGTGTGTTGGCGTAGTTATAGTTTGTACTGCGCTCAATGTCGTGTTCGAGATGACCACGGGAATCGTGAATGACTAATGATTGCAATGCTGGATCGGACCACAGATCAGATTTTGGATTGAGCGCAAGCTGCAAGTTCACACCATCATCACCGGACACCACGAGGAGAGCCCAGGTGCTCTCACCAGACGTCCGATTAGTCCTCATCTGACAAACGCGGCGCCGCGATGTCTAGCAGAGATGCAGACCGCATAAGTTCTGCACAGCAAACATTGGACAGTAAGCGGCAAAGCCCGCCAGATTTGAGCGGTTTAGTGACTAACTACGGCTAGTCCTATACGAGATGTCGCAGCTCCTCAACACGCAGCTTGACAAAGAGACTCTCGCAACGTGTGTTAGTATGATTGAAAGCGGGGTGAATCCAGAGGCACTGGCGGTGCGCTCTCGGCTTGTTACGGCGATTTGGTGCTCATTCGACACGTTTTAGGCCGTCATTCAAGAGCTCAGGAGAGAAAGCGTCCATGTCAATGCAAATGGGCAGTAGACAGCTTCGGTAGTCTTGAAAAAAAAATAGCTGAAAGATTATTCCACCAATACGAGCCGCGTCGTAGTGTTGTGGCACAGGTTAAAGCGGAGTTTATACTTTCCGCGCCGCCCAGCCAGAGCTTGATCAGCGGAGCATTCTGAGATCGAAATAAGGCGCTTCTTACTCAGCGCTCCGCACTGGCCTTCCACACCGTTCTGTCACTAACCCATACTACCCCTCGCATTGACCATGTCCTCAGACGAACCCCGCTTAGTCGACTCATTCACGGCACCGAAAGAAGTGCTTCAGGAGTTTGCAGAACTCGCAGAAGAGGAAGACTTCGACCCGTTTGCCGAGACCGCGTCAAAGCGACAGATCGCCGCTCGCCAGTCCGACTACCACAACCGCAGGTTCAGCCGCGTAGCGAACGAGAGCGCAGATGCATTCAAAGCTGCAGACGAGGGACAGGATGTTGAGGGCGGCTACAAGGATGCTATGAGGTTGCAGATGTTGGAACGGGAGGAACAAAGAGTCAGACGAGCAATTGAGGAGAAAGAGAGACAAGCGAGGGAAGAGGGGAAGGAGAAGATGGACCTGGACAGGACACCACCGCGCGAGGAACTCATGGAAGCTGCCCAGGAGCTCGCTCAGTCTTCCGGCGCCAAGCGCAAGCGTCGATGGGACGTGAGCGAACCGTCCGACGAGAATGCCGACGTCAAGATGGAAGACAAGGGTGAGTGGTCCAAGGAGGCGTTGGAGCAGGCTACCCCCAAAAAGCGTCGCTCTCGCTGGGACGCTACCCCCGCAGATGTTACCAACGTTGGCGAGACACCGAAACGTTCCCGCTGGGACCAAGCACCTGCCGCACAGCCTGAGCCGGCCATGACTCCCATTATCATGAACGCCCCCGGTGTCATGCACGACGACAAGCACAACAGGTACCTTACCGATGAGGAGCTTGATGCCATCCTTCCTTCGCAGGGCTACCAGATCGTCACTCCACCACCGGGCTACGCTCCTGTCGTTCGACCCCCGAAGTTTGCGAATCCAGTCACTGAGGTCGGTGGATTCCACATACAAGAGGGCTCCGACGCAGCCGCAGCCGCAGCCGCCGCAGGCCTCGCTCCTGAGCTTCCCACTGAGATCCCTGGCGTTGGCAGCCTTGCATTCTTCAAAGCCGAAGATGCGCAATACTTCGCCAAGATTCTCAAGGAGGAGGACGAGACGGAGCTTTCGGTGGAGGAGATGAAGGAGCGCAAGATCATGCGTCTCCTGCTCAAAATCAAGAACGGTACGCCTCCCGTTCGGAAAACCGCTCTGAGACAGATTACCGACAAAGCCCGTGAATTCGGTGCTGGTCCTTTGTTCGACAAGATTCTGCCTCTGCTCATGGAGCGTACGCTGGAAGACCAAGAGCGCCACTTGCTCGTCAAGGTCATCGACCGTGTCCTCTACAAGCTCGATGACCTCGTCCGCCCTTACGTGCACAAGATCCTCGTCGTCATAGAACCCTTGCTCATCGACGAAGACTACTATGCTCGGGTTGAGGGTCGTGAGATTATCTCGAATTTGTCGAAGGCTGCCGGCCTTGCCCACATGATCTCTACCATGCGACCGGATATCGACCACGCCGACGAGTACGTCCGTAACACCACCGCCCGTGCCTTCTCTGTCGTGGCATCCGCTCTTGGTATCCCCTCGTTACTGCCGTTCTTGAAAGCAGTTTGCCGCAGCAAGAAGTCGTGGCAGGCTCGTCACACCGGCATCCGTATCGTCCAGCAGATCGCTATCATGATGGGCTGTGCCGTCCTTCCCCACCTCCGCAATCTTGTTGACTGTATTGCCCATGGCTTACAGGACGAGCAGCAGAAGGTCCGCACGATGACCGCTCTTGCGCTTGCGGCCCTCGCCGAGGCCGCTGCTCCGTACGGCATCGAATCGTTCGACAACGTCCTCAAGCCACTTTGGGTCGGTATTCGTCTCCATCGCGGCAAGAGTTTGGCGGCGTTCCTTAAAGCCATCGGTTTTATTCTTCCGCTCATGGATCCCGAGTACGTATCGTACTACATCAAGGAAGTCACCATCATTCTCATTCGAGAGTTCCAAACCTCGGACGAAGAGATGAAGAAGATCGTTCTGAAGGTCGTTCAGCAGTGTGCTGCGACTGAAGGTGTCACTCCGCAGTATATCAAGCAGGACATTCTTCCCGACTTCTTCAAAGCGTTCTGGGTCCGGCGTATGGCCCTCGACCGTAGGAACTATCGTCAGGTCGTTGAGACCACCGTCGAGCTTGCGCAGAAGTCCGGTGTCGCCGAGATCGTTGGACGCATTGTCAACGACCTCAAGGACGAAGCGGAGCCGTATCGGAAGATGGTCATGGAAACTATCACCAAGGTTGTTGCGTCTCTCGGCGCGTCCGACGTCGACGAGCGACTCGAGGTCCGCTTAGTCGACGGTATCATTTACGCCTTCCAGGAGCAGACAACCGAGGATCAGGTCATGCTCGACGGCTTCGGAACTGTTGTAAACGCTCTTGGCATCCGCGTGAAGCCGTACCTCACCCAGATTGTCTCGACTATCCTTTGGCGATTGAACAACAAGAGCGCTAAAGTCCGTCAGCAGGCAGCCGACCTCACTACTCGCCTCGCTGTCGTTATTAAGCAGTGCGGTGAGGACCAGCTGCTAAACAAGCTCGGCCTTGTTCTATTCGAACAGCTCGGTGAGGAGTACCCTGATACTCTCGGCAGTATTATCGCCGCCGAGGGAGCGATCGCCAACGTCGTCGGTATGACGCAGATGAACCCTCCAATCAAGGATCTCTGTGAGTGTCCTCGTCCTTATATGCGCATCTGAGTGCTAATTATTATTATTTTCCTTCCCTAATCTAGTGCCCCGCCTGACGCCTATTCTCCGTAACCGTCACGAGAAAGTCCAGGAAGCAACAATCAACTTGATTGGTCGTATCGCCGATCGTGGTGCTGAGTATGTACCCGCTCGCGAATGGATGCGTATCTGTTTCGAGCTGCTCGATTTGCTCAAGGCGCACAAGAAAGGTATTCGCCGTGCGGCTGTTAACTCTTTCGGTTACATTGCCAAGAGCTTGGGTCCTCAGGATGTGCTGCAGGTTCTACTCACCAACCTGCGCGTGCAAGAGCGTCAAAGTCGTGTCTGCAGCACTGTCGCCATTGCCATCGTCGCCGAGACTTGCGGTCCCTTCACCTGTCTCCCCGCCATCCTGAACGAGTACCGCACAGCTGAGCTCAACGTTCGCACGGGATGTTTGAAGGCGCTTACATTCGTCTTCGAATACGTGGGCCCGCAGTCCGCCTACTACGTCGACTCGGTCGTCACCATGCTCGAGGATGCGCTTACGGACCGCGACCTCGTCCACCGGCAGACCGCTAGTGTTATCGTCAAGCACCTTGCTCTTGGCGTTGCTGGCCTCGGCTGCGAGGACTCGATGATGCATCTCATGAACCTCGTGTGGCCAAATTGTTTCGAGACTTCACCGCATGTTATCGGTGCGGTCATGGAGGCGGTCGAAGCGATGCGCGTCACGCTTGGACCAGGGGTGCTGCTGAGCTACACGCTACAGGGTCTCTTCCATCCCGCGCGGAAAGTCCGAGAGGTGCGCGCTCAACACGTCTGTAGTTATGGAGCATGTTCACTAACTGGTTTCTGTTTTCAGGTCTATTGGCGTGTTTACAACTCATTGTACCTCGGCGCGGCAGATGCCCTCGTACCGTTTTATCCCGACCTCGGCGAGCTGAGCGAGGGTCAGAACGTTTATGACCGCCACCCACTGCAGATGTTCATCTGAGCGTAGCTTCTGTTGTATCTCCGCAGCTTTATCCATTTCCTGTCTCTCAGGTAGCGTATGTATAGTAGCCAATGCTTTTCTCGCATCCAAATGCATGGGTATCGTACAAACTGGACCATCTACTACATGAAGGTTCGCGAGAATGCGAGAGCCAGAATGATTCAGCAGGGCGGCCTGCAAGAGATAGGTTTGTTAGCTCAGAGTTCTCAGAGCAAGTGAGACAGGTGGCAAGTCAGGATCCTCGAAGCGTATAATAGAGGATCAGGGAATTTGTCGTCTGAGCAATCCGACTGGTGCACAGCAAGAAATTCATCATTATAAGCGCAAGAAGATCGTCGTGCTCACCATGACCGTACACCTTTCGCCGTGTTCGACGCGTCGTCGCTGTACGAAGTAGATGAGCCGTGGGAGAGAGAGCAACGACGCACCACCCTAGCGCGCGTCGAGGAAAATATGCCCATCAAAATGTTCCCACGATCCTGCTTCCTGCACTGGGTGCTGCATTTGGAGATACGGTAATCTTGTGCTTCGCCCACCGCAAAGGTTCTGAGAATCCCTCTCTTTTTCGTCGCGTGCGGTGGCCGCCATGCCTCGTCGAACGACGAGGTCGAAAACCGGAGATGATGCTGGAGCTGCGCGAGCCGAGCTGCCAGTCCGCTCTCTAGCAGGGCGAAAGCGCAAAAGGCTTGAAGACCTGCCGAATATGCCTTTGGATATTGTAGTTGAAGTAAATAACAGTCTGGCCTCTCATCTTACTCTTCGCACTCATTTCTCCGCGAAGATACTGTTGTACCTCGAGCCACTCGACCTGCTGCATCTGGCACGCACAAGCAAAGCTTTTCGCGCGGTGCTCATGAACCGCAGCAACGCGTTTTTGTGGAGGACTGCCCGCCAAAACGTCGAGGACTTGCCCGAGTGTCCCTCAGGTTCATGCGAGCCAGCCTACGCCAATTTTCTTTTCTGCACATACTGCCATGTGAGCGGCTTGTTTGCGCTTCAGGCATTATATAGGGTGCTGACTGCTACCAATTGACAAGGAATGCAGCAAGCCCAACAGCCAGCATATATACTGGGACCTTATGGCTCGCTACTGTCGACAATGTGAAACAAGATTGTATGTGGTACCGTCCTGCAAGTGAACTCAAGGCTGACCGACGTGCAGGCACAAGTGGGCTGACAAGGTATGCCTCGATAGCGTGATACATAGGGCGCACCATGTTTGGAGAATATTTTCCTCGATGAAACTCGAAAGAGACATTCAGGACGTGGATCCTTGCGATCTCTTGCGGATGTGGTCGAAGAGACCTGTCAACCGTGAGTTACCGACACCATTCGCCTTTAACCTACACCCACATGTACACAGGACACGACTCCTACTATATGATACGTAATCACTATGGTTACATTTTGGAATCGGACTATCGGCGTATGCAAGGCATCTTGTCCGCCATGACCTTGCAGGAGAGGACGGGATATATTGCCATGCAAGTTCACTATTTGGCGAAATGGAGAGAAGTAAGTATTGTCAAGCCCTATACTGTTGCAACCCATACCGATCTTCATTTCGCTCTCGCAGCTAGTCCCCACTCTTGTCCGCTGGTTTCGGTCCAAGCAGAACGCGAGGAAGGCGGAGCTTGATGTCGCCCGTAAAGCTCGGCAGCAGCAGTGCGTTTCTGGCATGGCCATTGTTTTCGCACTCACAGCTTACCATGCTCTCATGCTCAGGATTTGCCAGCGGTTAGCAGTCCTCGGATGGCAGGATGAACTGGAAGCGATGTCACAGGATGTCCGGACAAAGCTGTTTAGTCTACCTGTCGCACAACAACCCAAAGAGCTTACTGATCGAGGTAAGCTTGCACCATCCATTCACTCCCCCGCTCGAGCTGACTATCATAGTGTGGGAGAAAATTGCGCCTCCTTTATTGGAATTCATGGAGCAAGTGAAACAGGAACGCCTCCGACAGGAACATCTAGGCGCACTAAAGGAAAGGTTTACGATCTTCGATCGCGTGCTGCCGGCACGTTACTCGTACCGGCCAGGCGAGCCATCTGAGCTTGATATTGCACTGGGCATCTCGCAGCTACGAGAAGTGATTGATAGCCCATCAGAAGCGACAGTCGACGAGGGTAGCTTCGACTTTCTACAGGAGGCTTTGCCACCGTTCGTGGAGAATTGGAAGAATGAGCGAGATTCACGTCTTGCCGCGCTGGTAACCCAAGACCTTGAAGACATCGATCCCTCCGCCGATCCTCTAACCCTAGCGGTAGCTTGTCGCTTCACCTGCAAGGCGTGCGGCAGTGCATCGGCTCATCCTCAAACACACCGGTGCAGGTGCGTTAGTCCGACTACGGAGCAGGACGACGTGTATTGCAACGCCGCTGTCAAGAGCTTGGCCAAACAATACTGGACGCCGAGTACTTTCGAAACCAATGTCTCAAGGCTGTCGTCAATTATTCGTATATGCGGCTACGACCCAGCACGGACGACTTTAGAAGACCTAGAAGGTTCGGCGGTTCGCTTGGCTTGCAAGTCTTGTGATCCGGAGGCAGGTGCTCTGGTGATGACCTGGTTTGCAGCGGTTAGTCCAGTATTTAAAAATTTCCACGCCTTCCAGCTCGCTCACGCCCTCGCGATGATTTGTTCAGTTCCGTCATCTTCTTTCGGAACATGATGAAGAATTTCATGCCGCGGCGAAGAGTCTGTACGTCGTTTCCGAACGACATGCGGATGTGGCCAGAGAACTGGAGCGAGCCTACGTCAAGCATAGCCACACCCGCTGGGCGACCTCTCCTCCTTGGTGGCAATGCGGAAGCTGCTCACAGAAGACTAGTACAACCAGAACAGACCGCACAGCTATAGTGAGACATCTACGCAAGAAGTGCGATGTCTTTTTTCCCACTTTTTTCTTGCTACTGATATCCGTCCCATATTAGACACAACGTCGAGCGCCCGAAGGAAAATCGCGACTTCTGGCATGAGGACGAACGTGTCCGCACGCGAAACCCCCGCGAAGCTCAAGTCTATTTGTTGCAGGGCAGTAGCATGACGTCCATCCTAGACTTGCCCCATGAACAGCAGACCGCTGTGCAGAATGGGTATGGCCAGTTCTGCGATTTTCTTTGACGTCGATATTGGCTCGTACTACACCGCCCTCCTGCTTCCGTTGTATCCAATTCAACAACACAAAATTTTCGTGATCCCATTCGGTTGAGCATCTCAGAGCGGAGCGCGGTCCACGGCTAGTACTGGGCAACGGCAGGTGAAACTCAATGTCTGTGGCCGCTTGCACTGGCTGGGTAAGAATCCTGTATAGCGTCGACCACAGAGAGCGCCAGTTATACTTCGGTATATTCGAATGTGGCTGCGTCATTGTGTCGAGATGGTTGCGGCCCTCGCAGGGTGCTAATCAGGTTCAAGTTCCGCCTGCCTATCTGCAGGGCATAAGGGGCCAAACGAGGGGTACGGATATGTGAGTATTTGCACCTAGCACAAACGGATTTGGTTTGCGTGCTCGTGTCGACGCATCACAGCTGCTCATGAGAGGCACGTAAATTCCATGCCTCAGAGCTTGAGTAACCCAGCTACCCAGAGATGTCACGCGACTCGGACCACTGGCGCAAGCCACTAAAATGTCGCAAGAGCTGAATATATGAACTTAAGATGTATATGAGACATCTCATCGCTACAACGTGTTTGCCGCCAGTGTTCAAACGTTCAAGCTTCGAGTTATATGCCGTGATCGTGGCCGTTCGTAGCCTGGTATGTCAAACAAAACATACCGTTCCCGGCAGTTTGATATACTACACTGTATGTATCCTGCATGGAATCAGCATGCAACCCACTGTCTCTGCATTTCCAGGTCGCTGGCCATCTGGCTCAGTGGTTGCTTCTCACGGTCATATTCGTACGCGCCACGCTCCCATTTCAGAATGGTGACAGTCGCCCGCAACTCCGTCTCCTACCGCCGTCTCAATGCACCGAGAAGTCAAGCAACTCAAGGTCACCCACTATGGCCCTGGAAAGTTGGGACTTGCGAGGACTGCAGCACCGCCGTCCGGACAGGCGAAGCTTAACAAAGCGATTACGCGGCGACGACGCGGTAAACTACAAGACTTGCTCAATATGCCGCTCGACGTGGTCTTCGAGGGAAGTAGACGGTTCAACATACGATGCGGCATCCTTTGACGCATCTTCAATAGATATTCTCTTTCCTCGAGCCTCTTGACCTTTTGCACTTAGCGCGAACCAACAAGGAACTTCGCTTAATGCTTATGAGTCGTCAAAACGCCGCGTACTGGAAAGCGGCTTGGCGCAACATTGAAGGGCTACCAGAGTGTCCAGAGGGTGTGAGCCGCCCCGCCTTGGCCAATCTCCTTTTCTGCTCAATTTGTCACGTATGCGGCATGTTCATAATACTCATGACAATCGCTAACGCACAGATGGAATAGGAGTGTCTTAAGGTCAACAGCAAGTGGATTTACTGGGATCGTCTCGCACGATATTGCAAGCGCTGTAAACAGAAGTTGTAGGTCCAATTTACGGCTAGCTCCTTTGCATTTCGCGTGCTGCACTGACGGTCTTAAATGCTCTTAGATACTCAAATCGAAGCTATTACTATGGGATAGAGAACAAGACTGTAGAGGAAGTTCTTACGAGCTCTTTGGAGGTCTCCTCTGCACTCTGTGGAGTGAAGTTCTATAAAGTGTGCAAGATGTGGACAGAGTTGAGCTTCGGACCAGAGGGTGCCGCTACCATAATCGCTTTCTTAAGCTCCCATGACTTACCTTCCTTGTCATAGGCAACGGTGTGTGTCCGCTTGATGCATGTTTCCTGGAGGCAGATGTCGCAGATGTTAAGGCCAGAGTGGCCGGCATGAGCGTCGAGGCCCGGTCTTCATATCTAGCCGAGCAGATGACGTTTCTCCGACGATGGAGAAAGGTATGTTGGCCACATACTGAATTCAAGCTTTAAAAGGGGCTGAACTGTGTTGCAGCATGTCTTCCTATTCCAAGGCTGGTACGAAGCTAGGAAGGAAACAAGAGGCGAAGAGTTGAGCTCCCTCAGAGATTCTCGCTATAACAGGTAGTATTTGCTCTTCCACGCCCCTGTCATCTCAGCTGATATACTGTTCATTCCTCAGCATCGTAGGAAAGCTAGAAGAAATGGGATGGAGCGAAGAATTTTCCGGAATGTCGTATAGCGACAATCGCCAATTCGCCCGCTTGTCCGCCGTGCGGCAGTCTAGAACTCTCACAGAACGTGGTAAGCGTCAGATACATTTATACATATTGGCTGTATGTAGATGACGGTATTCGTTTCAGCATGGAGGAACGCTGCGCCTTCTATCATGGCGTTCATGGAGAAGGTCAAGGCAGAACGTCTTCATCGGGAACGCATAGACAAGATCGAGAAGCGGCTGCGAGTGTTCGACCGGACATTGCCCAAGATATACAACTATCGCCCCGGAGAGCCAGCAGAACTCGACATTGCGCTAGGTATCCCAGCATTGCGCGAAGTGATCGACGGACCAGCTGGCGAGCAGGTCGACGAGAACAGCTTTGACTTCCTTATCGAACAAAAGACGTTAGAAGCATTCACTAGGCGCTGGAAGAAAGAACGCGACATATATTTAGCAGGCCTCATTGCCAAGAAGATCCCCGACTTGAACCCTGATGTCGACCCGCTTTCACTTGCAGTGGCCTCGAGCTTTAGCTGTAATAGGTGCCGGGTGAAGGCGTGTTGTCCTCAGGTGCACTATTGCAAATACTCTCTTCCTCACAAACCTGAAGTGGAGGAAGGTGACGCTTACGGCGAAGCTGCGATCAAGGTCTTGAGCAAACAATATTGGGAACCATCGGCTTTCGTGCCAAATGTGGATGTGCTCTCATCCGTCATCGTGCGATGCGGATTAGATCCTGAGCGAGCAAGCGCTGCCAACCTGAACAATTCACGGGTCCGTTTTGCTTGCAGAACATGTAACCACAATGGAGTGGCTGTCACGGTAATGACTTGGTATGCAGCGGTATGTCCGTTCATGTTTCTCTGCCATTGAGAGATGGGCACTCGTATTGAGCTCTACCCTTCCCCAAGTGCTTCCATCGCGGAACAGGTGGTTCTTGCAAAGTTACAGACCTCTATGTAGTGGACGATGAGATAACGAAAGCGGTGAGCGAGGCGGAACAATCATACATCGGCAGAGCGCGTGGCTCCAGCTCAGAAGACGTCCAAATGTGCTCGCATTGTTCGCAGCTAACCTCGTGGCGCGAGACAAAGGAGAAGACCATCGAGCATGTACAGTTAGTGTAAGACATTTCACTCCACTCGAAACGTTAGCTTACGGGGGCTTTAGGCACCAGATTGAACAGCCTTTAGAAGGCAGAGATTTCTGGCCTATCAACGAAATCGCGCGGATACCGGAGCATCACAGCGCTGTGATCGACTTATTACCAGAAGAGCTCAAGGGTTCTCTGACCTATAGAGAGAGCAATGCACTTCAGAAGGGCAATACTGTGTTCTTCAAGTTTGAGTCCTCAGCGGACCGAGCTTTGCCATACGGTCTTCTACGGGACTGGTAGATGCTACAACAACAGTTACACTTACCCCTAAATCATAAACCGGCTACAACCATGATGTGTATAGTCGCATTTCCCGGCGTCCAAGCGGATGGTGCCCCTAGGTCTGTCTCTTTATTCCCCTTTACTGTATGAATATTCGGAAATGATATATAGTCCGTATCGACGGATGTACAAAGTGACCTGCAATGTACAGATGTGTCAACGACACGGAAGAGAGAGCAGTATGCAATTCGTCTATGTACATCTTCGTCATGAGGCATTGCCCGTGAGGCCTGGCGGGAAGCCGGAAAAGTCGACCTGCTCCTGGATCTGGCGTCCGCCCAGATTGTAGGATATCCTCAGCCGCAGGCGTACGTTGGCCTGAAAGAAAGACGAAAGTCGTAAGTCCGACATTCTCAAGATGTGGGTAAGGGAACTCACACCGGCAGGAGCGATGACTCGCATTTGCTGCGTCTCGACCGCACCCGGGTGCACGTCCGGACTCGACATTGGCAGCATCTGAAGCTGTTGAGACTGCAAGACAACCACTATCAGCTCATACACCACCACAACGTTACTGATATGTCTTACTTTCGGCACTGCCGCCTGAAAGCTCAGCCCAGTCGCGGGGTTATTGCTTGTTACCTGGAAGCGCGCAAGAACATGTACAATACCGGGGCGTTGGGCCGAAGTCTGTGGCGTCAACGATATTTTCAGCTCGTTCTTGTCGTAAGCTGGATATGACGTTAGCCGCGGCGCCGTAGACTGTGCCTGTGGTGGCGGCGTCTGCGTCTGCGGCAGACTGAATGTGGATGGTGCAGCAGCAATGGCTGGCGCCGCAAATGGCGCTGCAGGGGCAGGCGAGTCAAAGAGGCCAAGAATGTCATTGACTGTACTCTTCGGGGCAAGAGCAGCAGGCGCAGGCGCTGCGGACGGCGCGGACTCTGTTGACGAGCTGCCGAAGATCTCGGCAAGGAGGTCGTGATTGCTTTGTACGGGAGCAGCAGCAGCGCCATTGGGAGCCGGTGTAGCGGGAATATCGTCCCCCAGGAGATTGTCCTGTGCGTTATGAGTGCTATATTATGTGTATGGTACGGATTATCTCACCTCCCTGCTGGGCTGCAACGAACCAACCGGCTTGTTCTCGCTGACAACGCCGATCACGGTCTGTTTCAGTTCTGGCGCGGGCATACGCTCCAGCACGCCGGCACGAATTTCACCCAGGTTGTACAAGTTAGCAAATTCAACTGCTCGCTGCTGAATCTCAAGCTCAGGGCTGGTCGTATATGTCGCGAGAAGCGCCTGTATCCGTTCCTGCTGAACTGCCGAGGTTGTTGGTCGTGAAGATATCTTCGTTAACGCGGTCAAGACAAACTGGCGGGTGAGGTAGTTGGCGTAAGGAGAGTCCAGAACGGAAACAAGTAGGTCGACTAGCTCAACGTCGGAAATCTGAGATGATACACATGAGCATCTAGAACAGTATCAGCACAATTTGGCTCACAGGTTTAGGCTGGTCTTCATCGACTAAGCCTCCCTCCAGCAGTACGTCGCCGTACTCGCCAATAACCCATGTCGCAGCCAAGGTTAGTGACTCTTGGGAGATGTCTGCCCGCAAGGAAGTGTACAGCTTTGATGCTGTGTAAGCGTGAAGCTCAGGTGTATGGGCGACGAGACGAATGAACGCTGATAGGATCTCTTCGCGTACGAAGTTGCCAGCCTTTGCACTCATAAGCCTCGAAATATGTACACATTGGGTAAGCGAAACTCACAAGCTTCAGGACACGAAGGAAAGTATCGATATGCCACCTCTTGTTCGGCGCGAATCGCTCGGCAGCGAGGCTGATCTGGGTTGTCATACCTAGCTTGAACTCATCGTCGGCGACCTCAAGAAAGGCAAGGAGCTCCCGAATCAGTATCCGAACATTGCCCTCGTTAATGAGTGCGTATGATAGCTCAAGGGCCCGGCGTCGGATTGAGATATCACCGTCCCGGAGACAATCCAAGATAATGTTTCTGTGTCGCTGAACGGCATTCGTGTCTATCGAAACGACCTTGTTGAGGGTATTGAGGGCCACGTAGCTGACCCGATGGTGAGTCTGATAACGCCATGGCAGCGGGAAGCGGACGTACCGGATGTTATTGTCTCGGTTACTGAGGAATTTTCCGAGGATGTTAATTGCCATGACACGGAGGCCACTGTCAGCTTCAATCTCTAATACGGTCAGGACTGTCTCATAGAGGATTGAGTTTCCGACATTTTTGCTGCCATCGGTATTGGTAGCGACCTAAGTAGTAGATGAGTGGACGCGTCAGAGTGGCTCGCGTTGCGAAGCACACCTGAGCAAGGATGTCATTCATTATCTCGCTCGCTTGTGCATCTCCCTTTCCGAGTAACCTGAGCAGACGAAGGACCTTCACTTGAAGGAACGGATCGGTGATTCCCGAGACGTCGTGCTCTGGACTGTATCCGGTGGTCACAAGAGCTTTGAGATGTCGAACAAGGAGGGGTACAGCCTCGAGACGAAGTCAAGACCAGAATTTGACCATAACTTTGATACTCACATTCCTAAATTCTTCCAGGCAGGTAGGATCGGCCTGCACCATCTCGATGACAAGTGTAATCGCCGTGAGTAACACTCCATGATTCCGGTCGGCCAAGAGGTTCTTCGCCTTCGAAACAAAGTGATCAGTGAGTTCAGGCACTTTGCGAATTACTCGAAGAGCACAAAGTGCAGCCTGCGATGGGGGACGGTGAGCAAGACTATTTATTCCACGAATGATGCGCGACCCACCTTCTTCCGAATGTACGTGTTACTCGACCCCAATAGCTTCTCGATTTCGTTTGCCAAATCTCGTGACATCTCTTCCGATGCAATATCCGCAAACGTACAGAGAGAAAGTCCGACAGCATACATATTCGTGTGGTTCATATCACTGCAATGCGTATCAATGAGCGCATATTGCGGCGGAAAGCGTGACACGCACTTTTTGAGCGAATTTGTGACAAGCGTAAGGACTTCTTGGCTCTCATCCAGCAAGAGCATGATCCCAAGGTAGCCTAATCGCTTGTCTCCAAAGCGGGGGCTAGCTACGAGCTTTAAGCACTCCATTTGACCGAAATGCGCCTCTGAGCCGAGCATGTGGATATAGAGCAGCTTGGCGACATTGTTATGTCTGGCGTAGGAGTCCTCTTCTCTGAAAGATGCACGAATGGCCGCAGATTCTTGCTTGATGAGGGCTCGTTCGTCAGCGACAGTCTATTTGTCGATGAGATCATGCTGTCAGCGCAGGCTGCGGGAGGAGTACCTTGCAGGCCCGAATACCCTTGATGAGTGCTAACGAGTTGGATCAATACGAGGCACAGCTTGAGGTGGCGCTTCACACACCCTTGAGATTATGGTACGGCATCCCTATTCGCCGTCGTCCACAGCGTGCTCACTGCTCAATGATCGTGTACGGTTTCAGGGTTTGCGAAGGCGCTCAGACGCCCTACGCATCGAACGTGACGTGCTCCGTGACGGCGCGTCTACTAGCGTAATTCTCGTGACATAATTTACCGCCGTGTCACGCTTCCTTTTACGGCCCATCGACCTTGAACTGTGCGAAGCCGTCGTCCGGGCTTGTTTCTGTCTCTTCCCACCTTGTCGCCATTCTATCCCCTTTACTGTCGTAAACGACGATGGCCGACCCTCACCCTCAGCATAATCCTGCTTCTCCTATCTCCTCCCTTCTACGCACGCTCGGTTTGACGCGTGAAGACCTCGTGTTGCACACGGAGCAGATGCGAGCATATCTATCTCGAGGCAGCAGCTCTCAGCCCCTGCCAGAATCAACTGTGCAGAGCCGAAGTTTGCGCAGATCTCGTACTGTATCGTTCTCGCATAGCTTCAGAAAGAATACACCGCCAACGCCACCAAAGACTCCGGTTAAAGCCGAACCAGTCGAACATACCATCTTCGGGCGGCAGATGGATACTATGGAGAGGGTATTGGAGGGCAAAAGCAAGCAGACGAAGAAGGAGAGACGAGGTTCGTACTATCTAAGGCGGTATTTATACTCAGACTCCACGTGTGGACTCCTATTCCACTTCCACAGAATCCAAGTCTCGCTCACGAGATAGCCGACGCGTATCTCAGGCGTACAACCTCACCCCTTCGCGCAGCAGGACTCCCCAAGTGAGTACGACGAGCACGACGCGTCCCATTTTGTCTAGATCGCTGACATATGAGTGGCTGTGTAGTTAATACCAGGTACGCCGCATCACTACAAATACTATAGTGAACGGGTCATCGGTGAAGCGTCATTCTCGCAACTATCTCCGGTCAGCTATTGTTGTTTACTCAACGGTATGGATGGTGCTCATGTGGATTATACTCATGCGCTCGCAGGATGTGGTCGCCAAGGTGGCCCCTGGAACACCGAGGAGATCGACCCGCGCTGCTACCTTAAAGGCTCCTAGCTCCCGTCTACCTAAGACACCTATCAATCGACATGTCCTTTCTCAGCCATCATCGTCACATACCTCTACGCCACAATCTAGTCCAGCGCGTATTGTGAACATCGTATCGTCTCCAGGTCCGATGCGAGACACGCCCGATTCGGAAGAAGACGAACTTGACGACCTTCCGTACACCTTACCGCCAGGACCTTACTCGAAAGAGAAACCAGACTTCTCCTATGCTGCCCTGATCGGCCAGGCTATTCTCTCGTCGCCTGAACATCGGCTCACTCTGCAGGATATATACGAATGGATAACGACTGTATACCCTTACTATACACGTGGCGAACAGACCTGGATGAACTCTATCAGACATGCGTTAAGTACCATGGCTGTCTTCCGCAAAATTACTCGTGGACGGAACGAAGGCAAAAGTTTGTGGGCTATCTGGGACTGCGACATTCCGTGTTTCGCGAACGGTGGATTCAGGAAGTCCCTATGTGCAGATATGGCTAAGGCAAAGCCAGCTACGACAAAATCTGGCCCAAAGCGCAAGTTTAGCATAGATGATACCCTGACAAGAGATGGCAAGAAGCGTAAGAGGTCCGTTGGTAACGGCGCTGACATCAAATTCACACCGTTCTCCTCGTTGTCACATCCTGCTCCAATCATACCTCCGTTCTATACTCCAATGTACGCGAACGCTCAGCAACAACCTTACTATCGGCCCTACGTACCACCACTGCCGCCGCTTGCACCTATCCCTGTGTCAACACCCGCATCAGCGGCTGTATCTGCAGAAGCTCTCTTCCCGCCGCTACCACCTACCTCTGCATACCACCGTGCAATGTCATTATCTCAGCCATCGTCAGCTTCCGTATCCCGAGCAGGCTCGGTTGAAACGGGGCCGCCGGATACCATCTCTACCGCGGCGCGAACAGCTTCTCCGGAGCCGAGCAAGCTTATGCTGGTCTCCTCGTCTTCTTCTTCTGTTCCCGAATTAACGTCCTCATCGAGCTCGGCATCAAGCCCACCTTTGTCCTCTCTAGGCAGCTCCGGTATTGGCGAATCGATTGCCCAAAGGACCCCAGGGCCTGCTGCTGTGGACACTGAGGATGAAGTTGATAAACTCACCGCGCAGTGGTTGGCGTCACCGGGAACTATCGACGCGCTAAACTCCAGCTTCCACTCAAAAGCCAATCGAGATAAACCAGAAACCCCCGTCAAGGGCAGCGCGCGCTCAAGGAAGGTATGCACCACAGATTCATGCCCATCGATATGCGACTAAGAATGCTTCAGGGACTTCCATTCATTGTTCCGGAAGCTCCAGAATCTCCTACTACCGAGTGGCGCAAGATTGCGAAAGGGAAGCAACGGATGCGTTCACCTAGTCCTACGCTCATGTATCCAACACCGGAGACCGCTAATCTTCCCCGGCTGTCAACTCCGCCGCCCAGGCCATGTACACCATCTCGACAGCGCAAAATATCCGGCAGCACTGCCATCCAACTGTCGCCCCAGCGAACACCGCTATCTCACCGCGGGCTTCACATGAGCCCCTCACCCAGCCTGGCGCACTACAAATCCAACCTGGACCCTCCACCTGCGGCTGTTTTCCTCCCACAAGCTCCCCTCCTATCCGGCATGCCGCCACCCGATGATACTGGTTTGACACTGCCACACCCGCGCACACCGTCCCGGAAGCGCACTCCAAAGCAGGGTGGCTCGGGCTCCAAGACTAATGGCGTTGACCTGTCACCGTTCACGCCCAAGCGTCTGTTTGGTGGTATAGACTCACCTTTCCGAACACCTTCGTCCCACTTTCACGACCCATACAACCCCGCCACACTCCTCGAGGAAGAAATCAGCCGTCTTAACTCACAGGAGTTCACTCTGCAGGACAGCCCCGAGAGCTCGCTTTTTGGGAAACACGGCGCTTTGTATGACAGCCCCAGCATCCCAAGCCCTTCGCGATACTGGTGAACTGCCTGCTTCTTTCTATCTTATCCAATCTTGTCCCATAATCATCTCCGCATCCAGCTCTCGTACGTTCATCTCTTGGTTATCACATCTCTTACTTCAGCAGTCATATCGTCGTATGTACTCCTGTCGTCCGGTATGTTCCTTTGGCAGCCCGATGGACTGGCCATGACTCACGAACCGACATGACGTCTCCATCCTCTCTTCGCTGTATCGTCTCTGTCGCTCACTCGCTTTGTGTCGCTTGTTGCTTCAGCTAATAGCTAATGTATCGCTCCCCTGTCTCCACCTTGGCACTCTTGGTCGCTCCATTCCGACTTTTTCACATATCGTTGGCATCATGTAGCTTTCCGACATTTGTTCTCTGTAAGCCGACATTACTTACCTGACGCCATGTTGCCAGAGGAAATTCCGTACTTCGAGCGCATGGCTGAAGAGCTTCCCGTGTCCCACATCCGGCCACACCCTCAAAACGCGTGACCGGCGGTTTGCGTATGGTGTAAGTATACTGGAAGTTGGGTTTAACACGATTTGTTTCTCACTTCCAATATTCATGATTGAAGCATGGCGCTACCACTGTTTGAAGAGCACCGCATATCCACTTTTAATACTTTGCCTTCTGCGACATGGTCTCGAGCTCTCTCGGGGCTTCCGCACAGAAGGGGCACTGCAGCACTGTAATGGCGTAGCATCCACGCTTCTTCGTTCCTTTTCCGACAGTCTTTACTTTCTGAACTAAGATCTGGTCGATGACGTGCACAAGAATACGGATCACGACTCGTACCGTTCTAGCAAGTGCGCGCATACAGACCGTTCGCCAATGCCCTTAACATTCCTCTGTGCGCACAACGGATTTCTTAGTACACTTGAGCTAACTGTGGATACGGCTCGTATAGGCTTGCTTGGGCTGACCTGCGAGCTCAAGACAACTGGCCAAGTCCAACCATCCAGGTCACCAGTAAATTTCCATAATGGCATTAAGCGATTACAACGTTGAGTATCAGGTCTCCGATCTACAGCTCACGGACGTCGTCCAGCTAAGGAGCAAAAGCTGAAGAGAGAAGTCAGTAAGTTAATGCGCTCCTTCCGTAGATACACACAATCTTCATCCAGCAGGGTGTCTTCCTCAAGACAAGCTTCGATGAAGTCGGTGACGACGAGATGTCTGCGCTTCGGCCTGGAAGAAGATATGGTCAGCGATGCCCATAGCTTGAATGCAAAGAGCACACTTCGATGTCCGCTTGTTAAGTTCGGCACGTCGAGAAGTGTCCCGCTTGTCCAAAACGACGTGAGTAAGCTTCGTCTCATCGAGGCTGTCGGTGACCTTGCCGCCATTTGCTCTGATCTTGCGCGCAAGCTCGTTGAAACTGGCGGGAGAGAAGGGTGAGCATACGTGAACGCGCACTCATGTCACGATTGGCTAACTGTACATCGAGATCCTCTGCACCCTTGGCCTTAACGACCATACCATTCGTCCTGGCATTTGATGGAGAATCAAGATAAAAACATCTGCGTAACGAGGTCAGTCAACAGCTCGGCTTCATTTGAAAAGCTAACTAAGAGACGACTGACAGGTGCTTGAAAATCAGCTCCTGGTCGTATTCCATAGCTTCCTCAGTTTCTCCCATCTTGGCAAGTTCGGAGGCTTGCGTCGATGACTCGCTGATATCAGGCTCGGCCTGCGAAGCATCCGAGCCAGCTATGAGCGTTGTCTGGGCCACAGTGGGGTGACACTCACACTCCCGAGGGCAGAAACCTCGAACCAGTCGTCCCCCATCTCGTCTGCTAATTCGTCAATCTCAGCGTTTTTGTCGCGCACATCTTCATTGTCCGACTCTGGCTCGGTCTCGCTCTCAACTTCTTCCTCTTGTGCTGCCACCTTTCCCCTATGTACGTCCTTTGCACTGATCTTGAACCACTCGGACAAGGTGGGATCGGCTTCCTCTTTTGGCTCATCCCGAGCACGCGTCAGCTCCTCCGTCTCCGGTTCTGTCTCGGATGACGCAGTCGGTGATGGAGGAGCACCTGCGACTGCTTCCTCCATCTCAACGTCAGCACCTTCCGCCAGGCTATATTCCTCAGTATTCCGACGGGCTTCCGTAGCGAAGAAGAGATACCTGCTCACGCCGATCAGACCACCGTGCAAGCACTACAACAGATATCCCACGTACTTCTTCGTTAGAGGTGCCAACTCGTCCCTTGCAACGCTGTCTCTGATCCATTCAGGTTTGACGATGTCATGAGTTCCCCTGTCCACAATCATCTTGATGTCGTAGGCTATCCCGACTCGCGTTAGTCAAATGCCTCTACTGGTGTCGATGCATACGAATAGCATGCGGCTACACTTACGAATAGTCGCACCATCGTACACAGCCATCGTGTTCTCTCCCTGCCGGTTATTGATAACTTGACAAAATTTGCCGCCATTCGCCTTGATCCTGTTAGCTGTGAGCAACAAAACGGAGAATCTACGTGAGGGCCACTCGCAGTTTCATGAGCTCCTTTCTGTCACTTTCACCTGTTCTGGACTTCGGATCGGACGCCACCACTGATGATGCATACCCTCAGCTTCAAGCATATGGTCTTGGCCAGAACTGAACGCACATAAAGTAAACTCCTTGAACAGCTCGCCTTCTACCTTGACGTCTTTCAGATCCTCGGCGACGTTGAAGTGAGGCAATACAGTAGGCTTCGCAGTCCAGATTTGAGGACTCTTCAAAGGCTCGATGGCTAAGACGACGCACCTTCTTAGCGGTTGCCTTGCGCTTCTTCTTTGAACCCCCACCCCCACTTTCTGCTTTCCGCTTCTTTTCGGAGCGGACACTCTCGAAGACCGCACTAGCAGTCATGCAGTCCTCGATACCGAGGTCTTCACGAATCATCATAGCGCGAGGAAAGCGCATGGTATAGCCTATGTGGTATTGATCTATTCAACATGTGAGCTGGGACTCGACATTTCATTATACTCAAAAGACGCACCCGTGGGAGTGATCTCTGCGGCCTTGACCTTGATAATGAATGAACTGGACAAGACGTTAGGATCTACGAAGGAAGTAAGGTGTAGTACTTGCTCTTCCGGCTTTAGATAGGCATCGCCCTTATCTTCCTGACCCCTCTTCGCAGTCAGCAGCCAGGGAGGTGGCTGCTTTGGGTTCCATTCCTTCCATGGTTTCTGACGAATCCAGACGTAATCCGCAAACGTTAGGCCAGATCCAATGCGAACGAAGGTGCGATACCTGGAAATAGGACAGATAAAATCAAGAGCAAAAACAAAAAAAGGCATATAGATCGCACTTCATGCCATCATCATCTCCCGCAGCTCGCTGATCATCGAGCACCGCGCACACGAGAGTAGAAACGCCGCCAGAGCGTCGACCCGTACCGTAGCAGCCGGCTGTTGAGTCAATTTGGTAGACATTCATTGAAACTACATATTACTTACCAACAACCAGCACGTCGACGGTTTCACCCATGTTATCCTGTACGCCGTACGTCAATTCGCCAGTTTCCAAGAGCCGGCTCATGTTACCAACCATGTACTCAGGTTTGACTTTGATCCAATCCTTGTTTCGTCCGTTAAGGACGTATTCGGAGCCGGGATGTTTCATGATGAGCCCCTCGCCACGATTGTTCATGATAATCTCCATATATTGCCGGACGTCTTGTGCCGTCTTGCCTTCAAATTCCGTGACGAACTCCAGGCGACCCTTGACTTCGCTCAGACATGCACGAAGGTTGTTTTTCCGGAATTTTAGGGACTTCTGCAGAAGACTCTGCCCATTCAAATGTAGTAGATCGAAGACTTTGACTGTGAATAATGCATCAGGTGGCAAGTTTATGAAGCGGTATTTGGACGACATACAGCATGGTCGCGGGCGTAACTCTTTATTGGTCTTGTCTGGACGCATGATAAGCAGTCTTCTGTACTTTCGGAGCATTTCACATACCTCCCGCAGCCGTCTTCAGCGTTCCGAAGGGAAGATTTCGCTCAGACACCGGGTCCCATACGAGCATCTCCCCATCTAAGATGATTCTGCGGCACAATGAGCAACAATATTCAGGGTATATACAAACCGCTTACTCTTCTACTCTTGGATCAAATGCGTCCTCAATGAAAGGGGTCAAACTACCCGATCCGACGTGTTTGCCGTACAAGTAGGTGTAATCCTTGCCTTTCCTGCGTCATGATCGTAAGCAGATGCATTTTTGACTGAATAGGCGTGTCGTACCTGGAACAGTAGAAATACTCATTACCGCGTTTGTGTAGCTGCAAGCGCTCGCCATCGAGCTTCTCCTCGATGACGAACTTGCTTCCGCCCATGTCTTTGACAGACTCTTCGATGCGCCTGGTTGGACGCTTGCAGAGCATAGGTGCAAACGCACGAAAGAGATGAACGGTTTTTTCCTGTGTGATGCAATCTCACGATCGTGAGCTCTCGCAAGCACGGTAACTGGTTATATACATGCCTCTTCATTAAGCCTGCGCTGCGGATCCCACAATTCCCATGCAACTTTTTTGAGATCAGAGCAGGTATTGAAGAGATCATGAGCATCGGGATGGAATACGGAGAACACGGTCGTTTCCTTTACTGAAATTACCATGTCTGAATAACGCTACGTTAAGCCTAATGAGAAGCTTCGCATGAAAGGCACACTTACCTTTGAGGATAATTCGGACTAACCATCGTTGTTCTTCTGCAGTCATGCTGTTATAGACTCGGGTCATGATCTTCACTTGTGGTTCACTGGGCAGAATGAGACTTATTTCTAGGGCTTCAGCACGACACGCTTACGATTTGCCCCCGTTCTTGGCAAGCTCGTCAAGAACATCGTTCACGTCCTCGACAGAGAGCGAGCCCTGTATGACAGAAGACCGTTTGCTGATGACCTCATAGAGGACAGTTGGAAAGTCTCCCGCCGAAGCCTGGCGAACATCAATACGAGGTACACTATGGGATAGGACAGACGGACCTCCTTGTCTGCGGGTTTTTTCCAGTTCAGAAGCCTGATAGCATCCCGGTCTTGTTTCTGCAAAGGAATCATCCTGATGTAAATCTTAGCCAGAGCCTTCTCCTTAAGCCCGTAGACTGCACGCTCTCGATCTTTCTATTGCGGACTTGAGCCTTCGATGAACTCCGCAGAATCGGTGGTCATACCTGGGGCAAAATGAGCCTTAAAATGGGGTACAAGTCGTATCCCTTGTCTTCCCGCCAGTGCTAGATGATGTGATTGATACGCTGACTACGCCTCATGAACACGAATGCATACATTGAACCACGTGGCGAGGAGCCTTCGCCGCTTGTCAGGTTTCCGTTCATTCTGCAGTCTGTCGAACAGGGCAGACAGCACATAGAAAGGCGCGCTCCCGTCGTTCTGCGGGGGCACGGGGTATTCGACTGGATGGTCATCTGCGGTGGCCGTAGAATGCACCGTGCTTGCTCCTGGAGGTGGCGACGGGCGATGATATGACGGTGCCGGAGTTGCTTGTTGCATGCTATGCCAAACAATTTTAAAAAGTTGAATAGATTGTAGTGTGCGTCGCTGGCGACGATGGGCAAGACCAAGTCAGGCAAGAGCCAACCTGCGGCTCCGCCAGTGACGCGACGAAATCATCGTGACCATAACGCGTGATGAGACGCGCCTCCTATGTGACCGTATTATGATATTATCGACCGAATCAACGTTACGAGGTGATATCTCTCGCGCGGGAGAGAAAACGTGTATGAGCAAACAATGGCGGTTTAGCCGAAAACCGCCGTTGAGGCATCCTCGCACAGGGTGGTAAGCACGGTTTTTTTTTTTGAAGAAACCCGGCCAAAATTGGGAAAACAAGAACCAATTGTTCCCCGGTCGTACATTGGGGTAAATTGGTACAAAACCGGCCAAAAGAGGCTGAAACACAACAAAACTAGCGGGAAAGAAAGTTTTGTCTCCTAGTTTTTTCGAATGAAAACCGGTTAAACACAGGTTCTTGTTTGCCTAACTTTTGGCTGGTTATGCAAGCAAAAAAACTGCACCTACCACCTAGTGTGGGCATCTATGATATTGTTACAACTGGACAGGGTGTGGGCCAGCATGTGTGGGCGCTGTGCAGTGTATGTGGGTGCTGGTACACGATGAGCAGGTACTATGCACAGACAAAACAAACAGAGGCCAAGAGACATGAGACAACAAAAACAGAGGCTGTCAGACACAAGACAACAGAACCAGAGACCAAAGCAACAGCAGAAAGCAGAGTCCAACAAGCACAGGATAAAAGAAAAGGGAAGGAGGGCAGGAAGAGCAAAAAAAAGGCTATGAATTATGGCAGGCAGAGGTCAGACAAGATGCGGTCAGGTCTAACAGCAAAGATGAACCCATGGCAGACAGAGATCAGAAAAGATGAGGAGGAAAGCCTTTCATCTATGTGGCTGACCTATATAACCCATCTGTGTGCAGAGGCAACTCGTTAGGCATGTCTTCAGCTGACAAGGCATCAATGACATACCTAACTCCACTGCTGAGGCTCATGCGCATTTATGCAAGACTCATCATGCATGGCATGGGAACGTGAGGACAATGCTCTAAGTGACAGAGTGCAATGGCAGGTGCTTTATGCTCGAGATTTACAATCTTAGTGTGCCTCTATATGGTCCCCAAAGAAAGAGGTTTATGGTTTCAGGTGCCCATCCAAATGAAGAGGGAAGCTCCTCATCTACATGGTATCATGAGTGAAGAAAGTAAGACTTAGTTAGGGAGGAACTAAGCTTGCCTTCTAACCGAGTTAAGTGGACCAGGTGTTAGGTCGACTTTTGCCTCAGGTGTTCGAGAGAGAGAATTTAAGTTGCAAGCAAGGATATGCTTATAAAGAGAGACTGTGAGTGCTTCACAAATAAATCTACTTGAAGATAAACTACAAGCAGAGATGTGATGCCAACAGAGACCACTGGAAAACAGCCATGTGCTATCAACCTAATGAGACTAACGTAAAACAAAGCTCATATACCACACTTCAGCACCAAGTTGCTGAGTGGACTCAGAGCACGTAAGAAGGTACCTGTATACCATGCTTTAGCACTGAGTTGCTGGGTGGACTCAAGGTCTTGCCTGACTGACTGACTGATTGACTGAACTGACTGAGTAAACTCACTACCACGCAGGTGACACAAACATGAGGTGAACTAAGAGATACCCAGGAACTGACTTTGCTTGAAGACAAAGAACTGAGCTGGAGCTAGAGCTCAACAGCAGGTACCTAGAATAAACACACACAAAGACCTCTAAACCAGGCATCACCTATGCAGGTGGTTGAAATTCAGAGGGAGCTGACCACAGTGCAAAGAAATTACTGCTCGAGATATGGGGCTCGAGTACTAAGTACATGAGTGGGGGGGTTTATATATA